ATTGGAGGGGTGACAGGTAAGCTTCTAACATGGATGAAAAATTTTCTGACTGGTAGAAAAATGAGAACTGGAGAAATGTCACAAGTGGAGTACCACAGGGTTCAGTTTTTGCACCAGTGATGTTTATTGTGTACATAAATGATCTACCAGTTGGTATACAGAATTATATGAACATGTTTACTGATGACGCTAAGATAATAGGAAGGATAAGAAACTTAGATGATTGTCATGCCCTTCAAGAAGACCTGGACAAAATAAGTATATGGAGAATCACTTGGCAAATGGAATTTAATGTTAATAAATGCCATGTTATGGAATGTGGAATACGTGAACATAGACCTCACACAACCTATATATTATGTGAGGAATCTTTAAAAAATTCTGATACAGAAAGAGATCTAGAGGTGGTTCTAGATAGAACACTATCTCTGAGGACCACATAAAGAACGTTGTGCGAGGAGCCTATGCCACGCTTTCTAACTTCAGAATTGCTTTTAAATACATGGATGGCGCTGCATATTCTAGGCCAAAGGTAGAATATGCAGCGGTTGTGTGGTGCCCATATCTTAATTAAGAAGCACATCAACAAACTGGAAATGACAAATATGACAGTGCTAAGTAGATGGGACACCAGGAGCGTAGCTCTCATCCTCTACACTACACTTAGGTAATTACTAGTGGAATGCATAAGGAAGTAATGTGGTGGAGGCTGACTCCATACACAGTTTCAAGTGGAGATATGATACTTGTACACTAGTTGACAGTTTAAAGGCGAAACCAAAGAGCCGAAACTCAACCGCCGCAAGCACAACTAGGTAAGTATACACACATACACACACACACACACACACACACACAGGGGCCTGACGGCTGAGTGGACAGCGTTCGATATTCATAATCCCAGGGGCCCGGGTTCGATCCCCGGCAGAAGCGAAAATAAATGAGCAGTTTCTTTCACCCTGATGCTCCTATTCACCTAGCAGTAAATAGGTACCTGGGAGTTATAAAGCTGCTCCGGCCTGCTTCCTGGGGGGTGGGGTAAGATATCAGTTGATTGACAGTTGAGAGGCGGGACCAAAGAGCCAGCGCTCAACCCCCGCAAGCACAACTAGGTGAATATAATAGTTTGAAATGTAAATTAGTCACCGGTTGTTACACAATAACAGCATAAATTATAACAATACACCCAAAACCAATAAATTAGGGGTTGTGATTGTAGGCTGTGGTAGGGTTGTGACTGTGATGAGCAGGGGTTGTGACTGTGTGATGTGGCAGGGTTGTGACTGTGTGATGTGGCAGGGGTTGTGACTCTGATGTGGCAGGGTTGTGACTGTGTGATGTGGCAGGGGTTGTGACTGTGTGATGTGGCAGGGGTTGTGACTGTGTGATGTGGCAGGGTTGTGACTGTGTGATGTGGTAGGGTTGTGACTGTGGGATGTGGCAGGGGTTGTGACTGTGTGATGTGGCAGGGGTTGTGACTGTGTTATGTGGCAGGGGTTGTGACTGTGTGATGTGGTAGGGTTGTGACTGTGGGATGTGGCAGGGGTTGTGACTGTGTGATGTGGCAGGGGTTGTGAATGTGTGATGTGGCAGGGGTTGTGACTGTGTGATGTGGCAGGGGTTGTGACTGTGTGATGTGGCAGGGGTTGTGACTGTGTGATGTGGCAGGGGTTGTGACTGTGTGATGTGGCAGGGGTTGTGACTGTGTGATGTGGCAGGGGTTGTGACTGTGGGATGTGGCAGGGTTGTGACTGTGATGTGGCAGGGGTTGTGACTGTGATGTGGTAGGGTTGTGACTGTGGGATGTGGCAGGGGTTGTGACTGTGTGATGTGGCAGGGTTGTGACTGTGGGATGTGGCAGGGGTTGTGACTGTGTGATGTGGCAGGGGTTGTGACTGTGGGATGTGGCAGGGGTTGTGACTGTGTGATGTGGCAGGGGTTGTGACTGTGGGATGTGGCAGGGGTTGTGACTGTGTGATGTGGCAGGGGTTGTGACTGTGATGTGGCAGGGGTTGTGACTGTGTGATGTGGCAGGGGTTGTGACTGTGTGATGTGGCAGGGGTTGTGACTGTGGGATGTGGCAAGGTTGTGACTGTGATGTGGCAGGGGTTGTGACTGTGTGATGTGGCAGGGGTTGTGACTGTGGGATGTGGCAGGGGTTGTGACTGTGTGATGTGGCAGGGGTTGTGACTGTGATGTGGCAGGGGTTGTGACTGTGATGTGGCAGGGGTTGTGACTGTGTGATGTGGCAGGGGTTGTGACTGTGTGATGTGGTAGGGTTGTGACTGTGGGATGTGGCAGGGGTTGTGAATGTGTGATGTGGCAGGGGTTGTGACTGTGTGATGTGGCAGGGGTTGTGACTGTGGGGTGTGGCAAGGTTGTGACTGTGATGTGGCAGGGGTTGTGACTGTGATGTGGTAGGGTTGTGACTGTGTGATGTGGCAGGGGTTGTGACTGTGTGATGTGGCAGGGGTTGTGACTGTGTGATGTGGCAGGGGTTGTGACTGTGGGATGTGGCAAGGTTGACTGTGGGATGTGGCAAGGTTGTGACTGTGATGTGGCAGGGGTTGTGACTGTGATGTGGTAGGGTTGTGACTGTGTGATGTGGCAGGGGTTGTGACTGTGTGATGTGGCAGGGGTTGTGACTGTGTGATGTGGCAGGGGTTGTGACTGTGTGATGTGGCAGGGGTTGTGACTGTGTGATGTGGCAGGGGTTGTGACTGTGGGATGTGGCAGGGGTTGTGACTGTGGGATGTGGCAGGGGTTGTGACTGTGTGATGTGGCAGGGGTTGTGACTGTGTGATGTGGCAGGGGTTGTGACTGTGTGATGTGGCAGGGGTTGTGACTGTGTGATGTGGCAGGGGTTGTGACTGTGTGATGTGGCAGGGGTTGTGACTGTGTGATGTGGCAGGGGTTGTGACTGTGTGATGTGGCAGGGGTTGTGACTGTGTGATGTGGCAGGGGTTGTGACTGTGTGATGTGGCAGGGTTGTGACTGTGTGATGTGGCAGGGGTTGTGACTGTGTGATGTGGCAGGGGTTGTGACTGTGTGATGTGGCAGGGTTGTGACTGTGTGATGTGGCAGGGGTTGTGACTGTGTGATGTGGCAGGGGTTGTGACTGTGTGATGTGGCAGGGGTTGTGACTGTGTGATGTGGCAGGGGTTGTGACTGTGTGATGTGGCAGGGTTGTGACTGTGGGTTGTGATAGAATAAAGTAGAGGGGGGGGAGAAAGAGGAGGAAGAGGAGCCAGGAAGAGTCAGGTGCTCAACTTGGCTACAAACCAGACCCTTTCGGGCTCATTTTGAGTCAGGAGCTTAAATCTCTCTACAGTTGGCAGTGGGTGATGAGTGTGGGCGGGGGGGGGGAAGAGAGAAAAGAGAGAGAGAGAGAGAGAGAGAGAGAGAGAGAGAGAGAGAGAGAGAGAGAGAGAGAGAGAGAGAGAGAGAGAGAGAGAGAGAGAGAGAGAGAGAGAGAGAGAGAGAGAGAGAGACCATCAGGAGAGAGAGAGCACAGCAGGAGAGAAAGAGAGCCAAGCAGGAGAGAAAGAGAGCACAGCAGGAGAGAGAGAGCACAGCAGGAGAGAGAGAGCACAGCAGGAGAGAAAGAGAGCCCAGCAGGAGAGAAAGAGAGCACAGCAGGAGAGAGAGATCACAGCAGGAGAGAAAGAGAGCACAGCAGGAGAGAGAGATCACAGCAGGAGAGAAAGAGAGCCCAGCAGGAGAGAGAGAGCTCAACATGAAAGAGAGAGAGAGAGCACAAGAGAGCACAGCAGGAGAGAGAGATCACAGCAGGAGAGAAAGAGAGCCCAGCAGGAGAGAGAGAGCTCAACATGAGAGAGAGAGAGAGAGAGCACAAGAGAGCCCAGCAGAAGAGAGAGAGCCCAGCAGGAGAGAGAGAGCCCAGCAGGAGAGAGAGAGAGCACAAGAGAGCCCAGCAGAAGAGAGCCCAGCAGGAGAGAGCCCAGCAGGAGAGAGAGAGAGAGCACAAGAGAGCCCAGCAGGAGAGAGAGAGAGAGAGCACAAGAGAGCCCAGCAGGAGAGAGAGAGCCCAGCAGGAGAGAGAGAGCCCAGCAGGAGAGAGAGAGCCCAGCAGGAGAGAGAGAGCACAACAGGAGAGAGAGAGCCCAGCAGGAGAGAGAGAGAGCACAAGAGAGCCCAGCAGGAGAGAGAGAGAGCCCAGCAGGAGACAGAGAGCACAAGAGAGCCCAGCATGAGAGAGAGAGAGAGCAGGAGAGAGTCCAACATGAGAGAGAGAGAGAGAGATAGCCCAGACCCCAGCAGGAGAGAGAGAGAGCCCACCATGAGAGAGAGAGCCCAGCAGGAGAGAGAGAGCCCAGCAGGAGAGAGAGAGCCCAACAGGAGAGAGAGAGAGCCCACCAGGAGAGAGAGAGCCCAGCAGGAGAGAGAGAGAGCCCAACAGGAGAGAGAGAGAGCCCAACAGGAGAGAGAGAGAGCCCAGCAGGAGAGAGAGAGCCCAGCAGGAGAGAGAGAGCCCAACAGGAGAGAGAGAGAGCCCACCAGGAGAGAGAGAGCCCAGCAGGAGAGAGAGAGCCCAACAGGAGAGAGAGAGAGCACAAGAGAGTCCAGCAGGAGAGAGAGAGCCCAGCAGGAGAGAGAGAGAGCCCAACAGGAGAGAGAGAGAGCCCAGCAGGAGAGAGAGCCCAGCAGGAGAGAGAGAGCCCAACAGGAGAGAGAGAGAGACCAGCAGGAGAGAGAGCCCAGCAGGAGAGAGAGAGACCAGCAGGAGAGAGAGAGCCCAGCAGGAGAGAGAGAGCCCAACAGGAGATAGAGAGAGCCCAGCGGGAGAGAGAGAGCAGGAGAGAGCCCAACATGAGAGAGAGAGAGAAAGCCCAGCAGGAGAGAGAGAGAGAGAGCCCAGCAGGAGAGAGAGAGAGAGAGCCCAGCAGGAGAGAGAGAGTCCAACATGAGAGAGAGAGAGAGAGAGCCCAGCAGGAAAGAGAGAGTCCAACATGAGAGAGAGAGAGAGAGAGCCAGCTCACCTGAGGGTTCCGTGTAGCGGGGTCGCTGTCAGTGCGGGGCGGCGGGTTTGGGCAATGACTCACCTCCCAAAACTTCACCCAAACCACTTCTCTTACAGATCTTTTTCTCGGCGCCTTGCCTCTCCCCTGCCGCCCCCAGCTCCTCGGAGGCTCCTCACGCACGCCTCGGGAGGGCACGCTGCTCATACGCGCCCTCGTCGCCCGATAACACACCAAATACGCCCAAAACTGCCATGACAGCTCCGCCGATTCATAGCGAATGACTAGGATCTCGTTCGCATGGTCGAGAACGGAGTTGAAAAACTCGCGCCGTACGCCCTTGTCACCCGCTCTTACGCACTTCCCAGGTGCGTATTTGGACGTCGCGGCGCGAGTGTGGGTCGACGGAGCTGTCCTGGGGGAGGGAGGATGCGTATTTTAACCGCGAAATTAAGATGACCGTCAAGGTGTGATGTGAACACCAGCTTTGGCGAGCTTCAAGCACTGCCCTGCAGAAGTCCTCGTCCCGCGTCCGATTCCTCGACATATTTTCATTATTCTCTCAGCACACAGCTCAATATTCTTGCGCCTCTCACAGGAATAACGAAGCAGTAGTTCATAGTCTAAAACTGTATCTTTCCAGAGAGATTGGCGAATGTCTTGAGTCTTTTACACCAGAATGTGTGCCGAGGTCAATGACATTTTAAGAGATCGCAAGTCAAATAAGATAACAAGCTCTAGGGGGCTAAATATCCTGCCAATTTGAAATTTGTTAAATGTGTTATCAGATATTCTCGGCCTCCAAGCATCTATATAAACAAATATTAATTATATAAAACATCCAAAGGGCTCCAGTGGAAATGTAATCTAAAATTAATGAGGATCCGAGCACATGGCAGCAGTTTCAGCCAATCGGGTGAGGGGAAGACGTTTCGTGTGACGTCATTGACGTCCAATAGGAAGCTAGAGATATTGCAACTTTTTTTTGATGAGAGATTTAAATGTTATCCAACTCAAATAATCAATTCGCTTATTATTGAATTAGATAGTTAATGCTGTTTTCTCTGAAATATTATTTAATATTTTTGTACGTAGCATATACCAGATGTATTGTAAATATTAGGGGCTACAAGTTTATTTGTTTATTTGGGAGAGTTGCACTAAATAATTATCAGGAGTATAGTTTCATAGTAAATATAAAACAATTAAATATTTTTTATTTTTATACGAAGAAAAATGCCGTTAGTAATGGTTGTTAAAGGCCAGATAGCAATAAAATTAGGCTCGTTGTGGCGCCAAAACCCGACACAACCCTAACGCGCCGTTGTAGAGTTCCACCCAGTTGGGTTGGGTAGTTTTGTAGTTAGGTTAGCCCATGACAACGAAGAAAATGTAATACAAACTGTAGATTCGTCAATAAACGTAAATTGTGTATATTACACGAGAAAGACAGAAACATATATTGCATATAATTTTTTATTTTTGTTGATTATTCTCACTTATGTTATCTTACTTCTCTTTTAGTATTAAGCGTTTACTCCTTTAGATCTTTAAATAATTGTTATCTAAATTGTTCTAAGTTTTGTTTGAAAGACTTTGTGAAACTCTCTGAGCCCATTATGTGCCTCTGTAACCCATTCCACTACCGCCCACAGGATGGGTATGGGGTGCATAATAACTGAACTAAACTAAATGTAACAATGGCTCCATTAGTACGTTTAACTCCTGTCCCTTCCTCTTATGTTCTGTGAACACATTCGTTTGAATAAAAATTATTATTATTATCTACTATATTGTACAGAAAATCCCATTAACATGACGTGTAGGTGAGAGATTCAGTAGGAGTAGGAGACCAGAGCCATGAGGGAGGGAATTATCAGGGGAAAGTGCCAAGCCCTTACGACTATATAGCACTTGGAAGGGATCAGGGTAAGGATTTGGGATGGCACGAGGGGGGAAGGGAATTATCAGGGGGAAAGCACCAAGTCATTACGACTATATAGCACTGGGAAGGGGTCAGGATAAGGATTTGGGATGGGACGGGGGGAAGGAATGGTGTCCAACCACTTGGACGGCCTTCCTACCTCCCCGCTGACAATACTTTAATCTGTGACGCCCTTTCCCGCCGGCAAGTTACTCCAGACGACCTTTCCCGCCGGCAAGTTACTCCAGACGACCTTTCCCGCCGGCAAGTTACTCCAGACGACCTTTCCCGCCGGCAAGTTACTCCAGACGACCTTTCCCGCCGGCAAGTTACTCCAGACGACCTTTCCCGCCGGCAAGTTACTCCAGACGACCTTTCCCGCCGGCAAGTTACTCCAGACGACCTTTCCCGCCGGCAAGTTACTCCAGACCACCTCCTCTGCCGCCGTGGACTGTCGGTCGTCCCTGTAGGCATCCATCCGCGCCTGCTACCGGAGGACTTCTATGTGAAACTTGAGCTCAGTTCGCGGCTTGCCTTAACCCGTCCCTGCACCGGTCCTACGGGACAAGAAGCGCAGGTGCACCGCCTCAGCCCGGCACAGTCCTCCCGGCCTTTCATTCTCGCAAACTCATTCAAAATGATATGTCAGTTTGCAATATGAAAGGCAAACTTGAGATCTAGGAAGGTGGTATATGACTTTTCAGTGTACAAGGCAAGAAATGTGGTAATGCAATGATGCACACTCCTTCCATGCATGATGCCATGTATCCGGAAGGATTGCATGGTTATTTTTCATTGAAAGAGACGGTTTAGGACCATTCTCTCGAATCTTTTGCCAATTTAATTAGCAAAGAAAATTGGGCGGAAAGCATTCTCTTGATTAGGCTTGGGAATTAGGATTATTATGCTGTCGGTCAAACACATAGGAAGTTCCGCAGTAATATAGCTCATACGGTATGGTTCAAGAAGGGGATTTCCTGGTACTAAAGGAAGCAAATATAATATATAATAAATGATACCATCCTCACCGAGGAATGTGGATTTACCTTTGTTCAGGGTCGAGAGTTACTCACACTCGGTGAATAAGGCGTTGTATTCATCTTCCTTGTGGAGCATCAAGTTAACAAGCCTTTCTCTATCGCTGTGATTTAATCTTAACAATGTGTCTGGTGGAAGATAATTGAAGCTAGAGGTAATCCTAGCTTCAAGATAATTGAAGTTGACCAAGCATCGACTAACTCGTTTACTGTGTACAGCCCGTCCTCTTGTTCCCAGCGTTAAAATACTGACGTACTAAAGGCTAAAGCTAACCAGCAATGACCGAGCATTCTCTGCTACATGTTCTCTCCTGAATCCATGTATGATTTTATATATATAATAGAATAGGAGCACATTACTGTGTATACCTAACCTTGTTAATAAAAAAATAATATTATTATTGTTATTATTATTATTGCCCCATTAAATTTGTAAATAAAATATTATATAAATTATTATTGTTAATTACTATTATTATGTCTTAAGTCTCGTCCAAATCACCATTTAGACCTTGACAAAGCACTCAGTAGTGCGCAAAATTTAGTGTAAATGTCTTACATAAATTTCACAAATACACAAGTGTAAGTTTTTAGCACATTGCTGTGTATACCTAAGCTTGGTAATTAAAAAAATCCTATATTCCTATTTATTATCATTATAATTATTCTTATTATTGTTTTTCTGGTTGCGTAGCTGCGTTTTCTGTGGTGCCGCGAGGACCGTGTTGAGGGCAGACTGCGCTGGTCGTCTCCCGTCTGGTGAGTCCGGTGCACTTGTCGTCGAGGTGCGTCAGGGGCGACGACTCTCCAGGGGTCGTATGGGCCCCGGCGTACCCGTTAAGGGTTAATAATCGCAAATCCTAATGGCGAAATACGGAGTGAGAATAGCTTGAGCTACCTCATCCCTTTGTGTGTATTTCACATCAATAAACTTATTTCAATGGCGAAATGAATGTCGGTTACACCACCGCCCACGGGATGGGTATGGGGTGCATAATTAAGAAATTGAATTGCTTATCACCGGGAACGAATGTCCCTCGTGGCCAATAAACGCTCAGACAGGCAGATGATTAGGGAGCCCCATTGGTGTTCTTACATTCTTGCAATATACTGTAATATTTATTGTAATGTAATGTATGTTGTAATATACTGTGAGTGGGTAGCACAAGCTGGCATAAAATGTGACCTACTTTTTTTTTTTTTACTAAAGTTTCATAGAGTTTGTCGCATTTACTCTTTGTTGAGACAACTGTGGTAATGTTTACAGCAGGAAAGTCTGTTTCACTAGATATTCACTAGATTAGTCTCCGTGGTGTAGTGGTAAGACACTCGCCTGGCGTTCCGCGAGCGCTATGTCATGGGTTCGTATCCTGGCCGGGGAGGATTTACTGGGCGCAATTCCTTAACTGTAGCCTCTGTTTAACGCAACAGTAAAATGTGTATTTGGATGAAAAAACGATTCTTCGCGGCAGGGGATCGTATTCCAGGGACCTGCCCGAAACGCTACGCGTACTAGTGGCTGTACAAGAATGTAACAACTCTTGTATATATCTAAAAAAAAAAAAAAAAAATATTACAATGGAAAGGTGTTGTTCCTTGAGGTTTCGAATGCAATCTGGCCAAACTTGCCTCTATCCTCACCTAACTTCCCTGTAACCTGACCTGACTCATCCTTAACCTAATCTCAACTTGTCCCTATCTAAATCATACCTAACCTAATTTTCTCCTATCCTATATTGCCCCTGTTGTAACCTAACTTAACCTAACTTACCCTTGACCTAATGTAACCTAACTCATGCATTCTAACCTAACTTGTCCCTATTCTATCCTCATCTAACTCACCTGTTATAATAAATTTATGCACATACTGTCAAGAAGAGATTAAATTTCACTAATGTAATTATTCATAATTATTAAGTACTTATGAAATAGTATATATATTTTTTTTTTTTTGATATATACAAGAGTTGTTACATTCTTGTACAGCCACTAGTACGCGTAGCGTTTCGGGCAAGTCCCTGGAATACGATCCCCGCCGCGAAGAATCGTTTTTTCATCCAAGTACACATTTTACTGTTGATATATACACATATATTAATTATGACTGACTTATTATAATAATAATTCATTCTGTTGGGAGACAGGCAGCCAGTTTATACAGTACATGTTAGGCTTATATTAAGGTCCCCCCAAGGGTTGAATTACTAACCCTCCCCAGGATGCAACCCATAACCCCTGGGTATGTGTTTACTGCTAAGTGGACAGGGGCATTAGGTGATAGGAAACACACCCAACAATTTCTGGGATTCAAACCTGAAATTATCGATTATGAGTCAAGGACAAACCTAACTTCTACCGGGACCTTGCTGGTATTTCCATGATTCACTGCATAGTTCTTCAGAAAATCATAATGAAATTTTTTTTTAGGCACATGTTCACTCCTGAGACTGCAGGATGACACTGGCATAGACACTCTGCAGGTGCAGTTTGGGTAGCAAAAGGTGTACAATATTTCTAATTTAGTTCATGGTGAACAATAGTTGAGAGGGGTCCTATTTGTAGCTCAAAATACATAGCACAGGTCAGTTTTTAGCACTATTTATTCCTCTATTTATGAATGAAATGTATTTTACAGATGACTCACAATTAATGATGTTCAGACTTTTACAAAAAATTTCCTTAGCTTGTTGACCAGACCACACACTAGAAGGTGAAGGGACGACGACGTTTCGGTCCGTCCTGGACCATTCTCAAGTCGATTCTTGTTTTGATTCTCAAGTTTTCCTTAGCTTCAAATAGTCAAAGCACACACTTTAAAATCATCCCTCAGAAATATAATAATGAAGCAGATAGGTTAATCTCTTAAGCACTGAGAGTACTGGTACAGTACAGTATATCAGGTTTAGAATCAATGATTAATTTTTATTTCGCTTTTATTACACTGTAGTTTACAATGGCTGGGATAATGGAGCGAGTGTTCCCAGTGGGGTCCAGCCTTAGGGCAATGGACGAACTACGCAGCAGAAAGTTTTCTCCGGTTCCAACGAGTTGCATCATAGGACCTCCTTGCTCCATGAAGACTGCATTGCTTATGCAAGTATGTGTAATTTTAAAATTGGAAGTAGCTGTGTACAACGGCTTTCTATTTCTGTATTTTTTTCTGCTAGATAAGTCATCTTCTGTATGATAAAAGCATACACAAGACAATATACCTTACACATGACACAAGACACCATACACCATACACAGACACCACATCCAAGACTGGTATATCTTGGTTTTCTGTTACTGCTATATAGTCATACTGGTTTAATGCTTTCTCATAATTACCTGCCCTAGCAACTGTAGGTCTTATACAGTGCATTAAAACTCTGAAATCTCTCCTTAAATATTTGGTTTTCTTCTCTCAGCATAATAAGATGTACTCTTCTTGCCTGTCTTACCATTGTCTCAGGATTTTACCACCTATGTGGAACACTTATCTTACTATTGTCTCAACATCTTACAAGCCAATAACTACCTTAAGTACAGCCTCATTAACCAATTTATGTTTCTTACAACTTTATTAACATCGGTAGGCAGCAGTGACAGAAGGGGCCGGAGGGGGACAGGTGCTGTTCGTAGCACCCAAACGACTTGACAGTCTTCCTCCCAGTGTTCATGGTATGCCCCGTGCTTCAACATCTACTATGAATAACATAAAGTTCCTGTAGGTACACCAATAGCCTTTGTTTTGGAGTAATAATTGAACACTAACAGCCTGTTCCATAGTCATGCATGGTTTTTCTCTTGGGATAGGAAGCCTGTTATGCTTTAGAGATCTCTCTAGCAATGAATAACCTTCACCAGGATGTATTATTGCTCTCAGACTGCTTATAGGCAATCCAAAGGTTATAATCAACTCCTTCTTTGAAGGCAGATTCTTTAGCTAACTCATTAGCTCTATCATGCATTTGGAGGCTAACATGAGATGGAATCCACATGAAATGGATTCTGTTACTGTACATGTACCATCATTAATAATTTTGAATCCTTTTAAATTTTTTTTAAGGCAGTTTTAAATCTTAAGGGGGTGCTTTAAAATACTGTACTGTACTGTATCCCTAATTGTCACTCACATTTGAAGGGTTGAAGGGTCACATGTAACACATACAGGTGGCAACATCTTCAAGTTCACCAAACCACAATGTAGGACAGAAAACAGATGCCTTTTCACTGATAGGTACATAAACTCATTGAACTGCCTACTCGCTGATGTTGCAAATGCCAAGATATTACAGTACTGCAGTTCAAAATCCAATTTGAAAAAAGTTATCGGGAAAAAGAGGAGTTGTATACAATTACAATACAATACAATTTTATTTAGGTAAGGTACATACATACAATAAATATTTACAAGAATTGTTTGACTTATAGGTAGAGCTAGTACATACAATGCCTAAAGCCACTATTACGCAAAGCGTTTCGGGCATGATAAACTTAAATGACAAGCTTAATACTAATTGAGCATAATGAGTAGAATGAAAACAAGAAATGAAAACATAGATGAAAAAGCAGCACAAATACAATTATGTCGACAAACAGCGCTCTTTAAAGAAAAAAAACAGACATTGGTTGACAATAGAAGGGTAAGGTAGGTTACAGGGAATTTATTAGGTATAGCTTCGCTTTTAACTTAAACTGGTTGAGAGAGGTACAGTCTTTAACATGGTTGGGAAGGTCATTCCACATTCTGGGCCCCTTGATTTGTAGAGCATTTCTAGTTTGATTAAGTCGTACTCTAGGAATATCAAAACTGTATTTATTTCTGGTGTGATGATCATGGGTTCTGATACAACCTTCTATGAAGCTTTTGAGATCAGGATTGGCATTATAGTTTAGCGTTTTATATATGTATAATACACATGAGAGAATGTGCAGTGACTTAATGTCTAACATATTCAGAGATTTAAGTAGGGGTACCGAGTGATGTCTGGGGCTTTGTATGACAAACCACTGGCTTCCTGTCCTTGTCGAGGCCAGTAGATACAAGGTGACCATCATGTAAATTCAGGAAAGGCACCCCAACATGCACAAACTTGAACTGTAAAGATTTGAATGGCAGGGACAGGGAGGTTGCTCAAAAAGTTTAAATAAGTTAATACCCTATATCTGAGCATGGCTCCCTCTGCCACTCCTCAAGTCAGCTTTCCCCAAAAATATATGCCCCTAATATAAGATAAAAAATATGGGAGGATTTACCTAGCCAGCCATTGTTGCCTAGACAAGGCAAGCATACCCAGCAAATAAAGGAAAAACCTTTCCCATGGATCATTTATATAACAGAACTGTTTGCAAAGTTTCTTGTCACAGTGGAGTGAAGGTCGATGAGAGTCTGGCATCTTGACAGTGTCCTGGATCCTGGCTTGAATGATCAAGGGTCAGTCTTTCTCAGAAATATAAAGTGATATAGTTAATTAGTCAGTCAATCTTATTTTTCCTTTATAAGCAAGCTGTTAGATATGATGATCTTGCAGGCAAAATATTATATTTAATCAAAATTCTGTCACATTTTTGGTTTTCAACACATAACCATGTTCATCTTTCTTCCATACAATCTTCATCACTGGACACTAATTATTTTCTTGTTGTAATTGGCAGGTATGCAAATCACACATCCGAGCTTCAAGGATATCTTGCATCTCTCCACATGATCCCTGCTAAAGACAGACCCACACTTATTATCATCGATGATCTTCATTACTACACCACACCCCAAGATTATGGGTCTGTTTGTACAATGTAAACATTTTGGGTGATATTATCTTGCACTCTGTAGAAAGCAACTGTTTAATAATGAATATACAGCAATATCATGGACACTATATTACACATGAAAATTTAGTCCACAAATGGGTATATGCAAGTATTTAAAATATGTATAAATATTGCAGATATAGGCTGTTTAAGCTTAAAGAGGAAGTTTACTGAGTACTGTCATTGGTGGTGTGTGTCTTGCATGTATTGTCATCTGGATACACTGCTTGTATTCTGTGAGGCACCAAAGAAGGGCAAGTGATATAGTATTGTGTGGTGTAATACTGTATACAAAATGGTGGGTGGTATAATATTGGCTGGTTTAATACTGATATACTGTACCAACATTGATGAGTGGTATATTAAATTGTGGTGTAATACTGATGTATCAAGAATGGTGGATGGTATACTTGTGTCGTGTAAGACTTATGTATAAAGAATGGTGAGTGGTATACTTGTGTGGTGTAATACTGATGTATCATGAATGATAGATGGTATACTATTGTGTGGTGTAATAATTTATCAAGAATGGTGGGTGGTATACTCGTGTATCAAGAATGGTGGATGGATAATACTTAGTTGTGTAATACTACAATGAGTAGAAGGTAGAAGAGAAGGTTTACTGCTTTCCCTTTTGCCCTCCTTTCCTGGTGGATGCCTCTCCACCCTACAGCTGTGGGAGACTGACGTACAGATAGTAATGTTGATGAATAAGATATCATAATTTAATTATAATTAGTCATTTACTTATTTATTGTTTACTCCTATTTTCTTTTAGTGAATATCCCCTTCCTTCTTCCATCCCCTATCCCTTATGGAAGCCGGAAACTTTCCCATGTCCCTTCCACCTTTTATGGAAGCAGTAAACATCTCCCTTCCTCTTCTACCCATTATGGAAGCAGTAAACATCTCCCTTCCTCTTCTACCCATTATGGAAGCAGTAAACATCTCCCTTCCCTTTCCTTACGGAAGCAGTAAACATCCCCTTCCCTATCCTTATGGAAGTAGTAAACATTCCCTTCCCTCTCCTTATGGAAGCAATAAACATCCCCTTCCCTCTCCTTATGGAAGTAATAAATAAATAAATAAATAAATAAATAAATGTTTATTTAGGTAAGGTACATACATACAAGAGATTTTACAAAAATTGATAGATTTACAGATAGAGCTAGTACATACAATGCCTAAAGCCACTATTACGCAAAGCGTTTCGGGCAGGAAAAACATTAATGACTAAAACTTAATACTAATTGAATATAAAGAATAAAATGTGTTGAGAACAAATAAAAATAAAAATAAAAAAGGGGGGAACATGGCTGAAAAAGCAGCACAAATACAATTAGGTCAACAAACAGCGTTGTTTAAAAAAAACAGACATGGGTTGACAATAGAGGGGTAAGGTAGGTTACAGGGAATTTATTAGGTAGTGCTTCGTTTTTATCTTAAACTGGTTGAGAGAGGTACAGTCTTTAACATGATTGGGAAGGTCATTCCACATTTTGGGTCCCTTGATTTGTAGAGCATTTCTAGTTTGATTAAGTCGTACTCTTGGAATATCAAAACTGTATTTATTTCTGGTGTGGTGCTTATGGGTTCTGTTACAACCTTCAATGAAGCTTTTGAGGTCAGGATTGGCATTACAGTTCAGTGTTTTATATATGTATAATACATTATATAATAATATAATAATAAGTAGTAAACATCCCCTTCCCTCTCCTTATGGAAGCAGTAAACATCTCTCTCCTTCTTCTACCCATTATGGAAGCAGTAAACATCTCCCTTTCCCTCCCTTCTGAAAGCGGTAAACATCCCCTTCCGTCTCCTTATAGAAACAGTAAACATCTCCCTTCCTCTTTTACCCATTATGGAAGCAGTAAACATCCCCTTCCTCTCTTTATAGAAGCAGTAAACATCTCCCTTCATCTTTTACCCCTTATGGAAGCAGTAAACATCTCCCTTCCTCTTCTACCCATTATGGAAGCAGTAAGCATCCCCTCCCTCTCCTTATGGAAGCAGTAAACATCTCCCTTCATCTTCTACTCCTTATGGAAGCAGTAAATTGGAGTAATAATACTGATTGTTCTTTATCAGAGATACAGCAACACAGATGGCTAACGCTGCAAGGCTCCTCTCTCTGGCTCAGGAGTCTGCAGAGTATTGCAACACCTCTCGTACCAGTGGCAGAGACAGCAGCTCACGTATGTATCTCAATGGTATGGACGCTAACCTAACAACTTTGCTAATATGGGGTTTGGAAACGTGAAGTAGTAATTGTGTTCAGCTGCAGTACTGTATTTGTATGCAAGACCCTGTACTTATAGAAGTACAGGGAAACGAAACTTTGCCCGAAATGCTATGCGTACTAGTGGCTTTAGGTATTGTATGTACTACCTCTATCTTTAAATCTAACAGAATGTTTGTACTGTAATGCTGCAACTATTTATGTACTGTTCCTAAATAAATTATTATTATTATTAAGTGTCAGATTCCTTCAAAATCTTTTGAATGAAATTTGCAAGTATGTGGACTGGTCATATTTATAATGTTTTAGAGCAGTGCATCTGTGCTATTTAATCTTCTGATCTTGTGTCTTCCCACTAAGTAGATGGCTTTATTTTTCTCAAAGTGTGTGCAAGATTGCTCGTTGGCCACACAGTGACAAACACGGTGGTGTGAACTCTTGTCTAGCATTGTTTATTACAAAATCTATCTTAGTCATAGGAATTTGAGAACATTGCTATAAAACATATATATTATCACTATTATGGGAAGTTTCATTATTTTTTATTAATTTGCAGTTCTATATATTTTAAATATTTTATCTGAATACCTAAATGTATTGTGTGGAAAATCAAGACTAGACCTAGATATTCTAGTCAAAACTGCACACTTTCAGGAAACTAAGAGGACAGAAGAGCAATCACTGACACTCAAAAAGGGCAGAAAGCACAACTATTATATATAGTTATAATATGTTTAGAACCGAGTATTATATGTACGAATAGTACAAAACATCCATTAGACAGTCTGATGTTGTAATTGCCAGAATTAGGCTGTATGTTGATATCTATAGCAGATGGCTGCTGGTAATGAATCCCCTCAATGTTCAGCATTTCAGTTGTAAACAATGTAAATAGAAGCTTGTGTGTCTTGTTATCAATAACTTTAGACCAAATGGTAAAAGATGCTTTGAGCTCTGTAAGTGCTATATGCACTCACAAATATTGTTAGATATTTCTTGTGCTTTAATCAGAGTTTAATAATGCAGGCTAGTAGACTAGACTTGCATTTCATGTTCTTTCCTGATTTCATGACTAACTATCTCGTGAGATGTGGAGATATTAGATTAACTCATAGCTAGCTCTTGATCTACACTGTAATCCTTCATATGGAATAGGGTAGCAGCACATTGCTGTGTGCACCTAAGTTTATTAAAAAATAAGTTAGAGAATTAAAATAACACAAGATGGAGGGCAGCGTTGAAAGTACAGTATAGCAAGAAAGGACCCTGTCGAGCAAAGATTTATATGCCATCTTCATAAATTTGCTCTTTTTAGGCAGATCAAATATATTAAAAGTGGAAGAATGTAGTTCACTAGAGCCAAGTTGAGAATGAGTATGATGCCGTGGCCTTCCATCAGAAGCGAGGGAACATGTGCCGAAGTGTTTACAATCATCAAGGAATTTGCGAGTAGCTGAGAGCTGGACACAGTGGGTGACGTATCAGTTACCTCTACCACAGAAGTAGCAGGGGTGGAAGGAAAGTATTGGAAGTGATCAGGGGCTAATGTGGAGTCACGACCCACCACAGCAGCTGTTGAGCCAGCAGGGAGCTGAGTAAGAGGGAAGTAGATCTTTAACAAAAGCCCGACCAATGGACCTGCTACATAATTCTGATAGTAAGAGAGAGAACGAGGTTTCTATACAATATGGAGATATGAAGGTTGGATCCCAAGGCAATGGGATATCACCTATCTGGGTATTAAGGAGATCCAAATGCTAGCTGGTGCAGACGGTATCTAATCCCTAGTAGCACTTCCCTGTTTCAACATTGGTTGACATCGATTTGACATCTGGAAAAATGTGTCAACATAGTAGGCAAAAAAGGGAAGATGAAGCCATCCACAACTGCCTAAGAACAGTGCACAAGAGTTCTCTCACCTCGTCAAGGCAGTACTCGTTAGGGGGTGTTGGCAAATAATTTCTTTTCCTCCTGTATATGTATATTTAGTTAAAAGTATTTCACCCAAGTATGAGTGTATTTAAATTGCCTGTTAATGCTCACCTTATATTTTACAAGGTTTTATTTACACTATTATTTTCTCAATTTCAGAACATAGTACATCCTGTCAGTGTAGTGTTCTTGTCTCTTGGACGCACCAGAACTCTAACACCTTGAAGCTCAACGAGTTGGAAGCATCTGCCAAAGATTTTTGTCACGATGTTTGGATTATGCAATTAAATAAGGTAAGAATTATTTAGCTAATAGTAATATATATTAGATTTATGTCATGAACAGTTAATGATTATAGTACATTGTGTTCTCACTTGAATGAACTATATGGGGCGAGGCCGATTCGTTTCACCACGGAATTCGTTCTACCCGTCGGCCCCAGACTGTCCCTCCCCCTTCATGTGAAAATAACAGAGGTCCTACATCCACTCTCAACAAAACAAAAATCATAGAAAATTTATTTATTATGTATTAATCATTTTGAACATGGTACATGATACAACAATCATTGGTAAACAATTCCATATTAAAATCATAACTATGTAACTGTTATTGGTGGCCGCAAATATGATGTAATGGCCAGGATTTCCATAAGCCAACTGTATCAGTATACAGTAGTACCTCGGAATACGAGCGTCCCTGTTTACGAGTTTTTCGGATTACGAACAGGATTTGCTCGGAAAATTCACATTGGAATACAAGTGTTGCCTCGGAATACGAGGGTGTTGATATGCGTACAGGCCGACTAGCGCATGGTGGCACGGTGATCACGCCTTAGTTTACTAGTGCCTCGCACCCAGTGACTATCCCGCCTGAATTCTTCACAAGGATTTACAGTTTTTTGTCGGATTTTTGGCCATTTGAGCATAAAAGTTGATGTTATATATCTCGCAATGGGTCCCAAGAAACCAGTGGTAAGGTTCAACCTAAGAAAATAGTTGTGAGTAGAGGCAGTAGAGGATTTCCCTTCTTCATTAAGAAAATGTGTGAAGTATGGGAAGAATTGCAAAGTTTTGTTGAAAAAACTCACCCAAATAAAGCTATAGAAGGCCGTTGCATTGACCTTTTAAATGACAATGTGATGTCTTACTACAGACAAGTGTTAAAATGTAGGGAAAAACAAGTGTCTTTAGACAGATTCTTAGTAAGACAAGCAAGCAGTGAGCCACAAGCAAGTCCTAGTGGCATGCAGGCAAAACATGCCAGAGAGTGTACACCAGTGAAGTCCTCACTGCCTGATGTTATAATGGAAGGGGACTTCCCTTACAAACAGTAACACCTCTCCTCCTCCCTCCTCCTCACCATCTTCCATACGCCAACAGCAGTCATCAGCAAGGGTAAGTAATAACTTGAACATAGTTTTGTAGTGTAGATTTAGATGAATTAGGTATAAAATTTAGTTTGAAGTGAGGTTTTTGGATAGTCGGGAACGGATTAATTCATTTCCCATTATTTCTTATGGGGAAATTAGCTTCGGTTTACGAGTTTTCGGATTACGAGCTGTCTCCAGAAACGGATTAAACTCTTAAACCGAGGTACTCCTGTATAAAAATATTCATAAACAATTAATTTATTATGAATTCTTAATTTTCACTGGCATTTGATAGAACAGTCACAAACAACTTGGAATAAAAATGCTATATATATGAGCATTATTGAATCCAATCAAGCGAAATCACATTTTCTTAACAAATTGACGAGAGGAGGGGTTTGGTTGGCAGGCCGCCGGTGGTAGGGGGTCGGGACCAGCCGCTTGTAGTCAGGTGCAGGAGGGGGAGGGGTTTGTAGCATGTCGGCAGTAGAGGAGGGAAAAGTGGCGGCCAGACTGGAAGGCCTTGGGCCAAACGAGGTCTCATGCCAGACCTCAGACCAGGCCTCAGACCAGACTTCAGACCAGACCTCAGACCAGGTCTCAGACCAGGCCTCGGGCCAGACTTCAAACCAGGCCTCGGGCCAAACTTCAGACCAGGCCTCGGGCCAAACTTCAGACCAGGCCTCGGGCCAGACTTCAGACCAGGCCTCGGGCTATACACTATAATAGCTTTCCGTACCCGATTTCTTAGTTATCAGTCATCTAGTACTCGGGTTCAATCCCTGCAAGGTACAGAAATGATTGGGCATGTTTCCTTTCACTTGATGTCTCTGTTCACCTAAAAGTAAATTTGTACCCTGGGATTAGCCAATTGTTGTGGTTAGCATCCTGGGGAAGGTCAGTACATAGTTGGCTTTGGGGGACCTGGATAAGTCTTAAGTACAGGCTTCTTGTCCACAACAATGGGATTTATTACTACTGTATACAGTACTGTACCTTGATCTTTGTCATATCTCCTCTTGAAGCAATATAGGTAAGGTTACTACCAATTATCAGTCTGTGAATATTTCCATTTCCAGATGCCAATGGATGAGTCATATGTTTGAATATTTGAATCACCTTTTGCATATTTGTAGCCTGAAGGTGTTAGACACTGAGGCAAATATTAAAATATTACTGCTTGCTTCATTAATGTTGTCATTTTGGTAATAATTTAACAGTTGGGCTGGAGCTCATGTAGATGAATCTCCTTACAATAATTAATTACAATAGGATAAAGGGTTTCTCCATCTACATGGGTGCAAAGTTTGTTGTTACCTGGTTGATGGGGTTCTGGGAGTTCTTCTACTCCCCAAGCCCGGCCCGAGGCCAGGCTTGACTTGTGAGAGTTTGGTCCACTAGGCTGTTGCTTGGAGCGGCCCGCAGGCCCACATACCCACCACAGCCCGATTGGTCCGGCACTCCTTGGAGGAATAAATCTAGTTTCCTCTTGAAAATGTCCACGGTTGTTCCGGCAATATTTCTTATTCTTGCTGGATGTTACTGGATGTCTGTGATGGCCTGTTAGGCAGCTTCCCATTGTGCACACACAATGTGCACATTGTGCAAGCAAGTTAAATGTTAGTTAGGTGAGAAGGTGATGGAGGCCAAAACTGTCTCAAAGCGTTATATGACAAAGAGTGCTGGGTCGACAGGACACCACAAGTGTAGCTCTCATCCTGTAACTACACTTAGGTAATTACACTATGGTACCAGCTTTTGCAGTCTTCAACTGTAAACAGTGCTAGTGAAGGTAAACCACTTTTTTTTATGAATAGGAATTTGAGGCTTCAGGAAACTTTCTATATCTGGACCTTTTGGTTCACCTTCTGGAACAGGGGGTTTGGTCTATTGAGTCATCATTGTTTCCATGCTTCCTTCACCCCTTGATTAGGGCTACTATACAGCCTTGGACTGCTGCTTCTATTGTTTTTGGATTCTCACATGTTTAGTGACGATCTGTTGGCTAATGCGATAATGGTAGCAGTGCCTGAACTCTGCTCATGGATCCATCCTGTGTGTTGGGCAACATTGATATCATCTGTTTGAGAGATGGGGTTAGAAATCAAGCATTAAATGAAATGGCCTTTTTTGAGCTGGGAAGCATATTGGCCATGCATGATTAAATCAGGAGCACTTAATGGAACAGATCTACACCTTACTGTCAGAAGTAAATTGTCTCATTTACAGTCATTCACCTCTAAAAAAGAAAATAAGTAATTATCAAAAGAAGGCAAAAAACCGGGAAGGCTATGTAGCACCATCAAATGTGCAGAATAATCAAGAGGGTGCTAAATATCACCAAGGATACCACATCCACCTCTTAAGAATATCTTGATTTTGAGAATTGGAAGACTTGATTTCCATTCTACTGTATTTTTTTTAGTTGCATATATTCCTTGATGAATTCGTCAGTGAACCTGATTCCTTTGACAATCATCCGTCTTTTCTTTCTCATATCTATTTATCATATCTTTCTAATCTAGAAGCTCGAATATTTTGTGAAACTTTTATATTAAGCCTTCTGAGATTTTCTGTTGGTAATTACTGAAGCAGTATACATGAAAACACCAGATACACAGTTTGGAAGTGAGAGCAAGGAGGTACTGTATAATACAAAGATTGCAGATGCACAGTTTGGAAGTGAGAGCAAGGAGGTACTGTATAATACAAAGATTGCAGATACACAGTTTGGAAGTGAGAGCAAGGAGGTACTGTATAATACAAAGATTGCACAGTATGCTGAAAATAGCAGGAACAATATGGAACATAAATTTCCTGTGTAGCTCAAAATTAAATGTTTTGTAACTTCAGGCACCTGTACTATACATAAGACATTTGTTCCACACACACACACACACTGTACATAAGGATTAGGGGTGAGAGTACAGTATGTGTGAATATTTATAGTAGAGGAATAAGGAAGAGTATGCAGAGACCATAATACAGGAATATTACATCATATTTTGTATTTTCAGGAAAAGCACAAGGGTTCAGCAGAATATCTTTTAGTAGAACAATCAGGACCCAGCTGCACTATATCATTTTCAGCTCGTAACTCTCCACCATCACAACACCTCCTCCTGCACCAAGTCACTCTGGAAGTTGAAAAAACAGAAGATTTGCTGGAAAATACACAAACCAAAGACCAAAAATCACACGAAAAATGACATTGAAAATGTGGCAGTAAAGGTTTATCTGGTGTATTGCAGGTAGGCTTATCCTTGGGACACTTACTCCACCAGGTGTAGGTAATCAACTCAATGCCTTTTTTTTTTTCAGTACACTGATTTTGGTTATACCAATAGTATTCCATACAGTTCCCAGTGCATATCTCAAATGCTGGTCCAGAATGATGTCCATCCTACCCACCAGAAATTTTATAAGACTTCACAGTGGAGCCCACTCAAGTGTACAAAAATTACCATTTAATGTGTAGTTACGTTGCACATGAAAATACATTCTAAAACAGTTGCAGGTAGCAGCGATAAAATTGCTATCTGAAAATAACTTTCTGAATGTGACAAACTACCATTATGGCAAGGTTGATTTTTAATTTTTCCATTTCTATCTTGCAACTTTGTTTTACTAAAGTAATTATTGCAATTTTTTTTAATATGTACCATGGAAAGTAATGTATATAAGTACAATAGTGTATAGCTGCAGATTAAAATAACATGAATGACCACATGAGGCACATAACTTTTGCAGCACCATTAGCCTGAACCCTTTGGCTGTAACACCTATCTTGCACTTTCCCCACCACACAAGGGCTAAAGCAACCATAAAACTAAATTTTGATAATTGCATTTTTCCATATCCTATATAAAAAAAAAGTTTCTTCAGCTGTGTAGTAAAAAAAAAAAAAAATGGTAACGATGAAAAAGTATTATTAGCAGGAGTCCAATGCTGAACAGTTTAGTGATAAAAGCACATATTGAGCAATAAACAAATCTAGTCATATTCTTAGGGCTAGACATTGATATAAATATCTTAACAGAGGTCACTATAGTTTTATTTTTTACATTATTAATAGATTACTCATACAAATAGTTTAAATGTACAGGCATTATGTCTAGTAAATCTTTGATAAAAACTAAAGGCTGCCTTAATTGGAAACACTTTTATTATTGACATTTGAAGGTTGTTCTCAACACACATACCACATCATAAAATCAAAACACTGCAAAAATACATAAGGATCTTTCATATTTCATACATGTATAATTTGTTTAGTTTATGACATCTTTAAGGTGTCACAAACTATGTTAATTAAACACCTCCACCTTCCATACCAAATTACATTAATATTTGGCTCTTCTCCTTAATCAAATTAAACATGACTAATTATAAATATTTATTTTGAAAATGTTTTCACTATACTGTACATGCACGACACAGATGCGTGCGAGTGTTTTTGTAAAGTACATCATAAAATTATATTGGACATCACAGCCCTAACACAGAAATGAGCACATTCCTTTTGTTCAGTTTACATATACAAGCTTGAAAATATTTTGTTAATCATAAACTTGAACCTAATTTTTGTATACAAGACAAATGGTGCACCTAAACTATTGGACGATAAATTGTGTGAATATTGATTAAACCCTATCCAACAGCACACATCATCTTGCTCAAATAGGGGATTTTTTGTTTTTTTTACTTGGACCCTATATACTGTATACAGTAGTTGCAGCCTGTGTGTGTAGTATAGCATCCTAAAACTATTAATCTCGGGGGCATTTTTCAATAAGCTTATTTAAAACACTTAAAATTATGTAAAGCTGGACCATGCTCAGTAAAGTCACTAACCTAGTTTGGGCTGGAATCTACCACTTACATGATATGTATCGACATTGTATCAATTTTATAAAATTCCTGAAGAAAATAGATGCTAATGAAGCTCGCCTTATGTAGCAATTATTTCTAATTTGAAAAATATTAACACTTTTTACAAATATGGTGTTGATCTCTGGGGCCACACCTCTGGCCTCTGATGTACATAAGAAGACCATTTAGGAAATTCCCATTCATCGGTGACCTACACAGTGCTCCCCAGCATCTTAAACCCTTTATGCCAATAGCACAACTATTATTTTTCAAACAGGATACTTATTTATCAAAACACAGTGCTAACCCTGAAAGAGTATAGCACCATCTGTCAGAGTATTCAAACGTTCCCAGACATAAACAAAAATGGAATGAGGTGTGCAATATCAAAGGAGGCAGATTCATTGATGATTTTATGAGTGACAAATGCCTCAAAGGAACAGTGAGAAAACAAGATTTCCAATAATCCTTATATTCATAACATTCTATGAGGTGGTGATGCAGTACGGTGCAGGTCTCCGTTTCATTAAGTGCCCATGAGCTAATCTTATGACCTTAATTCTAAGTAATATATGTCCATAAATAAATGGCAACTGCTGAATTCAAAATGAATAATGTCCAAATAAATACCGGTAACAAAAATGGTAGAAATCTATAGCCTTAGGCAAATAATAAATAAAATTTCCTTTTTAACGCTAATATTCCAATTCATTTACACGTACCCAACCTTAAATGTTCCAGGCATCTCGTGGTTCTGTTCAGTCGGTCATCAGGGCCTTGAGTAGCTTCAGACAAAATATAGCACGTTTGGCTTTCAGAAATACTGCAGCAACCCTACTTTTCCTGACTGTAGCCTCGAAGAAAACTAAGTACCCTCTGCACCTTCAAGTCCTGAATGGTAACATCTGTGTTGGCATTCCTCCCATACTGTCAGGACCACGATTCATAAAGTATTTATGCAGCCACTTATGAAACCTGTTCATCTGTCATCATGGAAACTTCTTTTTTTTATATATTTGCTAAAACAATTTGAGCCCCAAAACACTATGTAGTTTATAACAATAAAAACCTTAGCTTGTGATGTTTTCAAGCTTGTAAACTGTTTAATAGACATCTTTCCTCAATCATGGTGTGTTTGTTTACATGTTTTAAATGGATGCAGAAATGCTTGATGAAACCTGGCCCTGTGGGTGACAATTGCTGATGTGGGAGCAATGGTATAGTGTGTACAACTACGAAATCATCGCAGCTCATCCAAGTCGTCGTCCTTGTGAGATGAAGCAACCCCAGTAATTATTAAGAAGTTGTTAGCCAGTGTGGTTATATAGTGGTGTTTATGATAAGAGAATATTCAAGAGCTGCAAGATACCAGAGGATGGTAAACAGGAGCAGAAAGACATATAATGAACAAGAACAAGGGAGTCGGATTCACTGCTGATCTTATCAAGGGACACATGGCACATACTAAACACTACACCACAGGTGTCACCAGTACAGTACTAAACCAGACCTCAAACCTGTAACAGAAGGCACTCCTAAGATTCCTAAATGATGCAGGAACTCGATGCAAAAATAATAAATAAAAAATAGATGCCTAATACTGCATATTGGATATTCCTCTAAAAGAATAACTTAACATTTTATTTCACTACACACATTTACCATATGCTCCAAAACTGTTCATGTTCACTTATGAACAGTCAATTCATATTCGTCGTAATGTTTATGTTAAACTATCACATTTGTTATATTGCCTTACGAATAAGTTCTTACTACATTGCACATTATTATATCTGCATATACCAGCATCTTGCATGCCAATCAATCAAGATTACACAATTTCACATAATGTAGCTTGTATTGTCTTTATTTTGTAAACTCCAGTGGAAACAGCTCAAATAACTTTCTAATTTTGATTTGAAGTTTGCTTTTTGAAGGTACGTTTTTTGTTAAATCCCATCCCAACACTTAATGCACTAATTTCTATGCTATTGACCAGTCACCATTCCAGTTTTTTTTGTGAAATTAAAAACATCACAATATTGACATTCGTCAGAACTAATGAGCATTGGCCTTGACAGGTTTAGTGGGTTGCTTATGTTTGTATGCTTCTGGCTAGGCTAAATTACTGCATTGTGCTTAAAATTTAATACCAGTCAAAACGTGAAAATGGATTGATATAAGATGACAATTTGTCTATGCGGGGAAAAAATATTCTTATAAAAGGGTAAGTTTGCACGTAAAACCTAGACAACAAAAAATATTATATACAGTACATCATTACTGGTTTGGTGAGCTATAGAAGGAAATCAGGTAGCAGAGACAGTGTTCGTTGACACCTGATGCAAGGTTTGTTGACACAGTGGTAGGGTGCATAAGGACTTTGTCCACCTTGAAAGTTTTTATGTTTATGAAATGTAATGTTTGAGTCAATGTGCAGCTTTGACCAAAACAGTGATCGAGTACTGTACAGTAGATGTAGATTTATATGTATGTATGTATGTATATGTATATATATATATATATATATATATATATATATATATATATATATATGCCTACAAATGTAATATGTACACCTATTGCTCAAAAACCTTTTTTTCTGACAAATCTAAAAGGAAATGCCTTGCAACCCACTCCTGTGCTGTTATTCTGTCAATGTCATTCAGGCAGGGATTCAAACATTGGTAGTAAAGTCGAAATTGTCATTTGACAAGAACTGCAGTCCCTAGTACACTATAATGTTATTCCCATAGTAAGCCATTCACATACAAACAGGGCAATAACGAAAAATTGTCAAATGATGAAAAACTGCAGTGGTCCCGATCAACAAACAATGATGACCAAACGTCAAGCATCTATTCCTTAACTCATGACCTATTGCAACTTTCTTACCTTACAGGTAAAGCATTATCAATAAAGTACTCTCACCTTGTTTCAATAAATTAAATTTATATTTTAAGATTCAAACTGATGTTCTGGTACTGTACATGTTTACAATCATTTTTTTTCAATCAACTCTTGTTGAGAATACAATATTATAGTCATGTTATTACAAGTATACAGTACTGTATAGTGCCTCTAGACTGCAAAGTCTGTACTATTCTATCAATTGGTCTATACGTCTCTTAACATACAATATGAAGTAATCATCAATAGAAGGTGCCAAGCCAGGAAGACTGTAACAGAATGTGATAAAATCAGCCTTTATTTTGAATTGGTTCATTATCTTATTACAGACTAGTGTGTTACATGTGAGCTATGTTAAAATAAATATGACTATATATCTCGTTATCTAAAATAAACTTGTCAAACTGAATGATATACACATGTGAATATACATACATTGTGTATGCATGTATGTAGATATAAATACATCTTGTATGCATGCATGTGGATATAAATATGGAGAACTAGAGGGGGGGGGGGGGTGACCATGATTTTTGAGTTTAGATACAGCACTAGAACCACTTGATGTTTTGAGATTATAGATTATATCTGTTGTAGGTCACATGACATGCTTATGCAAACAAGACTGCTACAAATATGATGACATTAATTACACAAAAAATGCTTTAGTGGTACAAGAAATTTTAAATGTACAGGAATGTGATGTGAAACAGTTCTGCACCAAGTAAAAAACTGGCATTGGCAGAGAAGTGAACAAGCTACGTTTGCTGCAGTACCATTTAACACGAACGTGTGTAATCTTTCAGCGAGTATATACACTGTACCTGTAATCAACAAACATATACAAGTATCTAGCCAAGTCTAAACTATTTCCCAATATGTATAGATTGCTTAAGATTAATCACAAACGTAAGAATTGGAATGTTTGAAATTAGAGGTAAAAGGTTCACCTTGAGTTCTTCTCTATTTCTGCTGGAATGCTATTTAAAGTTAAAAGGTTAACTTAAATTCCCAAGTAGATATTTCAATATTTTACTTTCATTTCCTAACCTGTAGGCAAATTAAAATTTAGGAGCAAATGATGATTGAAGTTCCAAAACTCTCCTTTCCAAAATATGATAACACTGTATTATACCAAAGGAAATTATTTCCTTACAAATCAATGCCGAATTAGAATTCAACTTTTTGACTGCCCTAATTAATATAGATGTTTATAAAATATTTGAACAAGCTGAACAATTTCCGAGAGTCTTACTTTACGAAGCAGCTTGTGGTGCATGAGCTGGCAGGCAGCAGCAACTTTCCACAGGTGTTCAAAATAAGTCACCAGTATGCAGTCACGCATTTCAACGAAAGTGTTCAGTGAGACCAAAATACATAAAGGTACAACATCAAACAACAACTAGAATATGTTGTTTTTAAACTACAGTATTCCTATTATTAAAATAAATACACAAAACATTAACTGACAAGAATAAAACAGTTTTTTCTCTAAAGATGACGTGTTGCATGTATCTTCCATAATAACTGCTCAAGCAATTATATGAACATAAAAGAAACAATATCATTTGCATTTCAAACAGAAAATGTATTATATATTTTAAATCTACAGATAATTAATTTTTACATACAACATTTTGTATAGGATTCAGTAATTAAGGTCAGACATTCAGTAAAATATATTTAACATTCAAAGTGAAAAAAATCTTACTGTAAGATAAAATAAATAAAAAAAAATCTTGCTGCAAGGTTAGATATCCATGTGAATTATCATCACTTATACAGCCTAAAATATAACATACTTATACTGTATTATTTCCTGAACACCTTCTTTACGAGTATTTTCATCTAAAACAAGAGTCTAACTAGAACATATTGTAAAACTAATGAATAATCCCCTTGGAATGGTAGTTGATTTAAGAAATCAAAAACCATAAACAAGCTCCAAATACTGTACTGTTTATGGAAAATATTAAATTCTTGTTATAAGTGAGAATAATGATTACTTCTCTTTACTGTATCAAGCGTCGAAGGAAATGCTGCTATGGGACGAAAGAATGGTACTCAATCTCTCTATGGATTATGCTTTTAACTTCAAGTCCTTCAGTCAACCTGAAATTTAAATTAAAATATATATAATATTGAAGTAAGTGTATCAGCACTTCTCTCTCTCTCTGTCCACATAATTCTTTCACCGAGACAAGTTCAAGTACAGTATATTTTTACCCCCCCCCTCCCCCCGCTCATCATAATTCTTATAATTCACTACAATAGGGTTTAACATGTCAAACCTGGACGTAAGAGGAATCGGTAAGTGGCAGCCATGGTTTACGGAAGTAGCACGAGTCTAGAGGGTTGTTATGAGGACTATTGAAATCTAATAGGTACTTGCTAGCCTGTGGAAGAAATGGATCCAAGATTAGAATGGTTTGAAATTTATTAATATCGGGTTAAATATCCTTCAAATATAAACTATGCTTCACAGGTTGAAAGTTAGGTTATCAATCTAAACTAAGGTAATTAAGCTAATCGAAAAAAATAACAGGTTAACTCATTGAAGACAGGCACCATACACTGATATCTTTTTCAGAGATAAATCCAAAGCAATGAGTACACATGGTGGGGAAAACATAGCACTATAAGAACCACAAAAGGTGTAAAGTTATATCTTGCATAATGCAAATTGGTTTCCTCTTGAGATCAGCTCACAAAAGGAAATAATTGTTCTTATTTACATCAATCAGCTTGCAAAAGATGGGGAGTAGGTCTCCTGTCTTTTTGTGATTAAGTCACAAGAAACAAATTTACATATCCTATCATCTTTCTATCCTCAATGACTTATTTCTTTCACCCTTAATGTGTTAATAAAGAATCAAGGATGAGACAAGCAAAACTATAGAAAAACAAGAAGAGTAACAGTTCCATTTCCATACCCAAAACTTACAAGATATAAGACCAATTTTGTCTTGTCATTGGCAGTCATGTCCTCACCAATCGTGGATGGGTACAACTGGCCATGCTCTGTGATGTATGTGGCCAGGAGTGTGGAGCACAAGTCCCCATCAACTCCCCACTCCCCCATGATAGCTCCTGCAACACAACACAAAATATATTAACGTGTTAAAAAAAAAAATGCTCAATAAGGAATTATGTTGGCTCATTAAGACATGATTCCTAATCAATTATTATGAACCATTTATAATTTTGAATAACAAAAGAACCTGGTTATTGTTTTATTTATGCATGTCATGCATATTGTGGATATTGTCATTATGGTGATATCATTCTAGAGATAGCTGATGGAGACAAAATGTGAGCACTGCAGTGTCAACTATGCTTTGTGGGTGCATTGAGATGTAGATTACATTTATATCTATATTATACATTCTGTATTGATATTTCTTGCATCTGCTTGTCCCTTGTGATAGTGCATCCATTGCACATTCAGTGGTCAAGTCATTTCTTGTTTGACAAGCAAGTAGCTTGACCACGTCACAAAGTCATTTATTCCCCTTTGTTTAACTATAATAGCACTGTAATAAGTTCTTGAATAAACTTAGGTAAAGGACATTAACTATCACCCTGATGCAATTCTGCTCTTTTGTGCCAATTTTAAAAGCCCAGCTTTATTTATTGATGTTTAGGTCATGTAGATTTAACTAGTGCTGGCAACAATTGCCTATAACTTCCCACTCTTTCCTTAGGCTGAGCTGTGTATAATAAGCCAAAGTGTACGTTCTTGAGGGTGGGTGAAAAATATTTTGACATCTACCCTTTTCTTTTTCTTTTTCAAATCTAGTGATCTGAGCAACAAACCTTGTAGAGGAGGCTCTTCAGACAGCCATTGAAGGAGTACCTCAGTGGACTGGGTGCACAACAGCTCTGGGTACCTAGTCCGCATTAACTTCATTACCAAGTCATTGCTTCGGTTGCATCGAAGCTGAGTCTCACTGGAAAAATATACAGTATATTAAATATATAGTACTCAATATTTTACCACAACATTGTAAAATGTCTAAGATAACTTATCAAAATGATACATGCATCACTCCACACACTTATGTGTAAAGTACGTGTATATGAACTAACTCAACTAACACTTACTTCTGAGTCAATATAATTTTCCCACAATAATAGACCCACACACTTATCTAACAAAAAAGTTACTGATTTATCACCTACATAAATCTACTTTAAATCTGCATCTATTGATCAATAATATCACATTTGTGTGAACCATCCACGCAATAAATAAATAATTGATATTACACCGAGATTGCTCAACAATTTCACATATTAAAGTCAATATTATTTGGTTTCAAATTTGAACATGTTCCATACAGACTAACTAGATGGAATGTTTCACTGGGTCTTACTCATCAGACTCATCAGGCTAGTATAAGTGCAAAATTTTCAACAGTTATATTCCCACATTCTCACTCATCTTGTGCAGCACATTTGTAAATACAGTACTCTATAAATGGAATATAGTAGTGTATAAGAGACATAGTACTGATTAGTTAATGCAGTACTAAATACCTAACGTGCAGCACTATCACATTCATTATTTTACTTTTAATAATTAGCTCAAATATTACATTTACTAATTTCTCAGTAAAAGCAAATGTGTTCTTTGCTACAATCAACAACTTACTCCGTGGTAATTATTTCATCCTTAGTACGTCGAATGAGGGTGACAGGACCATAGTAGAGGGAGAGCTGATCTCCTGGGTTGAGATTTATGTGGTTGCGAATAGCAAGAGTTACAATGGTGCCCATGCAAGCTGGCATCCGAGGAAGAGCAAGGGGAAGAATATCATCAAAAGTAGCATCGAGGATAAGCCCACGAATCTGGAATTTCAGTAGATTCATACAAAATTTAAACCTTATCTATAAATACAATACAGGTACAGTACAGTACAATATTTCAAGCTACTGACAACATATTTATTTATGTTTCTGACAGATCTAACAACGCTTTTGAAGGCTGTAGCTCAAAAAATTAATATAAATTTCAGGAATACACTAGTGATTGTAGAATGTAACATCCATATTATACCTTAAAAACAAAATTATTACATTATGGGTAAATATACAGTATTTGTGAGTGGCCCCGGGCGGGAGTAGCGGCCGCGGGCGAGAGTGGTGGCCCCGGGCGGAAGTGGTGGCCACTTGCTGGTATAGTGAGCATGCTTAACTCCAACATACACTTGTATTCTGCAGTAGCTTTTTATGGTATCTGCAGTACTGCCGTCCTCCTCAGATTTTGCTTTCATTTACTTTGCATTATAAGCAAATATTGAGAAACAAATGCACCCCTTCAGGTATATTAATTCACAGTGATTAGAAACAGCAATGTAATTAGGACTAAATCTTCAGGTACCCCAACTGCTACATCTCTTGATAGTTTCCTGTGGCAGATACAGTACTTCTTTACCCACTCCAGTCCCTCCATCTTTTACACCATCCTTTTGTGTGTATCAAATTCTTTTTTCGTAGTCGAGGACAGTACAATAACTACCTAGCGTGACTCTAAAGCTATGTTGCCGTTCCCACCCCATTTAAAAAGTTTGTCCACTGACAAAATATACGACTGAAATTATATATTAGGACACGGGCTCTACTGATCAACGTTAACATATATTTCTTTCTCTCGCTTTCTTAACCAAATCATGGATGAATTATTTACTAAATCAACAAAAACGATTAACAATTGAATCCCAAGGCAAATGGGATTGGTGTAGTTGGCCATTGAATATATCAATGATATACCTTAGTATATCATTGGCCCAATGATATACTGAGGAAAAATCTGCAGCAAGTAGAGAAAAAATGATTATTAATATCCTATCATCAAGAGCCACCAATATTCAGGGCTGCCGGATTGCATAATCTAAATAACCATTGACCTAAACCTATGATATACGAAGGGCAAATCTTAGTTCACAGAAAGTGAGGAAACAAAGTAAAGGGTAACAAGGTTATCATTAATGTCTAGGGCTGCAAAATTGATATAATCCAACTAACTGAACACAGATGGGAATAGCTATGACCTTCATCAGGAGTACATCAAAGGGGAGAGTGTTCAATGGTTATTTCCTATGTAATATGTGATACTGAAACTTAAACACGGAACTTAATTCCTTGAAGATGGGGAAGATAATGTATATCCAATTAGCAAAAGCCCACTATTCAGAGTTGTGGAAATTATATAAACTTATTAGTCAATGATGTGCAAGGTTGAAGCCCATAGGTAGGAGTGCATCACATGGCAAGGGAGGGGATCCAACATTCATCTTACTATGAACTGATGTGCAAAATTGGAAATTAAATACGGGTCTAATTTGTACAAACCAGCAGTAACATTAAGAATATTGGAACATTGGTTAATAAGGGCGGACTCAATCAGATTTCATTCAACAAAACCTTGTAATGAGCAATTCTCTTTGAACCTCTCAAGTCAATAGAGTGATCATAAACTAGAATATACAATTCACTTGATTGCTGGCTTATTCTAGAATGGCCAAATCAAGTAAGAATGTTGGGATTAACACTCCTTTAAAGATTTACCTATTTGTCCACTGTACATTAATGCACAATCATTGCATGGAATCGAATACACACAACCTGCTATAGATGAGGACGAGTTCTTGATGGAAATGAACTTAATCGTATTGTTGTTTTTTAACACCAGATTAATATTAAAATTTAAATAAACTGGGAAAAGTTTAACTAGTCCTTCAGAATGTGGTAACACGAGCTAGTTTCTAAGTTCCGGTTTAGCTTTGGGAGTACGAATGTAGAATGTACATTTAGCTTGCCCTAATGAGAAATCCAAAAAGATTTTTGTGTATTGCAACTTCTTCCCAGTTTCCTATATTTTAGCTATTTCTTTATCAAAAAATTCAGAGCTGCAAACCTTCAGGACTCCGAGAAACAATCCAGAAAATAGTGTGCGTTTGTTAATAGGATATTAATATCTTCCCCATTTTCCAGGAATTGAGTTCCATATTTGTCAATATCACACATGAACTTCATGCAGAAAATAATAATAATATATTAAATACAGACCTGAGGACAACCAACAAACATACTCCAACAAAAACAGACACTAGCAAATGCACACCTGAGGATAATTCATAGCAGCCCAGGTGCTGGCATACCCTCCAATGCTCCAACCGTAAATAATTATTTCCTCCTCTCGAAAGCCCAATCCATGGATTGCAAACTGCATTACAGCATCTACTGCATTTTGCTCTTGGCTTGGGTATGGTGACCCCTGAAAGGGTAAGCCATTATTGGCATCATTCTAAATTTATAAACATTTTAAATTAGTATATCCAAATTCAATAATCAGTTAGCATATTTTAATCTGCAGGACTATATATCATACCCTATCACTGTCACCTATAATATTACCAATATACTGTACATGCAAACAAACCTCACTTGACAAAAGTGGTTACCTACACAAGTACTGAAGCATACATCACGTGTAAATTACAAGTATTTTATGGGCAGAGACAATGATGCAATGATATAAAAATATTAGAGATAAAAGAGGAAAAGAGCATGGTAAATTTGTTTACAGGTAAAAAAAAAAAAAAAAAAAAAAAAAGAGTAGACATGCGGCAGCCAGTAGTGGGTACAAGTACCACACTGAAAGAGAAACACTGCGGGAAACGTGCACCAATCGTGAACAGCAGCAGGAGGTAAAGAACAAGAAGTTACAATACTAGACCACAGGTGGTGTTCCCAATATGTACTCTGCCAATGAGAGCCAGCATTACAGTCTTTGATTACAGTGTTGAGCTACCAAAATAGGGGACGAGATTAAAGAATCGGTTGTGGAGAACAAGAGACTACATTATATAAGGGAAGATTATGGATGGGTATGTAACTACCTGCAGGATGTCCAAAGAGAACAAAATGAAATGGATTATGTAGCAAAAATATAAGAGCCACAAAAAATGTTCATCCCACTCAGGAAGGAAATTTATAAAAGTTAAAAAAAATACATGGTTCAATAGGTAGAGAATTAAAATAAGAGCAAAGAAGGCATGGAAGAATTAGAAAGCATGGACTGGAGATTCCAGGCCGAGTTAAGGAGAACCAGATATGAATATGTACACGTATGAAGCAGATATGTACACGTATGAAGCAGATATGTACACGTATAAAGCAGATATGTACACGTATGAAGCAGATATGTACACGTATAAAGCAGATATGTACACGTATAAAGCAGATATGTACACGTATGAAGCAGATATGTACACATATGAAGCAGTTATGAAGAGGGTGGCAGTAAACCAGTTTAAGGACCTAGGAAAGAGGTGCACCAACCAAGTGTACTACAACCATGGTGAGGCTGAGGAACACCCCAGGCACATTTGCTGGCAGTCAAAGGTATTGGTCAGATGAGCAAATAATGATTTGGGGAGAACACTACTTGGCAATCACTAATGTCAAGTAAGGTTTGGGAATGTTGAGTGCTTAAGCAAACTTTCTGTAGTCATTCTGGGCTGGACTTTGCATTGATCAGTCTCCTGGCACCAGTAAGACAGGGGTATCTGTAAAAATCTCTGTTGCAACAGTACAGAAAGTCTCCTCCTGCTCCGACTGTCCTAATCCTCTCAAGTGGGACCTTCAGTAATCTTGCCTTGGGACGTATAAAACAGAATAGCTCAACAATATTTTGACTTACAGTGCTGGCAGCAAATCCTGGGTGGTTCCATCCTAGAGTGGAGAACCCAGCCTCTAATGGAGTTGTCATGATTCCAACCTCATAGAAACCAGCATTACCCTCACAGCATACCACTAGTGTATTTCCATTCGGATACTGTTTTCTGTCGAAAAGTATTTACATTATGATTGCATCACTGTTCCATTTATTAATCAAATAATTTCTTTATTATACAACAATGTACAGAAATATTGTGTGCATTACATATAGTGATTATTGTACAGTAGTTGAGAAATTAATGAATAACATTCTAGCATTTAGCTATACACAGTAAAAACACTCATTTTAATATTATGTAAATACTATACCATGCAATACTTTGTAAAATGGAGTTTGGAACTAATGAACAAAGATAGTATTGTCTAAATATTCCATACAGGGAATCCTGAGCTCATGGACAGGATGTGTTCCAAAAGAGATGCTCATAAGTAGCAATTCATAAATCAGAACCAGATTTCCCCAAGGTGTAATGGTATAACTGGTGGATGCGTCCCTGGATTACCAAAACTCGACATACAGTACAATATACCAAAAAAAAATTTTTCATACACCTTGCATGATAAAAAGAGTTGCTCTGGTTGTTTGACTGCATTTTGAAGAGTGAAATGGTTTAAATAGTAAAGGAAAACCAGGTGGTGGTGATACATAAGGACCAGAAATTGGAGGGCCATCTCAGTGTCACTAGCTACTGTAGATTTGACCTTAATAATGCTGTTATATCTCCAAAACTCATTCCGAGCAAAATTAAATGGGGGTACCATCCGTACATTTTTTAAATGCTCTATTAGTGAAGTTTTAAAGCAAAATCTAAAATTTAACCTGTCACATGATGGAAATCTAGCAGCAGAACCTAGCTGTAGAGAGACTTCACCATCATTGTCACTTTCTCTCACATCCCAACCTCTGAACATGTGTTGGTTTCTCTCTTTTCCCAGAGTGGTGGATTATTTATAGCTCTTTTTCTGTGGCAGTCATCTCTTTCCTGGTACTGGCCCATCAACACAATTAGGCTTCTAGGTTTTGTGAGACCACGGTGGTCCCAATGTCTATGATTTGAGGTGTATAATTTCTGAATAATTTCTACAAGCCTAGTTTCAGTATTAAGGGGGAAAGGGATAGTAGAGCTTACTTATATATCAAATCTAGATGTAAAAATGGAGATTTGATAGGCCATTCTTAAGATTGAGTGTTTGTAAGTCAGGGACTCCCTGGACAGCATAGTAATATTTTGCCACTACAGTAATACCTAATCAATATAATCAGTACTGTATAGATGAATCCCAGGGTTGGAGGTCCCTGTGCCTTCTTCACCAACTTCGATTACACTCATAGTCTACAACTAACAGGCTATTCATATTATCCATAGTTCCCGAGACTTGTCATCCTGTACAGGGCACTTACTTTCCTCGCCTGTCCACCAGCATTGTGTCAATGCTGTTTCCATCCCGAGTAGTGACTTTGTTGCGAAGTCCATTTTGTTCCTTTATTAACTTCTCTCTTCCTTGGAGCAGGTACTGATCTGTAATGATCAATATTTCCTATAATAAAAGTTAGCCATAGGAGTATTATTTCTCAAATACAGTATTGTCAAAGAACTTAGAAGGGATCTGTAATAATCCAAGGTAGGTAGGTAGACCCATTCAGACAAAATGATAAGTAACACACACTAACTCAACAGTAGGAAGCTCTCATGTAGCCAGATGTAAGAGCTGAGAGAGGAGCTGGCAAGATAGCACATTGACATCTGCCAAGTTATTATGTACCTTGAAATATGTAGAAGCAAATTAATGCAATAAAAAGGGAACTGGGATGTAAAGCTTCAAGCAAGTTACCTCACAAGGCTAATTATATGGGATCTAAATAAAGGCATCTAGGTCGAATCCTGCCCACATCACACTGAAGACTGGGGAAACCTTCTACTTGAACACCTAAGCAAAACAAAACTACCACCACTTCCCCAAATAAAATAAATAACTACCCACTAGCCAGGTAGAAACTTAAACCAGATGCTGCAGCTTAGAAGATGTAGACTCAAAATCAAAATGACTCGGACCCATTTCTGATGCATAGACTCATTCAAGTATTGTAATGGTATTGTAACTCACATTGTTACTCAAGTATTTTAATGGGAGGTCAAGAGTAGGAAACGCAACAAACTTGAGTATAAATAGCCGGAGAAAACTAGAGAAAGTTGTTAGGAAAGCCAGGTATCACAGTCAACTGAAAAGCACCAACATTAGACAGGAAAATATAAATGAACTGGGATCAAATATTAGGTTGGCACAAAACCAGTAGTAAGAAGCCAGTCGCTAATCATTTTTGAATGCCACAAAAAGAACATGTAGGTTAGTAAAAACCACAGAAGCTTTAAAGATTGTACTGTATATAAAATTGTTGGGTTAGTGTAAGGCCCTTCAACCAAACATAATATTTGTAACAAAAGAATTGGTTAGTATGAAAAGGAAAAATATCATCCCTTAAGGGAGACTCTAAATTGAGCTAAACAGATAACAGAAGTAGTCAGAAATGCCAGAAAATAAGAACTGATGAGAATGGAATACTGTGGGCATTAAGTTGAAACCTATCAACGGAAGACAGAGAAGGTCAAACAGAACCTCATTGAAGCAACATGACTAAAAGAAGGTATAAATGAGGAAGAAACACTCCACTCATACAAACAGTTTACCAATACATTGCAGTAAATATGCTCAGACAATCATCTTAAGCATACAACATTCTCTGAGTCTTTTACTAAAAACTTTGTTTCCATTTACTTGGGCTGGACAGTAAAGCGATGGTCTCGCTTCATGCAGGTCAGCATTCAATCCTCAACCGTCCAAGTGGTTGCACACCAGTCTTTCCTCTGTTCTGTCCTAAATCCTTATCCTGATCCCTTCCAAGGGCTATATAGTTGTAGTTTGGCACTTTCTCCTGATAATTCCCTTTCCCCCTTACTTTCCTGTCTATTTCTTCCATCTGACCTAGGCACTCTCCACATCAAGCAAAACTAAACTTTCTTTGTGCTAACATGAGGCAATTTAACCACCTGGGCTGGACGGTAGAGCGACAGTCTCGCTTCATGCAGGTCGGCGTTCAGTCCCAACTGTCCAAGTGGTTGGGCCCCATTCCTTTCCCCCCCCCGTCCCATCCCATTTATCAGAAGTCTGGTTGAGAACCGGGCCACGGGGACACTAAGCCCCGAAATCATCTCAAGATAATTAAATAAATTGCCACATGTGAACAATTTTCAGCACATGTTAAATACAACTGTATTTCAACATTTACATACTAGCAATTTGTTTACATTCAGTGAACAATGTCTTATTAGCTTCTATCAAGAGTTCAACTTTCTTTCGAAAATATTTTAGTTAATTATTAGAAGAAAATGTTTAAATTACAGAAAGGACTGAGCACTTTGGAACATGAAAGCCAAGTGAAGATCATAACACCTTTCCTAAAGTTAGTTACTCGTGAAAACGTTGGTGAGCCTAACAAAACTAAGTTAGTACAGTATAATGCAAATCTGCAGGTGCTAAGATAGATACAGTTTTACACATTGTATAAATGAAACAAATATTGTCAGTGACAATACAGTACACCATCAAAGGATACCTTATCAACCAGGCTGTGACTCATTCGTCAGGTTGCAAGCTGCCATGTCAAACAGCCTGGTTGACCAGGAGGCCTGGTCAGAGATCGGGCAACGGAAATGTTGGTCCTCAGAATTGATAGGCATACCTACCAACAGCAATCTGTAGCAACTGTATAGAACCAGGGTAAACCATCTTTTTGCCAATCAGGACAGTGACAACCCATGCCACAAACTGGCATGGCATCATTACAGCTTGGCTGATGATCCCACCCTTTCTGCGTGACAAACCTCTATCCACATATACACGGGGTTTGCGCTCATACCTGAAAATCAGAGGGGCCGTGTTAAAATGCTTACATCATCCAGCAATATATGTCACGTTGGTTTGTGCTCAACCTTACAATGAAGGAGGGTACATAAACAATGCTTACATCATTTTTGTTTTTTGTACACATCATTTCCCACTAAAGATATTCAATAGAATACCTCGAGTACTATTCTTAAACAGTCATCAGTCACCTGCTATTCCAACTATTTCAGCAAACAAATATCAATATACAAACCTAATTTCTGCACTACAGTATACTATTTGGTTTCTCCCTCTTCATAACCAACCACTTGGGCTGGACGGAAGAGCGTCATGTAGGTTGGCGTTCAATCTCCGACCGGACCGTCTAAGTGGTTGGGCACCATTCCCCCACACCCTGTCCCATCCCAAATCCTTATCCTAACCCCTTCCCAGTGCTATATAGTCATAATGACTTGGCACTTTCCCCTGATAATTCCCTCCTTGTAAGGTTCTGTTGTTTCCACAGACAGACTTCTACACCAGCCCAATAACTCCCTGCTGGGTTACATTTATGCAAGGAACACTGAAATATTCAATACCACCCAGAATGAACTCACAAGGGCTCATTCAACTACACTAAGCCTTTCAAGCACTATGTAACATGGCAGGGACAAGCAAGGAGTGCTCTCACTAGTCGCTAGTTGGTTCACCCGTTGCTATTCCAACAGCCACCACAAAGTGGCATAATCTACACATCAATAGGGTTATACTAACTGCCCACTTCACTCCACACAACTGTTCTCAAATGTACATCACCTCTACACTATACTGAACAAGGAAAACATTTAACACAACTCTAATGCAAGTTCCTATCTATTTAGTTGTTTGCTTGAACATATAGCACAGAAACATGTGGCACAGTGAGGGCAGGATGTAAGCATAGTCCTATATGTGAGGGGAGAAAGGAGTGCCAATTTTCACATAGAAAATAGACAAGGAGGTTGTGACAATGATAACCATACACAGTGGTCAATGGTTAACAGTGGGAAGGAAACCCCATCACCATGGGAAAGCATTATAAACTAGATGCTGTTCTTAACTGACAAAGATGTTTAGTTTACAAGAGCTGCACGAGGATTGGTACTGCAGAATGTATATGCAGGTGTGAAGTAGTACAAGAATTTTTTTCCACCAGATTCAAATTAAAATACTGAACTGCATAACATGGACTGTATTTCCTCCAAATTTGACTAAGCCATTCAAAACCCAATCCAAATTTGTGTCAAATCTGGATTTCAGAAAAACTGCACTTTCTTTGCTATCTCAAAGTATTCCATATAAAAACTCAAATTGGAAATGAACTGTAGAATTTTGAGCAGCCAAGCTCAGTCTGCCACATTTTATTTCTATGACATGTTTAGCTGAAGTTCGCTTTCCTGTATGCACTCTTTCCACCTTGTTCTGCTCCAATACCTGAGCTAGGAGGTTCTGGAGCTTTAGCCAGATGTTTGCATCACCAGTATGCTGCTCTTGATGGCACTCTTCCAAATGATTATCTCCTTGAATGAGAGGTCTGAGTACCTGAACGTTTGGGCTTCCTTTTCCACCAGCTGCATCTGACATGATTCTGCAGCACAGGTAAGTTCAGTTCTTTTTCCTGTTTCTAGACAAAGTCTTCTGGGTTACTCTTGCCTAAGGGAACACCAGACTGATACACTGCACAAGTATACCATTAGTATAAATGAAAAAACTTTCTGAAGGAGATGGCTATATCATTACTTTTCCTGAGCTTTACAAGCCTTTTTTTTCAAGTGGAATGCCAGATGGACAGGCAAAGTACAGTACCATGTTGATATTTAGGTGTGACCACCTAGTGAAGGTCAGGAATAATGGACAGGTGGTTCGTCTGATGAGAAATAGTGCTTGAAAAACCTTTAGTGTTCACTGGCCTCTCCTACTCATATACTCTATAGACAAATTTATACCAGACATTATTCCCTGCAACCAATAAAATTGATCAATTTTGTATTATAGAAAATTATAAAATGTTTTATGAACATTCTGAAACAAAATTTACTTGAAAGAAGTACATCTTTAAATATTTGTAGTTTTTCTTAATTTCAGCATTAATTTATATCCAATGAATGTACACTCACAATCACTGGAGGAATTCTCTTATTTCCCATTGCAATCAAATAGAGAAGAGAAAGCACACTACTGGGATGAACTACTAGTGTTACATCTGGTTTTATGGTGCACTGATTTCCACTTGAGGGAACATCTAATGCAGTTGAATATATCTTTTGAAAGTCATTCTAAGCTGGCTCAAGTATTCACATCTCCCTAGCACTAGAATAGTCCAACAAGAACATTCAAAGAAAAGATCCCAGCTGTGCCTGTGTAGAATATCAATCTCCCCAGACTGCACAGTCATGTTCATGTAAACAGTGGGACCATGCTTAATGGAGAAAGTCTCTCTCTTATTCAGAAACTATCTTTCCATTTAGACTCAAAGCCTTAATTATACTTTTATATCAAGATCCTGAATATTGTATTGTACCGTATCTTAAAGAGCACATAAACAAATTGGAAAAGGTGCTAAGACATACAATTAAGTGGCTCCCAGAACTGAAGGACAAGAGCAATGAGGAAAGGTTAGAAGCATTAAATATGCCAAAACTAGAAGATGGAAGAGAAAGAGGAGATATGATCACTACGTACAAGATAGTAACAGGAATCAATAAAATTGATAGAGAAGAATTCCAGAGACCTGGTACTTCAAGAACAAGATGTCATAGATTCAAATTAACTAAATCAAGCTGACAAAGAAATACAAGAAAATTCACTTTTGCAAACAGTGGTAGACGGTTGGAACAAGTTAGGTGAGAAGGAAGTAGAGGCCAACATCGTCAGTAGTTTCAAAGCGTTATATGACAAAGAGTGCTGGGAAGATGGGACACCACAGGCATACTCTTATCCTGTAACTACACTTAGGTAATTACTAATTATCGGGACCAATCCGTGCTGGTAGATGTCAGGATAACTGAAAATCCAGTTAAGTGAAGAAAAGATTGTGAAACATCATTGGGGCTTGGTGAGGCTGTCTATGAGGGAGCTACAAGCATCTCTTCACATCAACATTGCCTAACTTTCCCCTCTTTTTCCTGTATTGATTCATGCATTAATAAGCATTCTATTTCTCAAATCCTTTAGTTTATTGAAGGGTGAGATAGCTCAGGTTATTTGGTCAGGAAAATTTAGGAAAATATTACCTAGCAGAAAACATGCTGCAATCATCACCAATTAATAAGTATGATGCAAATTTGTCAATATTTGTTGCTTTAAGTATTTTAAAACTATGTATTCATTATATTTCTTATTTTACGCTAAAATTGTTTCGATGGCCTTGAGTGTGCGCAGAGATCCTTTACTGCTAGAATCCACTCAGTAAAACATCTAAACTATTGAGACCGACTAAAGAGCCTAAATCTGTATTCTCTTGAGCACAGGCGGGACAGATACATAATAATTTACACGTGGAAAATAGTAGAGGGGGCTGGTCCCAAACTTGCACACAGAAATAACACCACATGAGACCAGAAGGCATGGCAGGATGTGCAGAATACCCCCATTGAAGAGCAGAGGTGCAATAGGTGCTCCAAGAGAGAACTATCAGCATCGGAGGCCCGAGACTGTTTAACATGCTTCCACTACACATAAGGGACATGTTGACCAGACCACACACTAGAAATTGAAGGGACGACGACGTTTTGGTCCGTCCTGGACCATTCTCAAGTCGATTGTGAATGGATTGTCGATTGTGACAATCGACTTGAGAATGGTCCAGGACGGACCGAAACGTCGTCGTCCCTTCAATTTCTAGTGTGTGGTCTGGTCAACATACTTCAGCCACGTTATTGTGACTCATCGCCTGCATAAGGGACATAACTGGCCGACCCCTCACAGCGTTCAAGTGAGAACATGATAAACACCTCCAAAGGATACCTGTTCAACCAGGCTGTGATTCATACGTCAGGCTGCGAGCAGCCGCATCCAACAGCTTAGTTGACCAGTCCAGCAACCAGGAGACCTGGTCGAGGACTAGGCCGTGGGAACACTAAGCCTTGAAATCATCTCAAGGTAACTTCAAGATATGGCTTAATATAACCAAGTTAGGTTGGCAGAACTGGTCAAGAGGCTTGTTTACACTGGTGACACTACTAGGTGTAGCTGCGGAGATGACAATGGAAAACTGCTACAAACACCACCTTTCACTTTTCCCCAAGGGTGGATCCTTTTCGCTTCCCCCAAGGGTGGACCCTTTTAGCTTTTCCCAAGGGTAGACCCTTTTAACTTTTCCTAAAGGAAAACCTTTTGTTTTTCATACGTGTATTAAGCAAATAATTCAGTCCATAAACAAATGAACTGCACAATGTTAGACATTTCATTAGTTATTTACAATGTATGATGAAATAAGATAATTGGAAGGTGAACACAATTTATATTTAAGTAATTTCTTCAACGACTAGAGCCCTTATTTGTGATCAATTGCAAAGATAAAACCAGAGCTTACGTTTCTGCCTCAGTCCAGTCAAAGTTAACAGGCCATGCTGAGAAATCAAATTCGTACTCTCGCAGAGGTTCCTTAAATAAAAAATGCCCACAAATTAGTTTTACACATTACAACGCTAACAGCAATATACAGCAAATAATGTGTTCAATACACCGGTACTATAGTTGTACCACTGCATTCCATTAATTCACTCTAAATTAAACTATTTTATTAAGAGCTTTTATTAAATTTATAAGCAACAAAATTTAAATGCAAAGACAACTAATTTGAGCCCAATTACTGAACATTTTATGGCTACTGTATTATGTTATCATTTTGGTCATGGCAGCATAATTTAATAGGAACTAGCTAGTTACTCAGTCTCATTTTTTCCCAAGTACACAATCTGTCAATATTTTTACATCCACATCTTCAATGGCTACTGCAGGTACAAAGAGAGAGGGACTGACACCTAATCATCTCGCCTTCCTCCACATTCAAAATCAGGTCCTCTCATTTCCGAGATGAGAATGCTATCCACTAGACCACAGATGTATATTGCAAACCAAAAGAAATTATTTCTACCTACCATCACCTTCTCTGTTGGACTGTTCTGCTGGGCCTTGGTCAAGATGCTTAAGAAAGTTGTGTAGGTTGGGTTAAACCAGCGACCGATGCCTCTAAACACCAGGGACACTATCAACAACAACCCCAGACCTGTTCCAAACTGAAATGCAAAAAAATTTACAAGTGCTAGAGAATATACTTAAAAATAAATATACAGTACTGTACAATATTAGAAACTTTCCAAACATTATAAACACACACAACTAAAGACAAATATATATTATAAAATAAAATTATGTAAATGTTGAAATTAATGTAATACTGTATACAATTTGACTCCTATACATTAATCCTTATAAGCTTTATAATAATAAACAACAAAAGTCTACTATGTGTACGGTATTTATTTAACGATCTTCAGACCCATTAATGCTATATATTCAGGATAAATGTTACTTTATATATGCATTTTGACCATATTTTCCCCCCTAATACTAATATTTCTTGCTAATTATATTAACTATTTCACTGCTGAAATACATTACACACACTTCAAATTAATAAATTAAATGGAATTAATAAATTAAATTAATAAATTAAATGTCTTTCATAAGTACTTTTTTGGGGGGAAAATTATAACAGTAGAATCAGTTTTTGTTGGTTTCAAGACTTCACAAGCTGAATAAAGTTTTACTCATTGCCACTACTACCTTATTTAAAAACACGGATAAACTATGTCTACAAAGAAATACTTATAAAGCATATTTGTAGCCTAAGCGTTATAATCATAACACTTTTACATTTTTGTTATAAGAATAACAAAAACGCTTGTTAACAACCTAAAGGTTAAGACGTAGCCATCTCACTTTTATTGCAGACACCAAGGTGAAGTGCTCCCAACGGTACAAAGACAACGCTAGGAATGGTGATGTGTACAGCCCAATATTGTACAAGATGTTCAGCTGAAAAAGAGAGATTACTCAATCAATACTAGCTTTCTTTCTAAAACATGTCAGATGCCTCCAAGCATTCACACCAAATTCAGACATGCAGAGGTGAGAAAATTAGAAGATCCCCCCCCCACCCTCCATCCCACCTATGACAGCATGGAGGACTAGGCTTCAACTGGAACACGAAGACACCTAACACAACAACAGCAGACACAACAGCACTTGGCAGGAGACACATCCAATAACATCTGCCAGGAAAAATGTCTTTCTTTGAAACCTGCAATAATGGGAGAATTTGAATGTAGAACTGTCAATCAACCACCTATCATAACAGAAATGGAATGAAATATAAAGGGCCTGAGAACATGCAGAGTACTAGACCAACATCAGAGGGGACCATCAGAGAGGCCTGATAACTGACTGGACAGCATCTTGGATTCGTAGTCCTGAGGTTCCGGGTTCAATCCCCAATGGATGCAAAAACAAATGGGCAGAATTTCTTTCAACCTGATGCCCATCATGTTCACCTAGCAGTAAATAGGAATCTGGAAGTTAGACAGCTGCTATGAGCTGCTTCCTGGTTGGGGGGTGGGGGGGGGGGGGGGGTGGGGGGGACAAAAAAGAGGCCTGGTCGAGGGCCGGGCCACAGACACATTAAGCCCTGAAATCATCTCAAGATAGAAGATCATTCCCAAGTAGGAACAAAAAAAACTGCACTAATGGTGAGAAGAAAGTTATACTGCACTGAAATTAAGCTAGAGGATACATAAAAATCAACAACCTGGAGATACATCCCATCTCATCTGGAAGCCACAAGCCATAAGTGGCTCATTTTATATATGAAAAAAAAGTTTTTCTACCACAGTCCCAGGTCGATTTACAGTGGTTACTCGACACAACTGAAGTCGACACAGAACCCACAAGTATGGAACAAGCAGTGCATGAACAATCATGGTTAAATTACAAAATTTAATAAAAAAAAATTATATATGGCAAACATTGAAATTAATATTCCAATAATTGTATATATTTCAAGTACAAAGCAAAATACATGGTGTTTATGGTCATGTTCATAAAAAGAAGTAAAAGCAAAATTACAGTTCATCACTTTATATCACATTTATTACTTTGATAATAATACAGCTGGATTTATCCAGTACACACTAATATTGGCACCCTAACATTATGTGACGTGTTGGAAAACTTACCCCTTGGAAGATTTTGTTACCAATCTTCTCCAATACATTAGGAACATACACCCTAGTCTGAAAAATAAAACAGGTTATAATAAAAATAGTTATTTTCATAAAACAAAATAATTACGCAAAAATATTATGCGAGTAAGCACAAATACAGTAGTATTAATCTGCCTTGTTTTAAGTTTAATGTTTCACATTTTAGCCAGGAGGATGGATATTAACTACAGTACCATTAACAGGTTCAGAGCAATGTTGAGTATTATAATTGGTAAATGTCCAAAAAAAAATTTAATTGATTGTTTGACATGTCAGTAACTGCATGTATATTATCCAATATCCAAATAGTACTCCCATAGACAAATGGGGCACATAGTACTTAAAACTTAATGAGAAGTTAACATTTTTGAATTGTTAGAGATTTTGCAAATGATATACAATTTTAAGTGATATTTAGAAACTGCAGCATTTAATAACAGTACAAACATAGTATTTAATGTTCATCATAACAGCAAAACACAGGTTGACATATAGGAAGAGGAAATGTGAATAAAATTGGTTACATAATGTTAATTTGGTATTTCTTAGTTTCTCTTTTAAACTGGCTGAGAGAAGTTCAATTTTTAACCTCCTTTGGGAGGTCATTCCACAGTTTAGGACCCCTAGTTGATTTGCAAGGCATTTTCTTTTTTGGTTAAAATGCACACTTAGAACATCAAAAAGATATTTGTTTCAGCCCTCAAGGAAGCATTTGAGGTCAGGATTAACATTGCAGTTCAGAACTTTATTGATATTGAGTACATCTGAGTGCTGTAACTTAATACCGTATTTAACCTAATCAAAGATTTCAGTAAGGGAGCAGAGTGGTGTCTGGGACTGGAGTTTGTTATTGTTCTAACTGCTGATATATGTGAACATATAGGGGGTGAACATGATACATGTGAAAGGCAGTTTTGAGTTATGGATACCATAGGTGAGATATGGATAAGCGAATAATAAAGTACTGTATCATCATCTTTATGGTTACGTGCAGTCTGATAAAGGTTTTTCTCCCAATGAATATATGAGAGGTAAAGTTGGGAAAGGTATCAGAGGTGATCAATGTTTATGATTTCACAAAGCTTTTATGTTGGTTTTGTCAGTTTATAAAATGATGATGACAAAACTAGAAGTGTTTGGGGTCAGCCTTGATGCTTGGCAGCGAGAACTGAATGGTTTGGAGGGTAAAAATTACTCGAAGCTAATATATCCTTTTGAGATGCATTTTATTATCTCAAACTTGATAGCATCAGCTGATCATTGTTGTTCTTTGTAGCTAAGGTTATGTTTTCTATTTATGATTGTAATGGTGGTCTGAGTTATATAAATACTGTAGTTCAAACGTGGTCTAATATTTTGACGAGATATTTACCCAATGCTTTGACTACAAACTTTATATATATAGCGAGATGTATTGTACATCTTAATTGGTCAAGATGGAAATCTAATTCTTTTAGGTTTATTGCTTCTTTTATATTTGTATTTATTTATATACAAGCGTTCTTACATTTTTGTGCAGCCACTAGCACACACTGTTTTGGGCAAGTCCTTAATCCTAATTTTTCCCAGAATACGACCTGCCAAATTGTTTAACAATCTGGTACCCATTCACTGCTGGGTGAACAGAGGCTACAGTTAAGGATTGTTGCCAAGTAAATCCTCCCCGGCCAGGATAAAAACCCAGGCCAAAGTCCTTGCGAAGTGCCGAACGAGTGTTTTACAACTACGCCACGGGGACTGCCATATGACTGCTCCCCTAGGGTCATATGTCTAGGAAGATAAAATGCGACATTATAAGGTGCTAAGCATGCCAAAGGTTCTAGTTTATCATTTGGAAATTTATTTAGGATTATGGAATTGCATTTCCTTCTTAAGAGAAAAAATGCCTAACTGCATGCAGTTAGCTCTATCTTATGATTTTTTATTTTTTTAGACGAGAATGTTTGGAAGATAGCCACAATTCAGTTATAAAAACTTGGACTGGTTTTGATGAGTAGAGGAATTATTAGTTCTACAAGTGATGTTTTGATGCTTTTAGCATTACAGTTCATGAAGGTCAGGGAGTGTTCACCTGGTACATTTGCTTTGCAAGTGTTTGCTTTTCTGGGTGTAGAGTGGCACAGTATGTTGGATACTGTGCCACTGTAGGTAAGACTGGGGTCTAGGGGAGGGGTGTGGGGTCTAGGGGAGGGGTGTGGGGTCTAGGGGAGGGGCGTGGGGTCTAGGGGAGGGGTGTGGGGTTTAGGAGAGGGGTGTGGGGTCTAGGGGAGGGGCGTGGGGTCTAGGGGAGGGGTGTGGGGTCTAGGGGAGGGGTGTGGGGTCTAGGGGAGGGGTGTAGGGTCTAGGGGAGGGGTGTGGGGAGTATGTGCTTTTTCGATCTGACGAGTGCCAGGTCGTTGGTTGTTTAATCTAACAGCCGAGCGTTCCTCACTATTTCCTGTGGCCAAGTTATGTGACAAGTCACTGAAGGGGATGGATGCACTCAATTATTACTCGATCCAATATCAGTTCCATCCTCACATCTATGCCATTGGTGATTGTTTGTCTGGCTTTATCTTCCTGCAAGTGTGATGTGTTGAGCCAGTCTCAAGGATGGCTTGGGTTTCGTGTCTTAATTTATTAAAGAGTCGCTCCAGCATCTTTTCCATCGCACCGTCAATGGTTATGAGCTGGTAGACGAAATCTGCATTTAGTCGAGAGTTGTCGAAGTGTCGTACTAGCCGAGGGTGAAGGATGGTAGTGGAGTACTGGTGATGGTAGTTTTTTTTATTCTTTATATAAACAAGGGTTGTTACATTCTTGAACTGCCACTAGCCCGTCGTGTAGCACTTCAGGCATGTCCTTATTCCTAATATTCCCCGGAATACGACCCCGCCAAATTGTTTAGCAACCAGGTACCCAGTCACTGCTGGGTGTACATTGGCTACTGTAAAGGATTGGTGCCCAGTCAATCCTCCCCTACCAGGATACGAACTCTGGATAGGTAAACCCAGGATAATTGTTGCATCATTGTTAGAGTCTGTGCTGTATTGCTTTACTTCACTACTGTATAACAGGCTGCTGCTGGAGAAAGTCTTACTGTTGTGTAGGAATGTATAAGTTTAGGTCATTAACAAAACAATTTTTAAGGTTCACAGCTGACCTCAACCTGGTGGGATATGTGGCCATAGATCTTGTAGAGCCTGGGCCCCACCACACACCCCCACAGCCAAGTCATCTTCCTCACTCTCACGTCGGGGAAGATGAGGGGTAAATGAGGGCGAGGATGAGGCGTCCTCTTGTTGTGGTGAGGGAGAAGTGGGAGTGGAAGGTTGCCAGGGCCGCCGCTAGATGCTCCCTCTCAACCTTCCTCACCCGCCACCACGCTAGTAGATGGCGCTGATCACCGCTCTCTGGGTCACCACTGTGGCAGTGACCGCTCTCTGGGTCACCACTGTGGCAGTGACCGCTCTCTGGGTCACCACTGACCACTGTCTGGGTCACCATTGACCGCTGTCTGGGGTCACCACTGACCACTGTCTGGGTCATCATTGACACTGTCTGGGTCATCATTGACCGCTGTTTGAGGTCACCACTGACCACTGTCTGGGTCACCACTGACCACTGCCTGGGGTCACCACTGACCACTGTCTGGGGTCACCACTGACCACTGTCTGGGTCACCACTGACCACTGTCTGGGGTCACCACTGACCACTGCCTGGGGTCACCACTGACCACTGTCTGGGGTCACCACTGACCACTGCCTGGGGTCACCACTGACCACTGTCTGGGTCACCACTGACCACTGCCTGGGGTCACCACTGACCACTGTCTGGGGTCACCACTGACCACTGCCTGGGGTCACCACTGACCACTGTCTGGGTCACCACTGACCACTGTCTGGGTCACCACTGACCACTGCCTGGGGTCACCACTGACCACTGTCTGGGGTCACCACTGACCACTGTCTGGGGTCACCACTGACCACTGTCTGGGGTCACCACTCACCACTGCCTGGGGTCACCATTGACCACTGTCTGGGTCACCACTGACCACTGTCTGGGTCACCATTGACACTGTCTGGGTCACCACTGACCACTGTCTGGGTCACCATTGACACTGTCTGGGTCACCACTGACCACTGTCTGGGTCACCATTGACACTGTCTGGGTCACCATTGACCGCTGTTTGGGGTCACCATTGACCACTGTCTGGGGTCACCACTGACCACTGTCTGGGGTCACCACTGACCACTGTCTGGGGTCACCATTGACCACTGTCTGGGGTCACCATTGACCACTGTCTGGGGTCACCACTGACCACTGTCTGGGGTCACCACTGACCACTGTCTGGGGTCACCATTGACCACTGTCTGGGGTCACCACTGACCACTGTCTGGGGTCACCACTGACCACTGTCTGGGGTCACCACTGACCACTGTCTGGGGTCACCACTGACCACTGTCTGGGGTCACCACTGACCACTGTCTGGGGTCACCACCACTGTCTGGGGTCACCACTGACCACTGTCTGGGGTCACCACTGACCACTGTCTGGGGTCACCATTGACCACTGTCTGGGGTCACCACTGACCACTGTCTGGGGTCACCACTGACCACTGTCTGGGGTCACCACTGACCACTGTCTGGGGTGACCACTGTCTGGGGTCACCACTGACCACTGTCTGGGGTCACCACTGACCACTGTCTGGGGTCACCATTGACCACTGTCTGGGGTCACCACTGACCACTGTCTGGGGTCACCACTGACCACTGTCTGGGGTCACCATTGACCACTGTCTGGGGTCACCACTGACCACTGTCTGGGGTCACCACTGACCACTGTCTGGGGTCACCATTGACCGCTGTTCACCTATGTTTATTACCCTCATTATTACCTTCAAAGTTCTATAGTTTATAATTAAAGTTATTAATAATTAAATGTATTAATAAACTTTCATCGCAAAATTATCTCACATATTGCTCTATTACGCAAGCAACTATTATTGCTTATGGATACGAGATGTATCAATATAAAATAATGCATAAGTTATTTGCTTGAAAAAGAACTAATAAAGATTTGTTTAAATAAAAATAATAATAACAATAATAATAATAATAATAATAATAATAATAATAATAATAATAATAATAATAATAATAATAATAATAATAATAATAATAATAATAATAATAATAATAATAATAATAATAATAATAATAATAATAATAATAATAATAATAATAATAATAATAATAATAAGAATAAGAATAAGAATAAGAATAAGAATACTGTAATAATAAAAATAGTAATAATATTTAGGCTGGTAGTAAGTACAACAATCAGAGGGTGTAGTCAGGTGATGGGCGGAGATGGGCCACAGGCGGCGGGTATTTTGTCTTATACTTCCTTATACTTATACTTCCTTATTCTCATTCAGTCAACTATATTATGACAATATTTATTATGCGTATGAGTGTTACATGTTGAGTGAATTATTTAATTTGGCGAGTAAGAGGCCGCAGATCTTGGGTAGACAGTGGCCCCAATGTACTGTATTTGTTATCTTAATATGATTTAATTCATTTAGTCGGGGGACGGGCAGCCAGTGTATGTATGGCTGATATCGAGGTCCCTCCAAGGTGGAACTGTTGACCTTCTCTAGGATGCAATTCAACAATTCACTAGCATACAGGAACCAATTTACTGCTAGGTGAAGAGTGCCATTAGGTGAAAGGAAACTTGCCCAACCATCTCTGTTTGTCCTGGGATTCGAACCAGGGATTTCCGATTGTGAGTCGAGGATGAGTGCAACTCTTCTACTGAGACCCTTTATACTGCCGTTTTTCGTTTGAGGAGTACTGGCATGTCTAATAATTACCTAAGTTCATTTACCTGTTTTGGCCTAGGGCTCAAAACGCTTGATCTGGCCCTAGCTGGGACTGATATCCTAGATTCGTGTTCGACGTACGTACTGTACATAAGGCGTATTTAATGGTGCCTTTTTAATAGGCAATTCTATTTATTCTGAATTAATAATATTAATTCCTGTCATAGGGGACAGGAAGTCTGTATACATATACTTCTGGCTTGTATCAAAGTCTCCCCAAAGTCAAACTACTGAGCCTCCCCAGGATGCAACCCCTTGACTGTTGCCTGGCCCCGGGTACCTATTTACTGCTTGAACAAATGCATTAGGTTAAAGGAAACTTGCTCAGTCATTTACCTGAGCATGTTGTGAAGATCATGGGCTATACAGTATAGCAAAAAAGAAAGTAATTATTCAGCTTTACAGATCTCTGAAGCACCCTATTTTGACTTTTGGCTTTAACAAGCCGCCTGCTGCCTGTCCATGCCAAGGCCTCTAGAGATGAGTGGTCCTCAGGTAAATTCAGGTAAGCATAGAGGTCTCATTGTCAGAAGGATGTAAAGTTCTACTAAAGAAAAGTTAAGTGAAGAGTAACATAAATCATACCAGAATTGAGTGAACTCATGAAAGGAAAGATTGAGGGCTTCAGACTAACAACACTACAAACCAGAAATGACTACTATACTGTATTATAATAATCATTGCATTTCCTCGGGGATCATCATATGATGATAACCACACTTTAAGGGCTGATCATATCTCGTGTTGATATTAACAGTTTGTGATAAGGAATCAAGTTTTTTTTCTGTAAGATTTGGTATTATTGTGTTGACCCACCTTTATCTAGCCACGTTGAGACAATGGTGCATTGTTTAGTGATGATGGTGTAATCAGTTTTGTCACAAGTTTGGTGTTTATGGGTCACTATGAATGTGTCACCATAGCAAGTTTGGAAACCATATAAGTGGGAGACACTTGCAAGGTAAGAATTTCTTGTTCACTATATGAATATTTTGATATGTAAGGGAATTCAGAGACGTATTCCCATGTGTATATATTTGAACATAAACTGCATGAAATCCAGATTGATAATGGACAACAGATTCATGAAGACAGAGAAGGAAATGTGTGAGGCTCAAAAATGAATAGTTTCAAAATGTGTTTGTACAAAATAAGCTTTTTACAGGTGTTTTAAATAAGTGGATAATGTATGCCAAAATTATTGGTAGCTTTAAAACAACATATGACAAAGGTTATAGAGAAGACAAGACACAGATATCATAACTCTCGTACTGTAACCTTCACTATGGGTAATTACACTGCCAGCTGATCAGCAGGTCCTGATGAATCACTCATGATGTCATTTAGAGCTGGATTCAGCTGTTTTAGGCCCTATGCCATAATGGGTAAATGGGGCCGCACCCTCTGGTCAGTGTGGCTATTCAAAGGCTGAACATAAATGACTCGTATCATAATAATATGAAATGATTAATTATCAGATAGTTAGTTTAGTTCATTTATTATGCACCCCATACCCATCCCGTGGGCGGTAGTGGAAAGGGTTACAGAGGCACATAATGGGCTCAGGGACTGAAGCCCACAATTCATTTAGCTAAGGAAGTTACAATCTTGATGAGCTAGTTACAAAATTCAATATAAGTCGTCACATCAACAATGGGTTCGAGATCGACCTCAAGTACAGGTTCTAAATTAAGCAACTGACATATGTGGAGAGCTAGTGTCACAATTTATATGTTTGTCCTGCACACCGCCCCCCATCCAGTGGGCAGCGGTGGATAGGTTACAATCACTCAGTTACTACCTACAGTTAGCAAACTGGGGATAATTGGCTAAAATTTCTGGTAGCAGATCATTTTGAATGAAATATTTACACATCGCTGGAACATTGGTTATAGAATTGTCTCTAAATTCACGTATCTTTTCGCACTTCATCACATAGTGACAGAGGGTGTTATCAGGGGGGGGGGGGAGGGAATTATCAGATATATATTGTTTTTCAGAAGAATACATTGAAACCATATAGAATTATACCAGAGCATCTCAGGAAGCAGTCTAAATGAATAGTCACAGACAAATGTAGATGTGTGACAGATTTGCCTTAAACCAGCAAATAGAACCAGCTAGACACTCCTAGATCTTATTTTTACAAACAATGATGAACTGATTAAGGACATAATGATTACTTGTTATTCAGATCACAACGTAATTGAAGTTCAGACATGCATGGGCAATAGACCTGTGCAGCCAGTTTCAAATTCAAGAGGAGGAGAATTCAGCAAATTTAATTTGAATAACAAAGGGATCCACTGGGAACAAATAAACCAAGATCATGCAGAAATATTCTGGAAAAGACAGCTAGATAATGCAAACTTAAGCCAGTTGTTTGAGAAAATAAGCACAGTATCACTAGCAATATGTGTAAGTCTCATACACACACTTACCTACACTTAAGTAATTACATACCACTAAGGAGAAAGAGGGAAAGATGAAAATTGCATTCCCTCTACAGTATGTATAGACAAAACAGATTACGGAACATCTAAAATGCTACTCCGTCCCAAAAATGACAAAGAAGGTTATGTAGAGGAAATTGAAATGATTGAGCTCAACGTTGCAAGAATCATAAAATCCAGGAGAAGCAAAGAGAGCAAAAGGTCGTAAATGAAATAGAGAGGAATCCAGAATACTTTTTCTTCTATACAAACTCAAACAAAAACTACATCTTGCTTTAGGCCCCTGTGCAAGGGTGATGGAGCTTTCACATATGACAACAAAGAAATGAGTGAACTTCTGAGACTACAGTATGATTCTGTTTTCAATGAACCCCTGAACATATTGAAGATCAATGATCCAAATAAATTCTTCATGTAAATGGCACTACCATCAAACCAAATATCAGATGTCACCCCTAACACCCACTGGACTTTTATGTAGCCATAGACAGCATTCCCATGCACTATGCATCAAGCCCTGGCTCCTGTATTTCGATATTAATAAAAAAATGCAAGAACCACTACTGTATTATTGACCCTAAACATTTTTTTGAAGACAAACCTAGGTACTGACTTTATCCTGACATACCTGTACTTAAAACAGCGGAGATCATACCACTTCATGACGGAGGTAGTAAAGCACATGCAAAAAATTATAGACCAATAGCTCTAATATCACACAGCACAGAAATTTTTTGAAAAGAGTGCTAAAGAGTAAGATCACAAAACACATGGAATCAAAGTGTCTACATAACCCTGGGCAACATTGGTTCAGGACAGGGCACTCCTGCCTCTAACAGTTGATTAACCACCATGACATGACCTTAGAAGCCATGGAAGACGATCAAAATGCTGATGTAATTTATGTAGCTTTGCGAAAGCTTTGACAAGTATGCCCATGGTATTATTGCATACAAAATACACTCAAAAGAAATTACTGGCATAGTAGAGAGATGTAATTTCTAACTTTCTAATGAACAGAGCCCAGAGTGTAATAGTCGATGAAATAGAATCCGGATCATCCACCGTGAAATGCTCAGTTCTGCAAGGTACTGTACTTGTTCTCATCCTCATATCTCAATCAATCACTTTCATCCTTTGCAGATGTCACTAGAATTTTTATGGGAGTAGACATATATAGAAGACACAGCAAACCTCCAATCAGATATCATTCGTCTTTCACTGGACCACAGAAAATATGTTTAATGAGGATAAGTTCCAGTTATTGCACAATGGAAGAGAAAAATTGAAAATGGAAACCACATATAAAATCCAGTCAAACCACACTATTGAAAGAAAAACAATGTAAATGATTTAGGAGTAATCATGTTGAAAGCCTTACTTTTATATTATTTATTTATTTATCTATTTATTTAGTTATTTATATACAAGAAGTGCATTAGGTTTGTGAAGCACATAACATTGGTATTCTTACATTCTTGTAAAGCCACTAACATGCAAAGCATTTCGGACAGGTCCTTAACCCTTAAACTGCTCAGCATAAAGTGGCATAATTAAAAAAATATTTGAATTATGTAAAAATTACTTAAAAATGTTAAACAAATCTTCAACTTACTGACTTCAGCATCATGAAACTTTCATCAAAATATTTTCAGAAATTGATTTTAGATGAATATTTAACAAAAAAAATGTTTTGTTGATAAGGAGAACAGCTTCTGTTAACTGGAACTGATGGATAATGCAATAATAGAGAGATGTAAGCACCTGTCCGACGCACAAAGAAGAATAATAATAGTAAGAAGTGTCCACAAAGTGGAAATACAGCTGGTGCCTTTATAGCATTGGTGAGTAATACATAATAACACAAATAATAATGAGTAAGTGTTATTATGCTCAATTTTGTTATATTATCATATAGATACATTGCCCAATGTTATCAGTTACTTTCAGCAATGTCCAAAAAATATTTTAGGTGATTTATTTTTTATTTTATTTTAGGTTTTTATTTTTTCCTTCTTTGTTTATTATTTGAATTTGTTGTAACCTTTACATCCTGGAGAGTGCATACCCATCCCTAAATGTGTGAAGACAGAAATAAATTGGTCAACAAATAAATCAGTCACAACTCTCAGAACTTGGGACTTTGACATTTTTTTTACTGATTTTTTTCACAGATTTTAAACTCTATTTTCCTTGTTTCTTTAGGTTGTTTTGATGATTAGGGACCATATTAGGGCTTTTTATTTTACTTACATAAAGTATACCCTAAATATATCCCCTAATTCATTATAATAATCATCCCTATATGTATTTTGTTTTTTGGGGGGTTATTTTTTCTCGACTTCATTTCGACTCATATTGACCTACAACTTTCACATACTGTACAGTATTCGAGTACGAATGCTAAACAATGTTTATTAAAACATACAAGTAAATTCATGAATTAGAACTACCTTATTCATTGTCGATTACTTCAATTACAGTACTGTATATCTATAACTAGAATTTCAACTTCAGTATCCAAAAATCTAGTTTTTGACCGATTCTCACCATTTTTACATATAGTGTGCACAGCTGTCTGTTCTACAATCCCTATAGAATTGATTTTTCATAAACTCTAAACGTTTGGAGTTACAAATTTTTGTTGTCTAAATTTGCATATATTTCAAATGCCATAGTGACTATTTTTTGTTTACAGTAAACTATACAGAAAACCTATATTCTGAATATGTGAAAATGAAGATCATATGCTATTCTGAGAGAATAATAACACCAAATGAACAATTGGTGATATTTTATATTTTTGCAGCTGATTTCAAAATCTAAAGTTTTCAATACAGGTATTCAGTTTTAAAATTATTATTTATTTTCTTGTTTTTCAAGTTACACTGGTATCATTAAGACAAAGATGGAGCATTTGCCTAGTAGATTATGCACAAAACATTTGAAAGAGTTTCAGAAAATTTAAAAAACTGAGCTCAATGTGTGTGTGGTGTTTCCGGTGTGGTGCTCGTGGATTCTATTACACCTATCAAGGAAAAGTTTCAGTTCAAGATTAGCATTTAGGATCAAGGTTTTGTAAATGTAAATACCACAAGAGAATGTGTGGAGTGAGCGTATGTTTAGAATGTTTAGGGATTTAAACAGAGGGCTGTGTATTGTCTGAAGACAGAGTTTGTTATAGTTCTTATAGTTTAGCCCAACCACTTGGGCTGGATGGTATAGCAACGGTTTCGCTTCATACAGGTCAGCGTTCAATCCCCGACCGTCCAAGTGGTTGGGTGCCATTCTTTCCCACCATCCCATCCCAAATCCTTATCCCTGACCCTTTCCAAGTGCCATATAGTCATAATGGCTTGGCACTTTCTCCTGATAGTTCTCTTCTCTTCTTATAGTTTAAAGTATAGTTTAAAGAACACAAAAAGTAGCTGTCACAACTGCAAGAAAAATGACAGGTTGGATAACAAGAACTTTTCAAACAAGATATTCCACATCATCATTGATGCTTTTTAAGACACTAGTGCTTTCTAGCATGGAATATTGTTGCACACTTAACAGTCCCTATAGTGCAGGTAGGAGAGATGCATAATAATTTACACTTGGAAAATATAGTACTATGTGGTGTTATTACTGCATGCAGTACAGTAATAACACCACATGAAACCAGAAGGCATGGCAGGATATGCAAAATAGTCTATCAACTTTAAAGGCCCAAGACTTTTAAACGTTCTCCCTCTACACCATTGGGCACAACTGGTCGATAACTGTTGTAAGATCGGGCAAAACTGGCCGATCCCTCACAGTGTTCAAAAGGTAACTTAATAGACACCTTCAGAGGATACCTGATAAGCTAGGCTGTGATTCATACAACAGGTTGCAATCAGCCGCATTGAACAGCCTGGTTGACCAGACCACCAACTACACATACCCATACCTGAATTTACCTGAGGTCTACTGACACTAGTGGCCTTGATGAGGATAGGAAACTGGCAGTTTGTCAAAGGCACCTATTTGCCATTATGATTTTTTCCAGCTGGATTTTTAAATTTAACAGTTTTGGGATTTATGGCTTTGGCAAGTAGGTGGTTCCATGGGTTTATAACCCTGTGGATAAAAAAGCATCTCCTGTTGTAAGTCCTGCATTGTGGCTTGTTGAGCTTGAAACCATTGCTTCTTATTTCTGTTACATCTGACCTTTTGAAGAAATTGTCTGGATCAACATCCTCCAAATTCACAATTTGTATTGTGACTCCAAATGCAGATCCGACCGACTACGGTCCCTGTAGTACAGTCGGGTTTGTTCTCAACACACAATCGAGAATTCCGGGTTCAAATTCCGGCCGGGACAGAAATGGTTGGGCACATTTCCTTTTACCTAATGCCTCTGTTCACCTAGCAGCAAGTAGGTACTCAGGAGTTCGTCAGCTTATTATGGGGTTGCATCTTGGGCGGGGTCAGTAACTCGACCCGGGGGGGAGGGGAAACCGTGATAAAAGCCAAATGTGTATGAATATCCTCTGGCTTCCTGACCCCTGACACAGTGAATTAAATTGTTCAGTATTTTAGAGGTTTCAATGAGATCTGCCCTGTCATGCCTGGTTTGCAGTGTTGTTATCCCTAAGGCTGTCAATCATTCCTCGTATCAGATGACTTAGTTCTGGAATGACTTTTGTTTCCCAGTGCTGCATTTTCTCCAAAGCAGCTGTGTATTTCTGAAGATGAGGTCTCCATGCTTCAGTGTAATAATCCAAGTGGGGGCACACCAGAGATTTATAGTTTAATCATCACATTTATTTCCTTTAAGTCAAAGGTAAAGAAGTTTGTGATTCAATTGTATAAATCTCTGGTGCACATACCTACATACACAGGCTGCCTGTCACTGACAAAATGAATTATTATTAACTACTGCATATAATTTTCTTCTGTTATAATGATTAGAGAATACTGTACTGTACTGTATATTAATGTATACATCACTAGGTAATTATACATCCACACACAAAAAAGATTCTCATATAAAACCTAATACTTAATTGGTACCCCATCAAGTACATTATAATACAGTACATGTACAGTATCCTAGGAAAAAGTACAGTAACAGTATAGCTTATTGTGTCACATGGCAACCCATCTCCAGATCTGAATGAAGAACCGACATTAGCAGTAGCATCAGCTGGAGCAGTATCATTACTAGGAAAGGAGTTGTCTTATATAGTCCAGTCCTTCATCACGTCACTAATGGACACCCACATGCCAACGTGTAATGGAGGACACGGCCAGTCACATCTCACCCTTGGACACGCGTGTCTTACTGTGTCTAACGTGGATGCTGCAGCTAAACTCCAGCTTTGGGCACAAGCTGTTGAGTGTTATAAGGTCAGTATACTAGTTGTAACATATCAGCGATTATTACTAAATCAGTTTCATTGTTGTAACATCCCAGGGGATTACTACTGTGGTCACTGCTCAGCGTGTCCTCTTGACCTGTCACATCATAAAAATTATGTACTGTACAGTATGGTCACTGTCATGGCTGTAATTGTCAAGAATTTCTACTATGGTCACTGCCATGGCTGTAAATGATGGAGATTACTACTATGGTCACTTTCATGACTGTAATATGCCAGGGATTACCACTGGTCACTACCATGGCTGTAATTGCCTGGAATTACTACTAATGTCACTGCCATGGCTGTAATTGCCAGGGATTACTATTATAGTCATTGCCATGGCTGGAATATGCCAAAGATTACTACCATGGCTGTAATATGCCAAGAATTACTACTATGATCACTACCATGGCTGTAATATAACAGGGATTACTACTAAATTAATGGCTGTAATATGCTATGGTTTAGATTACTGCTATGGTCACTGTCATGTTTTATTTATTTATTTATATACTGTATTTTATTTATGTATTTAATATATTTTATTTATTTATTTGTTTGTTTGTCTATTTGTTTATGAGAAGGTACAATGGGGTTTGAGAGATTACATAATATTGGTATTTTTATATTCATGTAAAGCCATTAACATGCATAGGCAGGTCCTTAATCGAACAGATCAGGTAAGATGAAAAGGCACAGTGTAGCAAAATTTTATGTCAACATTTAACTACAGTATAGACAGAGGTGAATTACATTGGTAAAGATGTATGTCTTTAGTACTTATATTGGGGGAGTGGGTAGTACAAGTTACAGTGTGAGTTTGAAGCATAAGGTAGGAAATTATGAGGATGAAATTAGGTACATTTTGGTTTTACTTTTGAATAAGGCATAGGTGGGACAACTTTTTAATTCATTAAGGATTGAGTTCAATAGATTGGGTCCTTTTATTTGCTTGGAGTGTTCGCACAGTTTAGTTTGACTCTGGGGATATCAACGTGATATGTATTTCTAGTGTGGTGCTCATGCGTTCTATTACACCTGTCAAGGAAAAGTTTCAGATCAAGATTGGCATTTAGGAACAAGGTTCTTACATGTAAATAGCTCTGGAGAATGTGTGGAGTGAGTGTATGTTTAGCATGTTTTGGCATGTAAACAGAGGGCTGTGTGTAGTCTGAAGACAGAGTTTGTTATAGTTCTGATAGCAGATTTTTGCTGATTGATGATTGGCTTGAGGTAATTTGCAGTGGTTGAACCTAGTGCACATATACCGTATGTAAGATAGGGATAGATTAGTGAGTAGTGGTTGTAATATGCCAGGGATTATTACTATGTCACTGTACAACAGTCTATTCAAATTTATATCAAGAACAGGTTTCCCATTTTGTGGGATTAACAGCCTCTTACCCCAAAGCTAATGGCTAACCTTTACTAAGAGGCAACCCACAACAGTTGCCTAACACCTGGGTAACTATTTATTGCTAGGTGAACAGAGGCATTGGGACGTCACCCTAGGCCACTAGCTGACCTTTGTGATGAAACCCACAACAGAACTACAGTACAGTATAGGTTTGAGGTGTGAAGGTGAGGGTTTGAATTCAGCATATACTGTATGGCAGTTTTAAGCTCTGTTACATGTGGTAAAATTTGATTTTGCCACAAATCACTTAGATTATTTACTGAGTTCATGAGCATGTTTTGAAGATCAGATGACCTGGTAGAACATTACATGATATGGAAACATTTTTATAAGCACATGGATTGAGGTGAATTATCTCATTAAAGGTTTGCGTTGTTGAATTGACCACAATCACTTTGTGCAGCCAAAGAACTGAGAAGATAATGAAGAGAATCAGAGTTTACAGTTCTAAGAGTATTAAGAAATTTAAAAGTTTTATTTTTTATATTGAATGTATTATGTCAGTTGTATCATTGCTCATAAATCTATTTGAAAGTACACATTCTATTATTTCTATCAATGAAAACAAAACTTGTAAAAGAAATTAAACTATTAAAGTTTGATGCACTTGATGGGTCAAGAGTCAGTCATTCCATTAGTACCAGATATCACTATATCTGTGCTTCAAAAAATTTAATTTTACTCATTTTCTACTAAAACTGCACAGGCATATTAAAAATGGGATTTACTTAATGTTGCTACTTGACTACCTACACAGTGTCCTCCATGGCCATACCTGATGCTGCAACCCGGCACCTCACAAGAGCTGGCTGTCAACACCACATATCCTACTGATCTTTATGTTAGAAATACAACTGGAGGTGACCTGTACAAGTAAGTGGATTGATCTCAAGATTAAATTTGTATCTCGTTCTGTGCAACCACATTTCTTCTTGCAGCTCTCTGGCTTCATTTGTTTTCTCTTTTTGGCACCATGATAGCAAATCATGATCTCTGAAACGTGCAAAAATGGTGCAGAAACAAGATTTGGTTGTGGTGTTAAATACAAGCCATACACTTTGATATGACTCACACCCCACATAAGATCGCTACACATAAGTCTTATGCTATAATGTATAATACTGCATACTATAATAACTAAGTGATGTTTTATTTTTGCCACTCTAATAATATGAAATAATCTATACTTGTTAGTTTGAAGTACTGCATTATAATAAGATTTATGAAAGCATTATCAATACATAATGCTATATCAGTGTGCAAGCATTGTACACATTGCTGTAGCAGTGTGCAAACATTGTACATATTGGTATAATATACTGGACAAGCATTGTACACGATTGCATTCATTGTTTACGTGCATTTCAAGAGCCTCGTTTATATTATTTGACAGACTGACGTATCACTTTGGAGAATATGGGGCCTATCAGCTGGGGATTAGTACAGAGAGCATCTCAAATATAAAAGTCCTCACTAAGCCTCCCAATGAATTTCTTCGTGAGTATGGCCTTTAATTCAAAGCTTTCATGTATTTTTTTTATTGTTAATATATTTCAATCTATTTGTATAAATGTTTGTGGAGTTTGGAGAATTAATGTTACAACACCGTTCCTGGATACACATGTCTGTCAAATAAAGCAAGATCACTAACAGCAACATAATGGGCTCCTAATGGGGAGCCCATTAGGAGTTTTAATAGGAGTTCAAATAGACGGAGTAGCAATGGGCTCCCCCTTAGGAGTTTTATTTGCTAATTTTTATATGGGAACCATCGAAGACAGAGTCTTCAGTAGCAGACAAAAACCAACTGTATATTGCCGTTATGTAGATGACATATTCGTCATAGTAAAAGACTCGGATGAACTAATTGATCTAAAAAGCCATCTAGAGAGAGGGTCAGTACTCCGATTTACACATGAAAATAGTGAAAATAAGTCTGCCATTCTTGGATGTACTAATAACAAAAACAGGAACCTCTTTAAGCACCAACGTATATACTAAGCCCACCAACATAGGATTATGCCTGAACGGTAGAAGTGAGTGCCCCCGAAGATACAAAGCCAGTGTTCTCAATGCTTATATTCGTCGAGGGCTTACCCACTGCTCCGAATGGAGCAACGTGAGTAGAGAGTTTGAAAGAGTAACTCAGGTATTGGTGAACAACGGATATAGTAACGCAGAAATAAACGCGGCTATAAGGAGACACTTGGACCGATGGTATAATCCTGAACCTAGAGCAGAAACCACAATACCTCCAATAAAATTATATTACAAATCAACCATGCACAGTGAACATATAAAGAGGAAAGAATAATGAAAGAAATAATCCGTAAAGGAGTAAAAAAGCATTACTCCTAACCAAAACATAGACCTGATCATATTCTACAAAACCAAGAAGACTTCTGAACTCCTTATCAAAAACAGCCCAAAGCCGACGGAGAACCCTCTACAGCAGTCAAGCGTTGTATACATGTACACTTGCCCCAACGAAGGATGTAACCTTCAATCTAAGTACATAGGTATGACGTCGACCAAGCTGACGAGGCGTTTGACATGTCATCTTCAATCCGGTGCCCCCAGGAATCACATGAGACAAGCCCATGACATCACCCTAACAAGAGAAACGTTGAACAAAAATACCTGTATAATAAACAAAACCCAAGATGCAAGAAGATTACAAATTCTTGAAGCAATTCACATAAGAATAGAACAACCGACCATGAACACCCAAATCACGGAACTATTTACTCTACCCACCATGAGAGTAAGGACAAGACCAGAACATAACGATGCCAACACAAAAGACACTGTTCAACATAACAGGCCAATTACACCTGATTAATCTTTGTATATAGATAGGTGCTGCCTCGTATGGGCCAATAGGCCTTGTTACCTTTATTCTTATGTGCTTCATCCCCCATTTATCCCTTATGTATCCCCCCATGTTTTCACCTTTATTGTCTTATCACCTGACCCAGTGCGGGTATAAATCAACCAGTTCTGAAAATTCTTTTCACTTGAGAATGAACCATGGAGGTTTGAACGTTGTGCAAATTGTATAAATAAGTGTAATACATTCTATAGTAATTCACTTTTTTCTTCACCTTGAAATTACGAAAATGAGTTTTGGAGAACTCCTCTTTCAGCTAAGCCCTGATGCTTGTATCAAGGTCCCCCCAAGGTGACTGACCCTCCCCAGAATGCAACCCTGCAAAAGTTGCCTAAGTCCCAGTTACCTATTTACTGCTAGGTGAATAGGCGCATTAGGTGCAAGGAAACATTCCCAATCATTTCTGTTCAGCCTGGGAATCGAATCTGGGATCCCTGATTGTGAGTTGAGAATAAAGACAACTGTTCTCCAATACTGTACTGTAGGTTAATACAGTACAGTAACATAATTGCTATGACTTGCCTGTCTAGTACACCCATGATTAGCAATTCATATTCAGTACAGTATTTGCAAAATATTTATCTTCTATTCAATTGTTTACAATATTGTATATCTTAATTAACTGGTATAATTAATGTAATTTTCCATGTACAGTATAACATCAGGTTTGTTACTAATAAAAAATCTGTTGGCAGCCTTGATTGTTGCATTCGTGTTCTTCTTCATGTTGGCGTTCATGTGGCAGTGTGCCAAGTTCTTCCGGTACCGCATGGATTCACCGTGCACGACTCGCAGAGTTGTAAGATATTTTCAGTTTAATTTTAGTTTCTTTGACAGAAATGAAAACAATTTTTATGCCTATGTAATGAACAAACTTCCAATAAAAAGTTTTGTTATCTAGGTTATGAGTGTACAGTATACTATTTCAAGATCAACTCCTAGTATGTGAGAGAAGAAGATTTCAAGAATAACCTCTTGTGTCTTTGATCAGAATGAATGGAAATGTTAATTTAGATTTATATGGGGCTCGTCATAAATAATTTTTGTTGAACACCAGCTTTGATATACAGTACATGGTATAAAAAAAGTTAAAAACTCTATTGTTTAGATGCAGAATGTACTGTATTTGCTGTCATGTGTTACCTGATCAAAGGGAGTCCTTCATAATTTTCTTAAGATATGAGGCTGGGATGGGAATGAAGAAAGATAAGATAAGAGGCTGGGATGGTAATGAAGAAAGGTAAGATAAGAGGCTGGAATGGGAATGAAGAAAGGTAAGATAAGAGGCTGGAATGGGAATGAAGAAAGGTAAGATAAGAGGCTGGGATGGGAATGAAGACAGGTAAGATAAGAGGCTGGAATGGGAATGAAGAAAGGTAAGATAAGAGGCTGGAATGGGAATGAAGAAAGGTAAGATAAGAGGCTGGAATGGGAATGAAGAAAGGTAAGATAAGAGGCTGGAATGGGAATGAAGAAAGGTAAGATAAGAGGCTGGAATGGGAATGAAGACAGGTAAGATAAGAGGCTGGGAATGATCAATAAAATATGACGTGTAGTAAGAATGAAAAGAAAAACGCAAGTTAAATGAAATTGAGAACATAAATGTCATAAAGGAATGGAAAGGATAAGGTAATAAGGAATGGTGGATTAGGGGCAGAAAAACAGGAAGAAGATAAATTATTAGAAAAGTATTCAATTAACACAAACCAGGAAAGGACAAGTTTACAGACATTGACTGGAGACAGAGAAAAGAATTCTGTGGAAATATATGCAGCAAACCAGACGCCTAATGCATCAGCACATCATTTACACAGGTTCTAATATTTCAGAGGTCGGTGTCAGCAGGTGAAGAGACTTCTCTGCTGTCATCCCAGCCAGTATATCAGGGAAGTCCTTCATCTTCTCAGCTGCACCAGACGACTCCAGTAGCACCGTCCCTGTTACCCCAATTATCAGCTGGTATCCCAGACTCAAGTATGAGAAGAGGACGTCTTCAGTCTCTGGACACTTTCAGAGGGTGAATATTGCATGTGGTATTTCTCGTCATTGTTTTATAATGTCTAAAAAAAATTGAACTATTGCTTCAGTCATAGAAATCTAAGAAAGTTTAACAAACACAAGCATAAATCTGTTTCTCTTGTACAGACTTGCCATCGTCATCATGGTCTTCGTGAACTATGGAGGCGGTCGGTATTACTTTTTCCAACATGCCCACTGGAACGGCCTCACTGTTGCTGATTTGGTCTTTCCCTGGTAAAGATGTAGTTTGGTTTGTCATAGAAAATGTACTCATATATTTTAACTTGTACAGTATTATAAGTTAGAAATTATACTGCACTTAAGTTTGTATTTAAGAATTAGCTTTGTTGGCAGTCATTATATTCTAATCAATAATATGTAGTCATGGGTATTAAGCCTTAATTTAGAGAGTACTCTGGGCTGGCTCTTTTATTAGCCTAGTGCTTAAGGCTATATACCACAGAGACTTCCAAACACTATCAGGCCCCTGGACATGCCTGACATAATGGATACTAAGATCAGAATCTGGTTTACTTATCAAGGGTAAAGGAGTGTGGGATTAAAAATCTACTGAAAACATTGAAATCCACCCATTAAGTCACAGGCTAAACAACTCTCGACCATTTTAAATAAGAAAGGAAGCAGTAAGATAAATTATAGTTGGCAGCAAATTAACAACCACCCTTGTGGCTCAAACTCACCCGACTGCCACCAGATTGCATCCAAGGTCACCGGGATTACCACTGTCACCACTCTCATTCACATAGCTGGTACCCATTGCAGCCGCCCCTGCACGTGTTTCTTGACATTATGTACTACAAGGTCCATGCTCTGTGCATTGTTTCTTGTTTATGATTCATGAATATGTTTATGCCACCCACCTGATAACATTGATTATTTTGCTTGGACTTTTTTTATCAGGGTTAACTTACCTTCCCTGATGTGTGATCACATTTCTCTTTCCTAACCAGAGTTGGATCAGGGGGAACCGTGCCATTTCAATAAAGCAAACTGTCTCATTTGGTTCAGGCAAGCTGTCATTTGAGTGAGATGAATCATTTCAGTTATAATTACCTAAGTGTAGTCACAGGATGAGAGCTGTGCTCGTGGTGTCCCATCTTCCCAGTACTCTTTGTCATATGATGCTTTGAAACTAATGATTTTTGCCCTCCACCACCACCTCACTGTTTGAACCGTCTACCACTCTGTTTATAAAAGTAAACTTTCTGATATTTCTTTGGAAGCTTTCTTCCCTCAGTTTGAACTTATGTCCTCTTGCTCTTCAAGTTGCAGGTTTTCAAAAATTATTCATTGTCTTCATTTGTATTTAGCGATCATATTACTTATTTTTCTTCTATCTTCTAGCTTTGGTATATTTGATGCCTCTACCCTCTCCTCTCACCTCTTGTTTCTCAGTTCTGGGAGCCATTCATTGCATGACTTGGCACCTTTACCAGTTTATTGATATGATTTTTGAGGTATGGGCACCATATGACTGCTGCATATTCTAACTTTGGTATCACACTTGTGATACAAAAGATTATTGATTTGTGTATTTGTGTAGGTGATTAAATATGTATGTGTATGTATATATATATGTATGTATGTATGTATGTGTATGAAAACTTGGCTTATTAGGCAAATCGGGCCTTTCATAGTAGGCTGAGAAGTGCGTTCTGGCTACTAGGTACGACATATATATTGTATATATATATATATATATATATAGCGTCAAAATATTGTTATTTGCTTAGCTAAATGAACTAGAGGGTTCAGTTCCTGAACCGATTATGTGCTTTTGTAATCCTTTATACCACCACCCACGGGATGGATATGGGGTGCATAATAAAGAAAGAAATTGAAAGAAATTGAATTGGTCTCACAAAGGTTGTAGACAATTTCTTTAATATTTCACCATTTCACTGAAAAGCAATTGTAAAGGTAAGGTGAACTGTGTTATGGGAAACTATCTTCTATCACACATGAATAATGCCACTGGAGTCCAGCATGGAGTCCATATCTAGTCAAGGATAAGACTAAACTGGAAAAAATTCAAAGGTTTGCCACCAGACTAGTACCCGAGCTGAGAGGTATGAGCTACGAGGAGAGATTACGGGAATTAAACCTCACTTCGTTGGAAGACAGAAGAGTTAGGGGGGACATGATCACCACATTCAAGATTCTCAAGGGAATCGACAGGGTTGATAAAGACAGGCTATTTAACACAAGAAGCACACACACTAGGGGACACAGGTGGAAACTGAGTGCCCAAATGAGCCACAGAGATATTAGAAAGAACTTTTTTAATGTCAGAGTGGTTGACAAATGGAATGCATTAACAAGTAATGTGGTGGAGGCTGACTCCATACACAGTTTCAAGTGTAGATATGATAGAGGCCAATAGGCTCAGGAACCTGTACACATGTTGATTGACGGTTGAGAGGCGGGACCAAAGAGCCAGAGCTCAACCCCTGCAAGCACAACTAGGTGAGTACTGGAAGTGCAACAGCTTCGGTTCTGGATATCTTATACTGTAAATTAATGAGATCTCATGTCTGCACGCTTAAAACCACTTGCCTTCCTTACAGGTTCATGTGGATAATGGGGGTGAGTATGATCTTCTCAGTTCGGTCACAGCTGCAGCGCACCACCAAGAGGTATCTGATGGTTTTCAGGATCCTCAAGAGATGTGCAATTCTTTTTATTCTGGGCCTAATCATTAATAGGTAAGAAGGTCTAGCTTAATGTCCTACTTCAGAGGTACTGTACTGGTAGTTATCATCTTTATTGTTTATACAGTACCTGTACTCATAAATGAGAGATGAAATGGAAGTTTGTACCAGTGTTTTCTCTTCTTTATTGGCAGAATTAATTTGTTTGACATTTGTTTCTTTCTTTTTATTTTCTTCATTTTTATTTTGTCTTTGTTGTTGTGCGCTACATTTTCTTCAATTTCAGCCATTTTTTGTTTCCAAAACTCAGAAGTGCTTTCTTAGTGTTGAGGACAGGAAGCACATTAGTCTTATTGAGGTTCCACATGGCTATTAACTGACCTCCAGAATGCATTCCACAACAGTTGCCTAACTCCCAAGATTGTATTTACTGCTAGGTGAATAGGAGCATCAGGTGATGCCTTTGTTCACGTAGCCAATAACTGACCCCACACAGGATGTAACTGTCAAGTACCTATTGATTGCTAGGTGAACAGAAATATCAGGAATAAAGGAACATGCCCAAATATTGCATGGTGCATCCTGTTGCATGGTACTGAATTATTTAAATTATGTTAACTCAAAGCATGCAAGTTGTTTTTTTAAGACTTATTACTTCAAACTTAGTATTGAAAGGCATATTTCAGTTGATAAATTAAGAAGTGGGGCCCAAGGGCACTAGAATTATTTTTCTGATCCAGCCAGATTAACGAATCATTTAATTAACTTCAATACCACGGTACTATATTGTACAGAAAAAATAATACTTGCCATTTATGGCAGCTACCATCACTGTTCCCTTCAAATTTTTAAGTACGGTAGTTATTGTTGATATGCAATAAGTATTTAGTGGATACAGGCCTATCAGTGATTACTGGCAATTATGGCACCTCTAGCTTATTATTATTTATTATCTAACTTATTATTATAAATATCTAACTTATTATTATTATTTCTTCTACTTAAAAATAGAAGAAATGTAGAATTTAAGCAAAAATGTTATTTTATAATGCTTGGCAATGGGAGGGAAAGATTATTTTATCTGTGTGCACCTAGATGAGATTTCAACCAGGTGTAATGGAAGGCGATGTTCTTCCCCTTACAGTATGTATTTTCAAAGCATTATCTAATGTAAGTTGAAACTAGTAACAAAATAGATATCTATGAAAGAAAGTGTGTGTTGAGCCCATCATCAACTGCTGTAATATGACTATGGAGTATGAAACAATTATTATGAGAAGAGTAGCCATCTCGCTTATTAGTAGAGATGGATGTCAATTATCCACACGTCACAGCTTGGTATACACAAATGATATCCAAATTTTTATTGTCCACATAATTTTGGTATATAATACAGTCATGGTTTGACAAGGCAGCATCTCATCTATGTAAAGTAACAAATATATTCATCATATATACTATGCATATATTGATATGCATTGATTATATGGAAAACTTTCATTATTTGAATAGCCCACATTTTCACAACCACTTCCTGCAGTGCATTCCAATTGCCGATCCTGTATGGGTTGTCATCAAGTGGAATGCATTGAATTAAGAAGTTGCTGAAGCCAGTTCCATCCACAGCTTCAAGAAAAAATTAAAAAGTTAATGTTGATAGAGGTAATTGGCATATTAGGTATAAACATCAAGATCTCACTCCTCCATAGTCACTGATAGGTAAACAGTAATAGGTAAGTATTCAAGTGAATGCCAGGATGCATAAATTTGGATTAGTTAAATTGCTTTGTGCAATACTTAAATGAATATCAAATCTCTGACCATCACAATGCTGTTTTAGAAAGTTGGATTCATCTGGTCTTTGCCAGTTCTGAGTTCATATCATCTAGTTATTGATTGTAAATTTACATGCATAAAGTAGCATCTTTAACAGGTCTGGTCAGGTATTTCAAATGTGTAATGGCTAAGTAGGAGTTGCTGATAAGAATGTGTCCCCAGATATTGGTTCTTAGACTTAATTCTTTTTCTTTTAGTGACAACAATCAAAACTACATGCCTACCCTCCGGATCATGGGTGTTCTGCAACGCTTTGCCATTTGCTACGGCATCACAGCATTAATGGAGGTGTACTTAATGAATCCCCAAGAATCACCAGAGGTTGGTCTACTCTCAGTATAAAAAGCACTAATTTCTGAATGTATAGACGAAGATAATTGCTGTACAAGGACAAGCTTATGTTGCACTGCAGACATTTCTTACGGAACAAGCTTTTCCAGCTCTAATTATTCTTGGAAAAGCTCACCTGGAGAAACACATTACCTTAAGTAGATGTTTGTCCTTTGTATATAGTTTCTTCATCTACATTTATGTACTGTTCACTTCATTCCTGTACTAGAGCTCACTCCTCCCTTCATTCCTATACTAGAGGTCGGTCTTTTCCCTCATTCCTGTACTAGAGCTAAGTTTGTAGACTTGAAGTTCACCTTTATTACCTCTTGCATTTTCCCATTTGGATTGAAAGGTGATTTCATCTTAAGGAATGTAAGTCATGCAATGTTTAGGTTACCACCGTCTTTGACCCCTAATCATGATTGAATGTTTATGTTGCTGCTGCAAAGTTGAGGGGCCGAGTGTCTAAATATTTGTACAAGTGGTCAAAATTCCCAGCCGTGTCTGGACTTTATATCCAGGTTCTTTATCTCTCTTGGTTGAGGATCTGGTCCAAGGTTCTGTGCTCTATTTGTTCCCTGTTATGTGGTGAAGATGTGGCACCACAGGAGTTGATGGGATTGACCTGGTTTTCCTTCTATCCATCTAAGTGTGGGCTTGTAGATCAGATGTCATCTATCTGCATTTAGAAAGGATGAGTTTGTTCCCCACACAGTAATTTGAAACAGTCTCATGCACCTACTCCTTCATGTAAGATTCCACTGTGCATTTGGGCATTGATTATTTACTCAAGCAGGTGCAACATACAACACAGTGCCATGGGTATTTTTGTAGTATCCTCACATGGTCATAATGGTCTGAGAGTCACTTTAGAATACTTAAACCAACCCAGAAATGAATATCAGAAGGTCTTTCTAAATAAATTTGAGGCCATGCCAGCCTGACCTGAAGCCTGCTTGCCTAAAGGCTTCTTGTCTAAAGCCTGCTTGCCTAAAGTTTGCCTGCCTGAAGCCTGCTTGTCTAAACCTGGCATGCATGAAGCCTGATTGCCTGAAGCCTGCCTCTGTGAAGCCTGCCTGCCTGAAACTTACCTGTCTGATGCATTCCTGTCTGAAACCTGCCTACCTATATAAACCCTACCTGCTTGAAGCCTGTTTGCCAGCTTTCAGTCAGAGATTTAGTGCATAAAGCATATATGCATACTAACTATTGATGATGATGAGAGTAAACATTATATTTTGTTTTTCTTCACGGGGACACATTGGGATGCGGCCAGCCCACACTAAGCAAACCATGCCTCAGGCTTTTCAGCTTTTTCGTGGTATATTCCTGTTTCATTTAAACTTCGCATTTTTTTCAGTTCTTACTTGGTAAGGGCTGACTGTTTTTATAGTAATACATCCTTGCATAAAATACAGCATTTCAGGTTGTAGATAGGCAAATATATTTGAATACAGTACAGTGGAACCTCGACTTACGAATGCCCCTATTTACGAATTTTTCGAGTTACTACTTCAATTTAGTTGGATAATTTGACTCGACTTACGACCTTGGCCTCGACTTGTGAATTTGTTGATACATGTATGGGTCGACTGAGTTCCTGGTGGCATGGGCAACCCCACCTCAGTTTACTAGCGCCACCCGCTTAGTGACAATCACGCTTGTAAAGAATTTCATTGTTTTTGTGCTTTTTTGTTTTTTGAACATAAAAGTAATTATTATATATCATGCCATGGGTCCCAAGAAAGTCAGTGGTAATGTTCAACCTAAGAAAACACATGTGAGGATGACTATAGAGGAAAACAAAGCGATCATTCATAGTGAATAAATGTGATGTCTCAGTACAGACAAATGTTAAAATGTAGGGAAAAACAAGTGTCTGTGGAAAGGTTCTTAGTGAGACAAATAAGCAGTGAACCACAACCAGGTCCTAGTGGTATGCAGGCAAAATGTAGGAGAGAGAATACCTGAGAGAAGTCATCATTGCCTGATGTTATAATGGAAAAGGACTTCCCTTCCAAACAGTAACATCTCTCTTCCTACTCACCATCTTCCATACACCAACAAGAGTCCTCAATAAAGGTAAGATATACATAATGCATTGTAGCTAGCACGAAAAGAGTGGTATTTGGTATAAAATGTATTTTTAACTTAATATTTTTGGGGGTGTGGAACAGATTAATTCAATTTACATTATTTCTTGTGGGAAAATTGGTTTCGAGTTACAAGTTTCGAGTTACGAGTTTCCCTGTTTCTAGAAATGGATTAAATTCGTAAATGGGGGTACCACTGTATATTAAAAGCAATGACATATTAATTTTCATGCTTATTTGTTGAACATTGCAGTATGTGTGGTACTGGAAGATACGGGACATTATCAGGTCTGGAGTGCAGTGGGTCATCACTATTCTTCTAGTTGGAGTGCACACAGCCATCACATTTGGCCTCCACATTCCAGGATGTCCCACGTATGTTCGTAGTGCTAATATCTGTGCTCTGTGTTACTAATCTTATCACTGACTATATTGGTGCCATAATTTTTCTGTCTATATCTGTTGGTTTGTCATTTGCTGTGTTAATTAGGTTATTATTGCTGTCAGTTAGCCATTTGTTGTTTACATGGGTAAGTGTATCTTTGCCTTTGTTAGTAAGCTTATCTCTGCCAGGATAATTACAATGGTTTGATTGTAAAAAACAATTGAGCAGTGTGCAAATGTTGATTTTCTTTGCTAAACCAGCTGTAACTACAGCTGGTTTGTTCATTTACTTTAGGTATTTACAGACTTGGTTAAATAATTTCCATCTCTAAATCAGGATTTAAATGTAACAGAATAATAGGTAGACATAATTGCCCCATTCTCAGTTTCATATAATGGGTTCCGGTTGCCTTTTGGCATTAACAATTTCATGCAGTCTGTTTACCTTTGTTTTCATTTTGGCAGTAGTGTCCCTAGTGGTCCTTTGGAATTTAGGTTGATCAGAGAGGATCAGGTTCATCTTCTCATTAATATAAATATCACTTGGTCATTCATTATATGGTCCACAATATGTAACATCAAGGCTAAAGAAGCAACATACCTACACATCCAGATCAGCAACTCACACTAAATATGGTCAGTTGTTCAGTGATCCTTGTAAATTGTTGTTACAAATCCATTTTTTCCCATCCTACAAAGCATATCCACCCATCCTTGTTACCATATCCTGTGTTTTGTTCACACATTCACTCCTCACTTCCTCAGATACTCACTGCCCTTGTCTGCCCATCTTCTTCCCACCCCTTCTCTTCTTCTTATACACAAATTCACTTAGAATAAACACACTTCAACACTCTACCATCATGCATTCATTCAGTACAGTATACCCAAAACATCTCAATTTGCTCTCTTTAGTCTTGCAATTTATTGTTTAGCACCACATCTCTCGTTAACATTTTTATTCTGTATTCTATTCTCCAAATACCATAGATACCATAACAATTATCCATTTCTTCTGCTCTAACTCTTGAGTGTTTACATTCACATCACACTATAAGTCTTTCAATAACACATTAAAGTCAGCACAACCACTCTTTCCTGCATCCCTTTGGTCATATCTGTTCCTATCTTATTTGTTGTAACCAGGGCTCTCATTGCACCAGCCAGTTTCCTTCTCTGATTACATAGCATATGATATATTAAAATAATCTTATATTTTTAGAATACATTGCTCTTAATATATTGTAATACATTATAATGCAATATAATTGCCAAATTACCTTAATATGGATGGGATGGAATAAGTCAAAGACTGTAGTCTTTATAATCATAATGAAGTTTTGCTATGAATAAATTTGATAGTTTGACACTTGAGTATGGCTTACATCACATAAGCTGTAAAGGTCTGCAGGATCACACTTTGTATGACATTTATCACCCTAGAAAGTCAAGAAAATGGATTTTGGTTATAAATACTGCTAATTACCAAGCTTTGACATTTCTCTGTATACAATATTATTACCTAATAAGAAGATAAACCTTGTTATTATAAACGAGACTCCATTAATTATAAGAATTTTTAAATATGCATCATGCCCAAGAATATTTATATAAAATATTAAGTTTCAGACCAATTTTGATTCTATTTTCCAGTTACTAGTATTTATGTTTTCTCATAATCTTGCTGATTATTTTTACTTATTTGCTCATAATAGTCTGGTAGGCACTTTGATATAGCCAGATGGGTACAAGTTGGACAGAAGCTTTATATGTATCTCGTAGATTGAGGTGGATAAATATAAAATGGAGAGACAGATACAAAGTGGAGGTGTTATGCAGGAGCCATATTAATATAGGATAGGTACAGTACTTGGTGGATTGACTAGCAGAAGCTTGAAGGATAATATATTGCAGGTTGTATTGCAGGATTGAAAAGGTAACTGTTTATCTAAGAGTTATATATTATTTGTCAATAACATTGTCATCAATACGGTGGTAGGGGCTATCTAGGTCCTGGGGGTCTTCACGATGGTGGTGTCCACGGCAACTGTACTGGTGGTGCTGCTGCTTATGTGGATGTTAGTGTACTAGGCGAGGCGCACATATATTCACATCCAACGTGTAAGACAATATACAACAATGATGCTCCTTACGACCCTGAAGGCATCTTAGGTGCTCTGATGGCGGTGCTCACGGTAAGTACTGTTACATGGATTATGTGCCAACTTATTTATTGGCACGGTTGAATGAGTGCTCAAGTATACACTATAGCTTTTTGTGACAGCTTTTGTATTATTTTTATTCTCTGTCTTCCCACTGAGTATCCACTCTCTATTCTCCTCATGTCTCCATTCCTACCACTTAACAACCTCATCCCATTAATATGAAGCTATCCTGTTGGAAAGAATGGTTAAGAAATGTATGGGAACAATTACTGCTGCTATTCTAAAAGATTTCAAATCACAACTGACAAATGTGGCATATAACATTAATAAATGTGCCATTTTTAAGACATGTTAATACTTTCCTACTGTTTTCATTCAGCTGCATATTGATTGTACTGTATATAAGGCAAGGTTTATGAGCAGGAGACACCGCTATGTCAGGGGTGTCCACTCTGGCACAATATGGCAGTACAGGTACTCGTATTTCCATATTGTGTCATAGTACTGATAATATGGCAGTACGTACTCATTCTGCCATATTATCAGGAGACAAAGAGCAACAAATTCAATTGGGTGGCACATTTATAAATCACATATTGGATGTTTTTCTGAGATACTTTCTAATCATTTTTGTTCTAATAGTTTCTAGTAAAATTTGAGTCCTGGAAATGTGAAATTGATCATTAACATTAAAAGCAAAGAATACTGAAGAGTTTCAAATGATTATTCATACTCAAGGGTTATGTGCTCAATTGTTATGTGCTAGGGTACAAAAAAGGGGCTTGCAAGCTCTGAAATAAAGCAGGGAAAATGTATGAACTATGGTACAGTATTAAAAAGCCTAGTTTTATCTCGACACATTTTTGATTTGATATACCAGAGCCAATTGTTTGTATTTTATGAATCCAAGTACTACTTGGATCCAAGGATACTATTGTATCTAAGCTTAGAAATCCCATCTTCAGAAGGACATAGCTGCTCTGGAGAAAGTGCTACACCTGGCAACAAAAATAATTCCAGAGCTAAGTCATCTCTTGTATCTGAAACAGTTGAGGGCCTCAGGGCTAACAACACCGCAAACCAGGCATGACAGGGCAGATCTCATTGAAACTTTTAAAATACTGAACAATTTGGTAAATGTTGATCGGGAAAATTTCTTCAGAAGGTCAAATGTAACACAAACAAGGAGCAACGGTTTCAAGCTCAACAAGTCACAATGTAGGACTGAGAACAGGAGATGCTTTTTCACTCACAGGGTTATAGACCCATGGAACCACCTACCCACTAAAGCTGTAAATGCCAAGACTGTTGAATTTCAAAATCCAACTGGAAAAAGATTATCAAGGCAAATGGGGGGGGGGGACCCTTCGACAAGCTGCCGGCTTCCTGTCTTCATTGAGGCCACTAGTGTTAGTGACTCTCAGGTAAATAAATTCAGGAATTACAGTTTCACATACAGTATTGGCAAGATTTTTTTTTATCGTGGGGCATCCTACAGTTCAACACATCAAATGATTTAACCACACACTGTTTCTTCTACAATACATTTATATGCATTTAAGACCTTTGTGCCCTATCTCCTGAGTGTTGACAAGAATTGTTTGAGTCCTCAGGTACAGTTTGGAGCAGCAGCCGGACGCATTATCATCACTTACCAGGGCCACGGACCACGCATTAAACGCTGGCTTGTTTGGGCAGTTGTTTGTGTAAGTCATCTTGATGTTTGTTGCAATTGGTACTTAAATAGTGTGCATGTTGCATTAGGCATTCGCTGGTAAGTATCTCCTAAAGGGATCCCATATACAGTATTGGTATGGTAGTTATAATGTAGCCTAAGCAGAGCACCAGTAATATCTAGAAGTGTGGTGATTTTATTGAATTCAATTAAATTTCTTTATTATGCACCTCATACCCATCCCGTGGGCGGTGGTGTAAAGGGCTACAGAAGCACTAGTTCGTTTAGCTAAGCAAATAACAATCTTTTGACGCTAGTTACACAATTATTAATGTTATATATACTCGTACATATGCCATAAATATATGGCTTTTCTGGGGAGTCACTTTGTGGCTCCCTGGAGCCATCTTCCTGAGATTGCTCAGAACTAAAAGGTCACATCAGTCACAGAAGTTCTGTTTGACCTATTGGTGACTAGAGCCACAACCTGGCCCCACTCACAAAGGCAGAGAGAGCAAGTGACAACTTGGCAACCCACCAAGAAAGCATCCAGAAAATTGGTGAAGTTTTACAGGCAACTGAAGGATTCACAGAAAGCGATGCCTCAAAACCACTAAACAACTCGGCAAACAATTCACACAAAACCAAGAAATTGCTCAAACTCATTAGTTCTAATTACGACCACCAGGCAGCCTGGTCCCCTGCCCTCAGCTGGCTTCCCATCTCAGTTTTGGGGCTGATGAACAACTCGCCGACAAATTGATGAACCTAAAAGGGAGAGAATCGGGGAACCACCGGCATTTCATTACATTTTATGCTGGGATTTTGTGTGTTGTGGAAAGTTGAAGTTCATTTAGAGATGACAGGATCTTTCTTAGAGTTAATGTCCCAGGTTTAGTGATACAATATGTACATATTAAAAGGCAAGGTGTACAGCAATAGCTCTGTTTGAAGTGTGTGGAGTCCCAGCTATTTATACAGTGCCCATAACTCCAAATAAGAACCATCACTTATGTTTACAACAGCTGCATTTGTGACAGGAATGGTGGGGTGATGTAGGTAACCTTCAATACTGTATGTATGATTTAAAAGAGGGAGTGCTCTGAGGGTAGAGTATTAATTTGCTAAAGGTATTGTATCTTGCTTCGCATGGAGCTCGTGTTGAGATGTAATTCCTATTTCATTTTGAACTACCTGTTTTGCATTTAGTTTCTCCCTAAGGCAAAAATCCACTGCTCCATGAAACTCATTATACATTTTTATTTTTAGTTTAAAAGCAACACACAATGAATATACTGTTTTAAAGGTAGTACAAAGTTTAAATGTAAAATGAAAACAAAACTACGTAGCCAACCCTTTCAGTGGAGAGCAAAGCTAACCCAGGCATTCTATCCTCGCACATTGTAGAATGAAGGTTCTAAAAAAATAAGATTAAATTTGTATGGCACAAGGGAACTGAAGAGTTTAAAAAAACTGTTGAAAAGACCCCAATTTAGACAAATTTGTTCAGGGGTACTGTTGCTTCTCTTGCTTCCGTACTAGATGTTCTGCTGCCTCTTGATAAACATTTTGGGCAATGATCATTGCAATGACTCTGCAATGTTCTTTGAAAAGATCTCTACATTGCCTGAATACGATCCTCTCTGTTTATTTGTAATTCCTGTTTATGGCATAGTATATTTTACCTTAGGGAGCAACTGCTCATAAAGAATATTTACTTAATGACAATCCTGCTTTTTGTTTTAGCATTTGTATATTATTTATTTTGCTTTGCCTTTGTGCTTCCTAAATTCCACATATTTCTGTAGGGCTTGTTAGCAGGCTTCCTTTGTGACTGGCGTAAGGAAGGTGGCCCAATTCCTGTGAACAAGAACCTGTGGTCGCTGTCCTTCGTACTGACCACTGCCTGCTTCGCTTTCTTCCTTCTGTCACTCCTGTATTTGTTCATAGATAAATGGCAATGGTGGAGCGGCAACCCATTTAAATACCCTGGTAAGTAGTGGAGCAGCAACTCCTTTAAATACTGTGGTAAGTGGTGGCATAGCATCCCATTTAAATACTTACAATGTGGTAAGTGGTGGCATAGCATCCCATTTAAATACTTACAATGTGGTAAGTGGTGGAGTGGCAACCCCCTCTGATGTCAGATTGACTGTATATATACTGCCACTAATAGTGAACCTTGGTAATACAGTAGTAGTAGTATTTATCAACTCCACCCATCTTCCTAATTCTTTTGTGGTCACTTACTATTTTCTCTGGAGGATTCACTGGGGCTCCTCCAGAATTTCGGTTAGATTTTTTAAGTGGACTAGTAATATATGTGAATTTCTAACTTTTTCTGTATAGATAATAATGCAGTACCTTTCCTCATAAGCTTCGTCTTGTGAAAGCTTGAAATTCGAATGCTGTTTAAGGGGCCCGGTGCATGTGGGGACTTTTCCAAATGTGGAAAATAGTGAAAAATTTCAAACAAATCTCCCGTTATTTGGCATCAACGTCGTGAAAATTTCATCCCAATATGCTAAGAGATGGATTTTTTAAAATTTGTTTAAAAATAAATACGTGCGGAGACAGGCAGCAACCGGTACTGATAATAACGGTAACTCCTCCTATTTTCTGGCAATCAGGGATAAAGAGATGCAAGCACCTGTCTGACACACAAAGAAGATGAGTAATAGTAAGGAGGGTCCACAAAGTGGATGTCTTTTCCCTGTTGTGTTTTTGTCTGTTCCCCTCCCCCCCCCCCTTTCCTCCCTGCATCCAGATCTTACCCATCTGTGGGTTCGGGGTCGGGGCAGGGCTTCGATGGTCTTGAGACTCGGAACAGTCTCACGGATTTCCCCTTCCGGGGTAACACTGGGGGCATTCGAACCTCTTCCTCCAGCCGTGTTGTACTCTTCAAATCGCTTGTGTTGTCCCATCTTGAGTACTGCTCAGTACTCACTTTCCCCTTCAGAGCAGGAGAGATTGCTGAAATAGAGGGAATACAGAGAACATATACGGCACACATAGATGAGATAAAGCACCTAAATTATTGGGATCGTCTCAAAGCACCTAAATTATTGGGATCGTCTCAAAGCTCTCCAAATGTACTCACTAGAAAGGAGACAAGAGAGATACCAAATAATATACACATGGAAAATACTGGAGGGCCAGGTCCCAAATCTACACAGTAAAATGACAACGTACTGGAGTGAACGATATGGAAGAAAATGCAGAATAGAACCAGTGAAGAGCAGGGGTGCCATAGGCACAACCTGAGAACACTGTATAAACATCAGAGGTTCACAGTTGTTCAACATCCTACCAGCGACTATCAGAAATATTGCCAGAACAACCGTGGACATTATCAAGAGAAAACTAGACCCGCAAGAGGACAACGCATCCCAAGAAACAGAGCAGGCCGCTGTGAATGGTGACAACTAGCTGCGCAGTACCCTGCGCTCCGCACCAGTGCAAAACTGCCTCTTGCCCTAAGGTAAATAAGGAAGACAAAACCCCCAAGCACCCAAAAGGCAGCCGAAAAACCGAGCAGTAAAACGGCCCAGCAGAGGCAGGTCTCGAGGAACTTGTGGAAGGCAACCCCAAACTCCAAGGGCAGTACTTACAGGGCACCTCTACCTCTAATGATCTACCAGTTGGTATACAGAATTATATGAACATGTTTGCTGATGATGCTAAGATAATAGGAAGGATAAGAAATTTAGATGACTGTCATGCCCTTCAAGATGACCTGGACAAAATAAGTATATGGAGCACCACTTGGCAAATGGAATTTAATGTTAATAAATGTCATGTTATGGAATGTGGAATAGGAGAACATAGACCCCACACAACCTATATATTATGTGAGAAATCTTTAAAGAATTCTGATAAAGAAAGAGATCTAGGAGTGGTTCTAGATAGAAAACTATCACCTGAGGACCACATAAAGAATATTGTGCAAGGAGCCTATGCTATGCTTTCTAACTTCAGAATTGCATTTAAATACATGGATGGCGATATACTAAAGAAATTGTTCATGACTTTTGTTAGGCCAAAGCTAGAATATGCAGCTGTTGTGTGGTGCCCATATCTTAAGAAGCACATCAACAAACTGGAAAAGGTGCAAAGACATGCTACTAAGTGGCTCCCAGAACTGAAGGGCAAGAGCTACGAGGAGAGGTTAGAAGCATTAAATATGCCAAAACTAGAAGACAGAAGAAAAAGAGGTGATATGATCACTACATACAAAATAGTTACAGGAATTGATAAAATCGACAGGGAAGACTTCCTGAGACCTGGAATTTCAAGAACAAGAGGTCATAGATTTAAACTAGCTAAACACAGATGCCGAAGAAATATAAGAAAATTCACCTTCGCAAATAGAGTGGTAGACGGTTGGAACAAGTTAAGTGAGAAGGTGGTGGAGGCCAAGACCGTCAGTAGTTTCAAAGCGTTATATGACAAAGAGTGCTGGGAAGACGGGACACCACGAGCGTAGCTCTCATCCTGTAACTACACTTAGGTAATTACACTTAGGTAATTACCTAGGGACGATAACCCTAAGCGCATGCAGCCCGAGTGCTGTAGAATGACTCCTGGCTCCTGCACCCCTGGAAAACAGCCACCACACGCAAAGCACAGTTCTGGAATCACTGGAGCCAAGCACACGACCTCCACCTCTAGCATCAGCCTTAGAACTGACGGGTGGATAGCTGGTGTGGGGGTCTGGGGCTCCCCCTTTCCCCCTCAGCTGCGCAGACAGCGGCGCAGCGATGTGTGACGTCATGATCCTTTGCTCGTTTCTTTTAGGGGAGTTCTATCCACTTGTTCGACTTTTGGTAGCAAAATTTTTACCAGAATAGAGTTTTTTTGGGGGGGACGCTTACCTTTCTGGGTGCATGACCCGGTCGATGGCAGACATAGAATGCTTCCAACCCATGAAGGTTTCTATAGGCCATTGCTCCCCATGCCTCTCTGAGGGGGCCTGGTTCTGGCTCATGGTACCCGGTAGGCCCACAGAACTCCATACACATGACTGATGCCAAAGTCATGGCATCAGTCATAATGACTGATGCCATGACTGATATGCTAATCTCTGATGCCATAAGTCAGAGATTAGCATATCTGCCTAGTAAGCTCCGGGGAGCCTTTGGGTCTCGCCCAGAAAATGGCGTTCCATTACATTCAATACTGGTTTTTTCTATTATTTTCTGAAAACAAATTTTTCCTTACAGGTATGAATTCAATCTTGATCTATGTTGGCCATGAGATTTTTGGTGGATTGTTCCCCTGGTCTTGGAGACCTGTTGGTGAGACCCATACAAACTATCTCATCATGAACCTCTGGGGCACGAGCACATGGGTTATCATAGCTTATCTCTGTCACAAGCGGAAGCTATATTTGTCTGTGTAAAGCTCAAGAACTGGAGGATAAGCAGAGTTGGAGCATGTGTCATGCTGACCAAGCCAATTGTACACATTTCTCTTCTCATGCTTTTAAATCTTCAACTTCCACCACGCATTACAGTGTAACTAGGCAGCTCTTTCAATGGTGCTAGTTGATTGTTGTAATCCCTCTGGCATCACAGTAGATGCTAGATGCTGTGTTTTCCTTACCAAATTTTGTAGTATGTTGGAAAGGGGCCAATCATTGTGATACATAATAATGAGCTGAGAAAGAGAGAGAGAGAAGGCAAGCCTTCCAATAGGATATGATTTTGGCAGAGAAAAATTTACTAAGGATCCTCAAATTTCCTTTTGTCTGTCAGAATCATGGCTATTTAATTTTTTAGTTGAGGCTAAGCGTATGTATTTTTATATTTTTGATGTAAAGTTCTATCTTTTACTATTCAATTTTAGAGAATAAAAACAGTTATACAGCAGTTTGGCAAAGAATAATAATACTGTATTAGTATTAGTGTTTCTTAGTATGGTTAATTAAGAAAGTTCCTAACAAGTTACCAATATGGAAATAATTCTTAATCTGAACATGCATTGTACAATTCCTCATGTTTTGAAACATGACTTTACAATTCGGTTCAGCACACTTGTACTAGGCTGTGATTTATCATGACAGCTTTTAGGCTCTTGAGAGTCGGTCTCCGTGGTGTGATATTTTTTTTTTTTTTTTTTTTAAACAATTATATGTGCTGCTCAGTGATCATTTACCATCCAAAAATGTCAGAACAGTAAGGGAAGATGCTCAGCACAATATTCAAAATTATACTTAACACTATACTCAGTGCTTTACTCTAGTCTACACTATACTCAGTGCTTTACTCAAGATTATACTCAACACTATACTCAGTGCTTTACTCAAGATTATACTCAACACTATACTCTGTGTTACAGTCAACACTACTCAACACTGAGCATGCTATGCTACATTATACTCAGCTCTATACAGGTGCTTATAGACTACTTGTGCACATGTCTCTCAGATTATTAGTACATTAGTTGTAGTACATTGTGCAGCACATTAGTTATATAGATGATATCTTGCATCAGGAAAAATACCTACAGATACAACGTGTAGCATTAGGCGAACGGAGTACTTGATGCTGATGCGAGTAGAGTAATTGAGTATCCAATTACCTGTAATGTAATTGAAAAAACAAGCAAGTGACAAAAAAGTGTAGCAGTTGGCAAATGAAAGAATGGTATTTTTCCACTCCTTAATTTGGAACTACTAGAGAATTCATGTGGACAATTTATAATGAGTTAAGACTTCTGATTTGCATGGTTATACTAGTACTATTTAATTGTCTGTTTGTGGCTTTGAAAAATTGTCTTAAATGGTCAGTACTCTTCATCTTCAAGGAGCATGACTTGAACGAGGAAGTTTATTCATGGGCCTTGGAGTGGTGTAGGTCAGGGGTTCTCAGAATAGGGTGTGTGTACCCCTTGTGCTCTCTAGTGTGTGTGTGTGTATATATGTATGTGTGTGTGTGTATATATGTATGTGTGTGTATGTATATATGTATGTGTGTGTATGTATATATGTATGTGTGTGTATGTATATATGTATGTGTGTGTGTGTATATATGTATGTGTGTGTATGTATATATGTATGTGTGTGTATGTATATATGTATGTGTGTGTGTGTGTGTGTGTGTACATATATATATATATATATATATATATATATATATATATATATATATATATATATATATATATATATATATATATATATATATATATATATATATATATATATATATATATATATATATATATATATATATATATATATATATATATATATATATATATATATATATATATATATATATATTTATTATGTATGTATGTATGTATGTTCCAAGATTGCTTTAATGACTAGACTGAACTTGGAACATAATCACACAGATCAACCTTGGAATATGTACACACTAGAGCAACCTTGGAATATGTACACACTAGATCAACCTTGGAATATGTACACACTAGACCAACCTTGGAATATGTACACACTAGACCAACCTTGGAATATGTACACACTAGACCAACCTTGGAATATGTACACACTAGACCAACCTTGGAATATGTACACACTTGAGCTTTGCAAATATAAACACGAGTGAGCACAAGTAGAACATGCACCCCAGTTTGAGAAACCCTGAAGTGTAGATTATTGCAGGTAATGAACACTGTTTTGAGTTACAAAACTATTGTTTTATTAATTTTTGTAGTTTTAGAATTATGTAGACATGAAATTTGCATTTGTTTTGTACATATTGTTGTCAAAAATAATCAGGCACACTTTTTTTTAAGTTTTAAAGTGATTATCTAGTAATAAAATAAGCTATAGGCTGATACTATTGTTACATGCTCAATATTAGGTAAGGTGTGTATAAAGTGCCATATACCAGACTTTTTCAATATTTTTATGAATATAATGAATATTGTTAATGCTATAATTGTTTCATACAATAAATTAGTTAAAAAAAACTTTTGTTGCTATTCACTTTTTGCATTCCACATATCTCTGTGACATTTATATTCCTTCTATATTTTTTCTATTACCACACATACCTCTCAGCTTATCCATTTCTACTGGTCTAACTCATTTTTCACAACGACCTCACCACTGACTTGTAATCGTACATAAGAGTCCGCCACCATTCTGTCGTACAGACCTGTGGCTGCATCTGTTCCTATACATTATCAATGTTGTGAACCAGGCTTTCATTGCACCAGTCACTTTCCGTTACTGACTTACCTTGCTCTCAATTTTGATTGCACTAATTCCTCTTCTAATTATCATAAATCCCAGGTATTTAAACTGATTGACCACTTCAGCAAATCGCAATTTCTTTCTGCCATCCACTATTGCTTTACTTTTGTCTACATTGACTTTAACAGTTCTTGCACACACTACAAGAAAATATTAACTTGTCTGTATAGCGCACTCTCACTATTTTAAGAACTATCATGTGTATACATTAATTGTGACATTTACTAGTTATTAATATTAGGCCTATATATACACAAGATATACTTGGCATTCTAAACATTTTATTTGACCTCCCTCGTGATGCCATCCATGTACAGAATATATTATATAACCAGGCAAACGTCACGCAACCTGATGTACACCTACGTTAATATCAAACTAGTCACTCGTTACACATTGACTCTTGAACATGCATTGCTACTTACGTGAGGACTTTCACAGCATTTTGTAGCACTACCAACTCCATATATGCTCATTTGCTTTTTCCAAGTCCATAAATATCATATACACCTTAGTCTTTCTTATGCGCTTTTTCTATAGGCTCTCTTTATGCAAATCTTTTCAACACTGATCAATTTCTCTGTATTCTTCTTTATTATTCTGTTCACTATCCTGTTATACACACTGTCCACTACACTTGGTAGATTAATGCACTTGTTATGTTCCTCATTTTTATACAATGGAACAATCAATGCTTTTTTCCAATCCTCTAGCAATAATAGTGATGTGCCTTTTGGCACATTACTGCTAGTTCCTGCCTTCCAGCACATTACTGCTAGTTCCTGCCTTCCAGCACATTACTGCTAGTTCCTGCCTTCTGGCACATTACTGCTAGTTCCTGCCTTCCAGCACATTACTGCTAGTTCCTGCCTTCTGGCACATTACTGCTAGTTCCTGCCTTCCAGCACATTACTGCTAGTTCCTGTCTTCTGGCACATTACTGCTAGTTCCTGCCTTCCAGCACATTACTGCTAGTTCCTGCCTTCTGGCACATTACTGCTAGTTCCTGCCTTCTTTCAGTAATGTGCCTATTTTTCCAGAGCTATTTCCCACCATCTATTACAGTGGTAGGAGGAAGGCCAGTGGAATAGGTTACCTTTAACCTGCAACTATTGGCAGGGTCATTAGTGTCGTGTTACAGGTAACAAACTGTGAACTCTTAAGGAATGAAAGACTGGGTAGATGTGAATAAGGAATAAAGTAATTATCAAAAGAAGGCACCAAACCGGGAAGGCTATGTAGCACCATCAAATGTGCAGAATAATGAGAGGGCGCTAAATATCACCAAGGATGTCAATACGAGAACAAACTCATAAGGCGAACGATATCAATAGTATCCGATTCACCAAGAATTCTATCGAGGGACAAGTGACAGCGAGGGATGGTCGGAAGGCAAGACACATGCTTGTCCTGGAAGTCAGGGCCTTCAACAAGGATATGCACGACTGTAAGAGGGACAATACGGAGCAGGGCGGCGCTCCATTAAGTGACCGTGAGTTAAGTGAATATGGCCAATATGCAACCTTGCCAGAGGTGTTTCCCACCGCCGGTTATGGTGGCAGGAGGAAGGCCACAGGGACACACTACGCTTAAGAGTACGCAGTTTGTTATCAGTAACAGAAAACTAACAACCCTGCCAATGGGCAAGGATGGAGGAATGAATAACTGGGAAATCAAAGTACCGCCCCTGGGTCCGTCTAATTACCACAAGCTACACAAGCTTCACAAACCTTCCTGGCAATACGTTAGTAATGAATAAATATGATATGTTAGGTTGACCTAAGCTAACCTAACCGACGTTTGGATCGTCGACTTGATTTGGTGTCACCAGCTCTTTATTTTCGTCTAACTTCTTTATAAAAAGATACTTTTTCAGATTAAAATGATATTTTTTCGTGTTGTACATTCAGCACCAACATTATAATGAGTAAATATATCATATTTATTCATTACTAACATATTGCCAGGAAGCTTAGTGAAGCTTGTGTAGCTTGTGGTAGCTTGCAGTAATTAGACGGACCGCCCCTAGAGAAAGAGAGGGGTTAAAAGGTGCAGTAATCACAATAAGAGACTGAGCTTGGACATAAGAGCTCCAACCTGTCGTAATGAGGTGTTCTTTTCCTGTGTAGTACATCTAATCATGCTGCAGCCCGTCCTCCAAACAAAGATCCAAAAGTGATTCCATCCACCCGCCAAACCCCCTGTTTATGAATGAAAAACGGTTTACACACGACTCACAACTGATTTCGTTCAAACACTTCCAGAACAAGTGCTTCACTGACGAGTTTTATTCGAACCACATCGCTATAAATGCTTCACCCACGTACTACAAATGCAAATAATCACCAACCGAACCTAAACACCTAACCTAACCTATGCCTCTATATGCACAATGTGCTAATATATTATAATATTAATTGATATTTGAGAAAATTCTTGTTTTGAATGAACAGCATGTTAAAATTTATGAATGCGTCTGTGGGGACGACCGCTGGATAGAGTCGAGGACGGGTTGCATGCTGAGAATATCGCACCTTACTGTTCACTGCACAAATTGTGTAGTGTCCACCCTGTGGTTTCTTGGTCCTGCATTCTTTATAAGCTTATACAGACCATCCTCAACTGAAAGCATAAGAACTCTTCTCTGAGGCGAGACAGAAACTCTAATTTCTAAACCACTTTATCATCATTTATGCATGTGCTACATTTTGGGACCCTCTGATCTGCTCTTCTTTCAGTCCCCAGCTGTTTCCAGGTCTTTGATCATGAAGCCTCAACCTTATTCTCTTGTCCTAACTTTTTCTGCCATGTTCCCCCCCCCCCTTTTTTCCATTTTTTTCTTATTTTTTCTCAACACAGTCTATACTTTAATCTCAATTAGTATTAAGTTTTAGTCTTTAGTCTTACTTTTAGTTTCAGTCTAGTTTTAGTGTTTTTCCTGCCTGAAACACTTTGCGTAATAGTGGCTTTAGGCATTGTATGTACTAGCTCTATCTATAAATCCATCAACTTTTGTATCTTACCTTGTATGTACAGTATGTACTTTACCTGAATAAATATTTGTATTTGTATTTGTCCTGGTGTGATGCTGAGAGTATTTCTCTTGGGCATCCTCCCTGTGTACATGTTCTATCTTCTCAGTATGTCCTTGAATGGATCTGCTCCCTGCTTTCCAGGTTTCTTGGCAAAATTACTCTAGGGGCAGGAAGTGGGAGTAATTTAGCATCTCTCTGGATACAGCAACTGATCTTCCAGGATTGGCAGAGCTATTAGGCAGTATGGCCAATCAGTGATCAATGCACTGCTAGTGACTCTGTTGATCCTGGCCAAAATGGAAACTGGTGACTTGAAAATAAAATTAGCCCAAGGAAATATTATCCTATATTAGTTATTTACATTTATTTTATCTTATGTCTTAGTCGTCCTTTTACATGTTCAAACACAATGTGTATTAGAAAAACAAACAATAAATTTCCTTAAATTTATGTGCAATGTACAATAATATATACTTTAGGGTAATAAAAATATGCTGCCAATAACACACATGCTTGAGGCAAATATTCTGAGAAACTCATCATGCATGATTATGCAGATGTGAGCTAAGTTTGTACATACCAAAATATCCTGTTATGCATTATTTCTTATGAGGTATCCTACATCCAAAACCTGCTGCTCTGCGTGGTACATTTTGTTATCCATGCTACAATTAACAATCTGTTCTCATATGACTGTTTAATAGCATTTTCCCCAATCATGCCGATGAGCGAATCTCTCAAGATGTATCAGCTTTACTCATTCTCACGAGCACTATGAAAAGTTCATGCTGCCACTCCTAATATAAATGTATATACAGTAGACCATCATTGAACATATGAGTAGACTGATGCATCCACTTATACTACTTGGAGACCAGAAGTAAATACTTAACATGTTACCTTATGGACTCTTGTAATATCTCCATTTGTATCATTATATTCGTAGATATAATTTCCGAATTAATGGTACCTTGACAAAATGAGGATTTATTTATCTCTGGTGTGAGGCATCAATGATGGAGATGCTGTGGTGCCAGATAATACAGCCAATGATGATGTCTTAGGAATGTTATGTTACTAATGCAGACTCCTAACTCCCTGTTAGCTTAGCTCACAAGGCTGTGAACTCTATACGCCACATACTAATACAGTGGAGTAACCCCGTCTGAGGCAGTGACCTGTAGAGCAATGGCCAGTGCAGTCTACTCACAATCAATTGGTATGGGATTCAAATCCCACCTAGGACATGACATTTGGGCACATTTACTTGCACCTGATGGTGCTGTTCACCTAACATTTTACCTGGTAGTAAGTCAATTGTTGTGGTTACAAACTGGGGAAAGTCAATCATTGTCCTAGGGGGGCTTTGTCACAACAATGGAAACCCATTTGAAATCCCTCCCATATCATACTGCCACAGTATCTTCAACATTTGGTCACATGACACATCTGGCACAACTGCACAAATTAAAACACTAAATCTAAATGAATCTGTTTCCTATTAAATAACTTGTTAAAACTCTGCATACCACAGATTTTAAAGTTATGGAAATTTAATCACTCAATCCTTGGTGGTTTGTACTAACATGGAAGTTACTATGGCATCCTCAAGCCACACCTATAGGCCACATTTCAATGAGTAACAAGTAGTTTTCATCAACATATTAATATAATCACCTGTTAGATTTACATAAATCATTCATATTTAATAAAATTTGTATTTATTCATCAGCAAACATACAATGATTGATATGATAATTGCATGCATTACCCTTATAATTATACAATGTAGAAAATTAGAGAGGTGAGCATAAATTGTAAAATATGAGTACAACACTTAGAATTGTTTTAACCTAATTGGGTTGATGTTACATGTCACATTGTAATGTGTACTTATCCAACTGATGATAACTTGATCAGTAAGGTTGTTGCTAGTGGTGGCTTGGAGTTCTCAGAGGGTACATCATGCTTAAGTAACATTTATTAAATTTAGGATCAATATTATTAAGTAGATAATTAATAAATACAAGGGGGAAGGGAGGCCTACCGTCTCCCACACTTGGTGGGAGGTTGAAAAGCCATAGGCCTCCGATGTTCATAAAATATTCTGTGCCTATCGCACCTTTATTTTTCATTGGGTATAATCTGCATTTCCTACCATATCTTTTACTTCAGAAAGTTATTTTATTTGTGCGCATTTGGGATCTGACCTTTCAATATCTAACACGTACATGTAATAACACTAATTTCATTTCCAGAGTAAATTTCTTATCGTTTTGAGCCAGTCCCAGTAATTGAGGCTTTATAGTATCTGTGCTTGTAGCAGTTTAATTATTCCCAATATTTCAGAAATCTCTCCTGCCTTGAAATGGAAGGCAAGTAGAGCAATAATCAAGGCAGGAAAGCATGTGTGATTTGAAAAACAGGAGCTTTATGCTGTAAATGTTAAATCATCCAACAATTATTCCTAGAGTCTTAACATGTCATTCATTGAGATTTGGCTGTCTTGTATTTCACATTCATTTTAAGTTGTTAATTTTCCTATGTCTAAGTACTGTAGCTGAAATTTATTACTGTTAGATCATACATCCATATATATTGTTGGATTTTTTCCATTACTCAGTGGAAGAATTTAATGCACTTACCAGTGGAGATGTAGCAAGTTATATTGAAATTTTTGGCCTACCAGGAACTTGAATCAGTTATGTTGTATAGTGCAATGAGTATTACAATATTTATTTGGGGAAAAGGGGGGAGGGGATTAAGGGTGTTGCCCCAGTTGTTGGAATGACCCATGGAGCATTACAAGGTGATAACAGCAGGACTGGGTCCCCAGGTGGAACAAGCATGAGAAGTGCTGGAACATGCAAAAATTAAGGTCCCTCAGCAAAAAGCATATACAGTATATTAAAAACACAGCGGGTAGTGTCCAGCCAGTTGTTTATTCTATAAATGGATTTTATGAAGAGGGAAAAGTGTGTACATATGAGCAAGTATGGGTTAAATGAACATGGAACGCACCAATGTGGACTATTAATTCTTGCCTCCCGAGACCTGACCAAAAGAGCAGAGTAAAATTTCAAATAGGTTATGTTTCCTTTCTGAAAGTTCCATAAAGAAGTGTTCTGTTGTCTCAGATATATTTGAAAAAGGAGAAACAAGTATCACTGGACTTTGTTTAACAGTCAAAGTTGGAAAAGTTGAAAAGAGTCACCAACAGTGACTCCACTTGTCTTAACAGCTGCTAGAGGTTCTTGCATTTCTGAATGATGAACCAAAGGCAGGTTAGCTCCTAAGACAAGCTCAGCTATGAGCAAGCCATATACTGAATGTAATAGATCAGGTAGACTGGGACAGCATTTGCTAAGATATATTATGACATGAGGATATGAACAGAAGTGAGAAACACAAATAAGTCAAATGAGTGTAGCAAAATGTTTATATGCAATGCAGGTGATCAAGTGAAATGTACTGAATGAATCTGTGGAAGCCATCTTCATCCAGTTTGAAAAGCATATATGACAGAACTAGAAATTTAAAAGCACCCAGTATCATTAACTAGGTAAGGGGCTCACAAAGCCACATTTCACTACCCATAGATAATGAAAAGTAAACTAATAAACAGTACTAAAAGCAATACACAATATTATCAAAAATTAATTTCTATCTGTGTAAATTGTTGTACAAACTAACTATGCAAGGGGCAAAATGACTATAATAGTAAATATACAGAAAATAGATTATAAGACAACTTTTAAAATTAAAGTAAAGCACAACATTTAATATATATTTTGGGTGAATCAGCATGTCCACTGATTTGATGTTACTTTCCTATTGTGTGAATCTTAATAAAATGTTTTGCCATAGTTTAGAGTCTATTATTCATACATGACCATTACTGAACCTGACATCAACAGCAGAAAAAGATGGATGTACAACAAACCTTCGAAAAGGATGGCTAACCTAGCAACCTATCCTCTAAACACTAAGATTTTAATGAACTGGACCATCATCTCATATATACAGCATGATAAAAAAAATCATTTGATAAGTACACATACACACGGGGGGGTCTGGTAGCTGAGCGGACAGTGCGCAGGACTCGTAATTCTGTTGCCCGGGTTTGATTCCCGGACCAGGCAGAAACAAATGGGCAAAGTTTCTTTCACCCAAAGTTTCACACACCTAGCAGTCTGGGTGTGTGTGTGCATGGGGGAAAAAAATAAGTTAGTTAGTAGGTAGTTACAGTTGATTGATTGATTGACAGTTGAGAGGCGGGCCAAAAGAGCGGAGCTCAACCCCCGCAAGAATAACTAGGTGAATACACACAGCAAAAAAAAACTCCCAAACTTATGATGCCAATAAAGATCATCATATACTGATGATTCTAAATTTTTCTAACTGCACAAATATGATGACAGTACTTTCATTTTCAAAACTGTACATGCTGATGTGGGAATAGAGCGACCTCTAACAAATTTTGTGGTAAGCTTTGGTGGGAAGTCTGTCTTATGCAAAGTTAAAGGGCTTTAAGGAACAATATTGTGAACATAATATAGCAAGTCTGATGACTCTCCACCCTAATTAAATTGGGAAATTTAGTACTTTGGCATATTTTATACAGCTTTGAGAAAACTCTTTTTACTGAAATGTCTTCAGTATGTAAATTCCTTACTCAATACAGTATCTGTATCTTGGTATTGTTGTTTACATTTGCTGCTTGAGCTTATGCATCAAAGCTGATTATAACTCATTCTATCGTGTCAAGGAGTGCCTTACAATACTTATAATTCTCTAGTCTCTCATGACCTGTGATTACATTAGTCATGAACCATCTTGGCCCTGGATTATCCTAGCTATAGACCACCATGGCCTTGGATTACCCTCACAATGGATTATCTATAACTCTGGTTTACCTTAGCCCTGAATTACCATAAACTTGGATTACCCTAACCCTAGATTCAGATACCCTAGCCCTGGATTTACCTTACTATTTGATCAGTGGTTCCTAACATTTTTCCCAATACTATTTCTAACAGTCCTGTTTTCTAAAACTCAAAACACACCCAAGGGGTCATCACCCACTGCACTAGATTCAAATTATACTATAGAAGTGTAATTTCAGCTCCTGAAGTCAAAACTAACAGTACTACCAGTTCTCGCACATATGGATTTCATAATACGGTATTTGTATTACTTGTCAAACATTCGGCAATTTATAAAAGATAATTTGTAAAAAATCTTAACTATGTTGCCCTTATATATATATATATTATATATTTTATATATATATATATATATATATATATATCAATTTTAAATTATTTTTAATGAAGCAATATTAAGTTGATTAAGATGCATAATATTTAGAGAAAAATTAAAAGTTAACAGTTATCAGCCTAAATACTATAATATTTAATTTAATTTATATAATTGCAGCTCTTTAAAAAAAAGGTACCAAAATGATTGCCAAATTTTATCCAGCTTTTCTTATGTCTGACAAAATACATGCAATTAAAGAATATGGGAAGAGGCTAGGTTACCAGCAAGAAATTCCATATAAACCTTGAGGAGCTTGGCTCAAATATTATTAAATGTCACCCAAAACTGATCAGCCAGGTTGTGATGGCTATGTCATCCAGTGAGCACTGAACACCAGTTGTATGGCTTGAACTCATTGTGTTCTGTGAGAGTAGAAGTAGGTAATTATCAAAAGAAGGCGCCAAACCAGGGAAACTGTGTATGTGACTTTAGAAATGATCTAGGAACCAGTCACATGTAAATATCACAGTACTGTACTGTACAGTACTAACTGCTCAGACTATTATTATTCCTGCCTTAGCTGCCTCACCTCACCTCTGTGAAGCAAATGAGCTTTCTTTATAATAAAACAAGAAGGCAAAAGTTATAGCACAGACATTAATCTGATGAAGTATTCCACAAGTAAGCCAAACATACACCTGACAGTTAATGAAATTATGCAGTACACTGAACAGCTTTTTTGAAACCATGTCGCAGAGCAAGTGTTGCAAACACAGATACCCATTGTATCTGCAAAACCCAATTATTAGTCAAGTGTTCCATATTAGGAGAAGTGTTGTAAAGCACACTGTCAATAGGTTCCGCAGCACAGTACTACACAATACCACATTGCAATGGAGACACTAAAAGGACAGGCACTGTGACACACTGCCACAGTGCACATACCTGTTACTGAAATAGTTTACATGTAACAACACAAGGGGTCTGGGTCTCTTACAAAACATACATTGCTTTATATGCAAGAAATAACTATGCGGCTTGTTTTGACATGACACAAAGAAGAAGAAGATGAAGTGTGGGACACAAACCCTCAGCTTGCTTTCCAGACAAATTACTAAGAAGAGGAAGAGGCAATGCAGCACCCATAAGTTCCCTTAGGTTGGTTTTTAAATACAAAAACTTGACTGAAATATGATCATGTTAAAATGAATTATAAAACTTCAGAAAATGTGCAGATTCAAAGCAAATAGTCAATACACTTTCCAACAACCTAACACATTTGTAATATAATACTTATGTATGACCATGCACAAACATTGTATTGGACAACAACCACCTAAAACTGGCCAGTGACAATTGCACTCATACTTGAACAAATTACTGATATATTAATCTACTACACAAATATAAATACAGTATAAATAAGTCAATTGCACACACTAATATATAAAAAATATATAATTTTTTTATATCAATACAGTGCAAGTATTTTGTCTATACTTGCACAGGTATTTATCATTTGATACATTTTGTCAATACAGTACATAACAGGTAATACATCAATCCTGTAAAGTACATGCATTCAGTCAATACAAATATGTATCACTACTGTACATGCATTTTTAAATAGAGTATTGTACAGGTATTTTTGTAAATACCTGTACAGTTAAGCTCTTGATCAACAGATATTTAATCAATGCAAGTATTTGTTTACACCAGACAGCATTTATCAGTACAGGAAATTCCTCAATATATTCTCAATTACTATACTGCATGTCTAAATGAAATCTGAACAACTTTTAATAATGTAAAATATAAACACTTTGTAATACTGTATATGGAAATATAAATTCAATATACAGTACAGTGTAATTGTGCAAACTTGCAAGAATTTCCTTTGCATTATGAAAGACTCGAGTACAGTACATACATATTCTGACTTTTACAAAGTCTACACATGACTTCACTCTCATGAAAATTATGTATTATCTACACAATGATATATATTTAAGAATCATCTTCAGCCACACACACACACATGTTTACTGTCAAAGTTTTATAGTCAGACTGTGGTAAACAGATTATAAACAATGACAGCAAAGTGGGAGATTATTAAAATAATGACAAATCCATAAACTATCTCTGGTAAAGAATTTTTTGCTTTATTGCCCTAATGTAGAGACAGGAGACCTAGAGAGTGTAGCAGTGGTTGGGTTTGCAGGTCAGTTGAGGCCAAAATGGGAAGTGTACAAATAATTTAAGTAGATAACCTCACTCTCCTTCACGTTTCATTGTTGGAAAGTGGTGTGGGCCCCTGGCTGTAGCAGTATTATGGTACTAGATCATTAAAACAGTAAAAATAGGAAGCATATTAGAAATCACAAAATACTAGATCATTTTAAGTAGACAACCTCACTCTCCTTCACGTTTCATTGTTGGAAAGTGGCGGGGGTCCTTGGCCATAGCAGTGTTTGGCTCGTGGGTCAATATAAAGTGTCTCGTGTTGAACGGACTGACTCGAGGTGCGGCACTTCACCAGGCACAACTCAAAATGGTCCGACACCGAGGCATACAAGGGGCTATTTTCACTAATTTGGCCCAGTACCTTCTTTAGTAAAGATTTCTGAAAAGATGACAAAGTGGTGAAAAAATTAGTCTCAATAAACCAATGAATTGTAATACAGTATAATGAGGCATACAATACATTTAAAACTGTGCTGAAACCAGTTTTACTTTGCAGCACAAAGTTATTCAACCAAAAATAAATAAAACTATGAAACAGACTACCCACCACAACTGTGAAATTCAGAAAAGTACAGCAGCAAAGAAAGCATCTGGAAAACTCACCAAAAAACCAGCATTGAATGTAATGAATGCCATTTTCTGGGTGAGCCCTAGAGGCTCCCTGGAGCTATCGGGCTAATGTGCGATATATTAGACCAGGGCATTAGTTTATGGAGTTCAGCCTACCAGGGACCATGAGCCAGAAACTGGCCCCCTCAGAGAGGTTCCAAGGAGAAATGGCCCCTGGAACACCCCCCTCCCCGGTAGTTGGGGATTTTCCTTATCTGCCATCGACCAGGGTTAGACACCCAGAAAGGTAGGCATAACAAAAAGCATTCAGAGAGGGAAGGGCATGAGCTGCAATGGAAAAGCTGTCAACCATGAAACCACAATGTATCTTCCACAATATATTGATTGCAATTGAGTTCAATTAATAAAAACAGATTTTGTTATTTCTTTAACACAGTATTGAAAATTATTTTTATGAGATTTATTATTAAAATACTTTAGCTGCAGTTAGAATAATTCCAATTCAACTCCAGGTCCTGCAGAAGGGCCAATGTCTGTGCACGACCTGGAGGCAAGACACCTCAAGAGGAATAGGCCTGAAGAGGAGGAATCCTGAATTCCACAGGAAAGATCACTGTATAAACAAGGGCAATGCAAGCCAGCCACCAGGTAAAACAACCCTGCCCTCAACTGATACAGCAAACTAGTTATCAGGGCACAGGCAAATGTGCCTAATTATTTGCCTAATGCATGCTAAGGACTAATATAGTACATATATGTCCTATACTAGGCCTAGTATAGGACATAAGTTTGGTTTTAGCTTATTTTTTCCAAACTCTATATGAAGCAAGTAGTACCAAATTCTACAATCTAATTATCCATTAAATCAATATACTGTATGTATGATGGTCCACATAGTTACAAAAAGTAGTCTAAACAGGAGGATGGGTTGAAAAATTTACAAAAACCAGTGATAGCTTCAAATTTATGACAAAGTATATAACAAAAAGGGGTACCACCTCTGGTGCAAGTGTAGGGACTCATAGCCTCGGAGAAGAAAATAAAGAGTACTCAGAGAAGACCTTGTGGATCCTCACTGAACACTTACTGTATCACCATAAGCATAACAACTCTTCCTCTAACTAAAAATAGGTAATGTTAAATGATAATTTAGCTTCTCTGTTTTCAGGGAGATGGGTGCAAAAGGGTCATCCATATCCACTATGCTACCCAACTTTCATTAAAATAATGTTGACGCATTTAAGAGCCGAGTAAGACTCCAGATGTTCAACATGTGGAAGTCATGATGCTAAGCCCAATTATTCTTCACTCTAGTGTATCACACTGGTCAAAAACACCAAGACAGATCCAGATATACATGAGTCTCTGTGAAGCTTTATTTGATAAAACTTACATATTGTGCCTTACCTTATCAGGATGCAGGCAGCATGATACACAATATTCATAGATGGCACAGCAACCATGGGTGTTGCAAGTGTCACATGCATAGCGGCGAGTTGTGTCTACTGCAACATTGCAACAACCAGTGCTCAAGCGGTCTACTCGATGACACACATAACCTGAAAAATTCATTGTATTAGCTCTCCTTAGATACTTTACACTCTCACAATACAGCTCATATTAAATAATGAAATCTTAAAAAAAAAAAAAAAAAAAAAGCCAGTGTTGAATGTAATGAAATGCCATTTTCTGGGTGTGACCTGGAGGCTTTCCGGAGCTATACAGGCTGATATGCTAATGTCAGACTTTGGCATCAGTCATGTGTATGGAGTTCTGTTGGCCTACCGGGGACCACGAGCCAGAACCTGGCACCCTCAGAGAGGCAAGGGGAGCAATGGCCTATAGAAACCCCCATGAGGTAGGAAGCATTCTATGTCTGCCATCAACCAGGTCGGGCACCCAGAAAGGTAAGCATCCCAAAACAAACACCTATTCTGGTTAAAATTGCTACCTAACACCAAACTAGTGGATAGAACTCCCCAAAAAAGAAACGAGCAAACTAGCATGATGTCACACGTCACCACACCGCTGTCTGCGCAGCTCCCCCCTCCCAGAGAGGGGGATAGAAGCCTCAGACTCCCATGCCAGACCCCAGATGGACAGGAATGTGCCAATACGCAACCTTGAGTTCCAGGGACACCATCCAGGCACCCGACTCCAAAAGAAGAAAGACCTGAGACAGAGTGGTCATCCAAAAGGAATCAAGGGGTCAAGGAAGCCAGGGGTTCAGATGGGGCAAGTCCAGAATGAACCCCAGATCTGCACAGTCCCATTTCAGCACCGGAAACAATTGGGAAACCCACCAGAGGGACCGGGTCATTTCGACCACGCCCAAGCACACCCGCTCCAAGATGACCCCAAAAAAGCACAGGGGAAGAAGCCTGCTCCGCCATCCCCATACCCCCCCCCTCCCTGAAGGAGGAGGAGCCGCCCAACCACCAGAGGCCAGATGACATGACCCAAAACACCCACAAATTGTGGGACCAAGCATGAGCAAACAGAGCAAGCCTTCCCCTCATCGCTCCATCAACAGGACGAACTACTAAAGGGCCAATGCCCCTTATGAAGAGCCGACTGACGAACAGAGCGATCATCGCACTGACCAGATGACACCGGCTCCGAAGGAAGCACCGGCTCAGAACCTGGCACCAATGGCCCACCCCAACTAGCGGAACCCTGAGCCCTGGTACGACTCTCACAAGAAGGCTGAGAACGGCCACCCCGGAAAAGCAACAAGTCCGACATAGGACGACAATTAGATGAAGTCACCTGCAGAAACTGCGTGACAGCAGCCTTTGCCAACAGCAACGGACAAAGCAGGGATGAAAACCTAAGAGTCAGGGCCCAAGCAGATTCCAAAGAGAGCCAGCACAGCCTGACGGCACGTAAGATGAGAAATAAAGAACAGAGACACTGCCTCCTTCAGGATAGGCGAAAACAGCTTCAACAGCCCAGCTGATGCTCGAGCCGCCGAGCACTCAACGGCACTCAACACCTCCACATCCTCCTCAAGCCAGGTTTAAGACAGCTCGAGAAGGAAAAAGAAGCACAAGACTGAAGTCAAATGCCCACGGGCATGCAAATCTTCAGCAACCAAGGACACCGAAGGGTAGGAACCTGCACGTGCAGCTGTACGAGGCCAACTTCCCGAGAAAGCACGGGCGAACAAGCACGCATTAAGGTGCTCAAACTCACCCCCAAGTAAACCTACAGAACGGAAGGAGTTTCTCGCCACTCAAGTGTGCCGGTCTGACAAACCCCAAGCTTTGACCCCAATGAAAAGAACGGGCAATCTGCCAGCCAGGAAGACTCCGGAACCTCCAAACGCACCCATCATGGGGAAGAAGAATACAACTCAAATTCCTTCCAGATTGCAATTCTGTTGCAACTAAAATTCTGTTAAACCAGATTCAATTCCAGTTGAGTTCCATTACACTGCTATAACTTGGCCCATTTCAATTTAGTGCTAAATGTTGTGGCCATAACATCTAAAACATATCCTACCTTGAATTAATGTAAGAAAAATTACCTTCACCCCACATTAATTCACCTCACACTTGTCAAAACACAACATAACTAAAACTTTTCAGAATTTATTAAGCACGCTACTAAATCAAAGACAAAAATTGAATCTTCCTTACCTTGATCATCAGCAAGGAGTACTTTTCCTTGAACAGAGTTTCTGCATGTTGTAACCTTGTCATTGGAAGTTCCATTTGAAGAATCAGGACCCCAGTGAAATTCAACCCTTCCTGCAACTTCAGCCTCGCTCTCGACAGGACTACTAGTGTTCTGAAGGGTATTTAAGAAAAGTTAGCAAAATGTTGCACAGTACCTCAATATCACATTCAATGAGACTACTACCTGGTAATGTCCTGTGGATATTAAAATAAAAATCACAAGGGAACATGTTGATAAATGAAATGTCTCAACCCTTTTGCTGCAGTACTTGCATTCAGTCCCATACTTTTTTGGGGGGGAGGCTAAAAAAAATCAGTGTTGAATGTAGTGAAATGCCAGTTCTGGGTGAGCCCCATTATCTCCCTGAACCAGAAGCTATCATACTGATTAAGTGCCGTATTATTAGTAGTCATAAGTCACAGAGCTCTCTTGGCTTAGGGTGACCACAAGCCAGAACCTGACCCTTTCAGAGAGGTATGAGGAGCAATGGCCTATAGAAACGCCCATGTGGTTGTAAGCATTCCATGTCTGCCATCTACCAGGTTAGGCACCCAGAAAGGTAGGCATCCCAAAACACTTTTGTTTTCATTGTTGGGGAGTTTTTTTTGGCAATGTTGGGGCTTCAGTGTTATTTTTTAAATCATGCAGTAGTTTGTTTTGATTTACTGTACCTATCTTTCTTGGTGCTTCCCTGGTGGTATACGAAACTAATAAAGTGAAACTCTATTTGAAACTAATAAAGCAAGAACTCAAGAGTTGAGTACATCATGTGTCAACTTTGTGAGAAAATGTGCATTTCCATGAACATTATACAGTATTGTATACTATTCCATACTGACAGACCACCGACCCCCTCTCCGAGTTGAGATATGCCGAGAGCTGAGCTTTGTAAATATTATTGGAATGCTGGAACACTTTATGGTATACTGGACCTGTGCTCAAGTATGTAATGCATTAATTATATATCTGATGCACCCAATATGGGGAAGAAAAACCGAACTCAAATTTAACTTGAGAACAATTATAACTTGAGCTGGTAAAAGCACTTTAAGGCCCAGAGCAGCACAGGGGTAGGGGAGGTCCACGGATGAAAAAGTGGTCGTAGGGGGGTCCACGGGTGATAACGTGGTCATAGGGGGGTCCACAGGTGAGAATGTGGTCGTAGAGGGTCCACAGGTGAAAAGGTGGTCGTAAGGAGGTCCACAGGCGAGGTGAAAAGGTGGTCGTAGGGGGGTCCACAGGTGAGGTGAAAAGGTGGTCGTAGGGGTGGTCCACAGGTGAGGTGGTTGTAGGGGAGGTCCACGGGTGAGAAGATGGTCATAGGGGGGGTCCATGGGTGAGAAGGTGGTCATAGGGGAGTCCATGTTTGAGACCGTAGTCGTAGGAGGTCCATGGGTGAGAACGTGGTTGTAGGGGGTCCACGGGTGAGAACGTGGTTGTAGGGGGTCCACAGGTGAGAACGTGGTTGTAGGGGGTCCACGGGTGAGAACGTGGTTGTAGGGGGTCCATGGGTGAGAGAATGTGATTGTAGGGAGGTCCACAGGTGAGAGAACGTGGTTGTAGGGGGTCCACAGGAGAGAAAACGTGGTTGTAGAGGGTCCACAGGTGAGAGAGAGAACGTGGTTGTAGGGAGAGGAGGGGTCCATAAGTGACATAACATGGTTGGGGAAGGGAAAAAAAAAAAAAGGTCGGGAAGCAACGCACTACACCATGCAGCGATCCATCTAATTACCCAAAGCTACCTAAATCTACCCAAAGATTCCTAGCATTATGTAAGTAATGTAGATCTCTGTGACCAGAGGGAGACAGGAGTAGACGACCCCCACCAGCAGCAGCACCGACGTGCAGCATGTACCTGTGACCAGAGGGAGAGACAGGAGTAGACGACCCCCACCAGCAGCAGCACTGACGTGCAGCATGTACCTGTGACCAGAGGGAGAGACAGGAGTAGACGACCCCCACCAGCAGCAGCACTGACGTGCAGCATGTACCTGTGACCAGAGGGAGAGACAGGAGTAGGCGACCCCCACCAGCAGCAGCACCGACGTGCAGCATGTACCTGTGACCAGAGGGAGAGACAGGAGTAGACGACCCCCACCAGCAGCAGCACTGACGTGCAGCATGTACCTGTGACCAGAGGGAGAGACAGGAGTAGGCGACCCCCACCAGCAGCAGCACCGACGTGCAGCATGTACCTGTGACCAGAGGGAGAGACAGGAGTAGGCGACTCCCACCAGCAGCAGCACTGACGTGCAGCATGTACCTGTGACCAGAGGGAGAGACAGGAGTAGACGACCCCCACCAGCAGCAGCACTGACGTGCAGCATGTACCTGTGACCAGAGGGAGAGACAGGAGTAGGCGACCCCCACCAGCAGCAGCACCGATGTGCAGCATGTACCTGTGACCAGAGGGAGAGACAGGAGTAGACGACCCCCACCAGCAGCAGCACTGACGTGCAGCATGTACCTGTGACCAGAGGGAGAGACAGGAGTAGGCGACCCCCACCAGCAGCAGCACTGACGTGCAGCATGTACCTGTGACCAGAGGGAGAGACAGGAGTAGACGACCCCCACCAGCAGCAGCACCGATGTGCAGCATGTACCTGTGACCAGAGGGAGAGACAGGAGTAGACGACCCCCACCAGCAGCAGCACTGACGTGCAGCATGTACCTGTGACCAGAGGGAGAGACAGGAGTAGACGACCCCCACCAGCAGCAGCACTGACGTGCAGCATGTACCTGTGACCAGAGGGAGAGACAGGAGTAGGCGACCCCCACCAGCAGCAGCACCGACAACACTACTTTATTCCTCAACATTCTCATTATCTTGGCGGTGATCATGGTGTCGTGGGCAGCAGTGTGTCTCATTGTCCAGGGCGGCGATGATCATCGTCCTGGGTGGTGGAGCTCGTCGTCTTGGCTCACTGCGGGTGTCATTCTCATCACTACGTCAGGAGGACCCGCCAAGGAGAGAGAGACGCCCGTCAGGAAGACCGACGGGGCGGGGGAAGATATAGTTGGTTAAGTTCACTGGGCTCACCAGGCCATCTTGTTTGTTGACGTCTGGCACTCCCTCCCTCCCTCCTCACTCTCCCCCTCCCTTCCTCTCGTAACCTTCAGCACCCATCCCTTCCCCTCACCCCCCACCCCTTCCCCTCGTAACCTTCAACCCTAATTCCCTCCCACCCTCTCTTAACCCCAACCCTTACCTACCTCTCTCCCTCCACACTTGTTCATTTACTTTATTTATTTATATATATACAGGAAGATACATTTGGTTTATGAGAGAACGTAGCATTGATGTTTTTACATTATTGCAAAGCCACTTTTTTATTTGGAAAATTAGGTATACACAGCAATGTGCTGCTACCCTGACAGCTGAGTGGACAGCGCCCGGGATTCGTAGCTGAGGTTCCGGGTTCGATTCCCGGTGGAGGCGAGGGATGCCTTGTCTTGTTTAGCCGTGTCAGCAAGGCGGACAGCCCGCCTGCTTTCGTAATTCTCACTGTATATCCCACTTCTAAACTCCTTCACCTTCAGTATATGCCTCTCCATCCTCTTTACTCCTATAAAAAAAGGTGGAGGCGGAAACAATTGGGAACAATTTCTTTCACCCTGATGCACCTGTTCACCTAGCAGTAAATAGGTACCTGGGAGTTAGACAACTGCTACGGGCTGTTTCCTGGGTGTGTGTAACAAAAAGGAAGCCTGGTCGAGGACCGGGCCGCGGGGACGCTAAGCCCCGAAATCCTCTCAAGATAACCCTATTCTGTATGAGATATTACACAGTGTAGATCAAGAACTAGCTACAGATTCAACTACACGCATAACGTTTCGCACAGGTCGTTAATCTAACTGATAAAAAATTAAGAAATTAAGCAAAAAATTAAGAAAATTATTAGTTTTTTTATATTATTAACAAGCTTAGGTATACACAGCAATAGCCACTAGGCAAGTCCCAGAACTAAGAGACATGAGTTACGAGGAAAGGCTGCGTGAAATGCACCTCACGACATTGGAAGACAGAAGCGTAGGGGGAGACATGATCACTGCCTACAAAATTCTCAGAGGAATTGACAGGGTAGATAAATATAAACTACTTAACACGGGTGACACGCGAACAAGGGGACACAGGTGGAAACTAAGTACAGTACCCAAATGAGCCACAGGGACGTTAGAAAAAACTTTTTCAGTGTCAGAGTAGTTAACAGGTGGAATGCATTAGGCAGTGATGTGGTGGAGGCTGACTCCATACACAGTTTCAAATGTAGATATGATAGAGCCCAGTAGGCTTGGGAATCTGTTCACGAGTTGATAGACAATTGAGAGGCGGGACAAAAGCTTCCTAGGCTAGGAAACTTTTAAGCTAGGAAGCTTAAAGGATTTCTAGAAGGTTATAACAGAACCCATAGGCATCACACCAGAAACAAATACCTATTTGATGTTCCAAGAGTGCGTCTTAACCAAACTAGAAATGCTCTACAAATCAAGGGACCCAGAATGTGGAATGACCTTCCATCATGTCAAAAGCTGTACCTCTCTCAACCAGTTTAAAAATAAAACTGCTTGAGAGTACTACCTAACTCTAAACTTGACTAACTCTTCTACCTTCTACCTAATAAACTCCATGTAGCCTACCTTACCCCTCTAAATGTCAACCCATGTCTTGCTATTTTGAAACAATACTGTTTGTTGACCAACTTGTATAATTGCTGATTTCTGCCATGTTTCCCCCCTCCCCCATTTTCACCTTTTCTACACAGTTTATACTTTAATCTCAATTAGTATTAAGCTTTAGTCTAAGTGTTTTCCCCCACATCTTGCCCGAAACGCTATGCGTATTAGTGGCTTTAGGTATTGGTATTGTAAGTACAAGCTGTATCTATAAATCCAACATTATGCTTGTAACTCATCTTTTATATATGTACATTAACCTGAAGAAACATTTGGATTTTGATTTTGAGTAGTTGTCCCTGGATGGTCCATTTTCTATGGAGTGGCGGCGGGAGTGTCAAGCAGCCGTAGAGGTGCTCGCTTAGTAAGACTTCCTTCACTCAGTGTCGTCTGGCTGGCTGTATTAGGTACAGTATTTTGGGTGGAAATAACGGCATTATTTCTTTATGAAATTGTATGTTGTGGGTATATTTTGTTTCCACGAGCTCTCGATAGTACTCTGATTTAATTTTATTTATTTGAATGCTTCCTAGAAGGCTTGAAAGCTTCCTAGAAGGTTGTAACAGAACCCATAGGCACCACACCAGAAACAAATACTGTACCTATTTGATATTCCAAGAGTGCGGCTTAACCAAACTAGATATGTTTTACAAATCAATGGGATCAGAATGTGGAATGACCTTCCCAATCATGTCAAAGACTGTACCTCTCTCAACCAGTTTAAGATAAAAACTAAGTACTACCTAATTTACTCCATGTAACCTACCTTGCCCCCTAAATGTCAACCCATGCCTTGCTATTTTAAATAAATGCTGTTTGTTGACCGACTTGTATAATTGCTGATTTCTGCCATGTTCCCCCCCCCATCCCCCTTTTTTCCATTTTCAACACAATTTATACTTTAATCTCTATTAGTATTAAGCTCTAGTCTAAGTGTTCTCCCCCCCCCCCTCCCACACCTTGGCCGAGACGCTGTGCGTATTAGTGGCTTTAGGTATTGTAAGTACTAGCTCTATCTATAAATCCAACATTACAGTATATTTGTAACTCATCTTCTATGTATGTACATTTACCTGAATAAACATTTTAAATTTTTGGAATTTTTTGAATTTGTAGATGGTTTCAGGTGGCGGTATATAATTGTTATAGGGTAATATGTCTTGTGATTTATGTGTAATTACCAAAGTGTAGTTACAGGATGAGAGCTACGCTCGTGGTGTTCCATCTTCCCAGCACTCTTTGTCATGTAACGCTTTGAAATTACTGACCGTTTTGGCCTCCACCACCTTCTCACCTAACTTGTTCCAACCGTCTACCACTCTGTTTGTGAAAATGAATTTTCTTAAATGAATCGGGTATGTTGGTCAGTTTGGTCTAAGTGAGGGGAAGTTTGTAATATAAGTTCTCTTCAGCGAATCATCATCAATCTAACTCAAATACTGTAGTGATTTAGTATAGACGCTTGAGAGATACCGCATATCTTCAACATTCACCAGCAACAATGTAACCCTTGACGAGTCCAGTTCCTACCCCCTCACAAGACAATTCAGCCTCACTACAGAGCAGATAGCCAGATTCTGTCCGCATCAAGCTTCCACGCTCTCGCCCGCATTCGAGCTCTTCGACTTCGCATGCATTGAGGCAGAGAGCCTCACTCATCTCTCTGCCATGCTCCAGGCTATGTCTCAACTACTGTACTATGACACTTCACTACATTGCCAACACACTGACTGCTGTAACCAAGACTCTACTAAATAAATATAAGAAACCACTCAACGGTTTGAGTGGTTTCTCATTGTAACTCAACGGTAACTCGTTGTACTCACCTAGCTGTGCTTGTGAGGGTTAAGCTTTGGCTCTTTGGTCCACCTCTCAACTGTCAATCAACTGGTGTACAGATTCCTGAACCAGCATGTTCAGGAATCTGTTCATTTGTATCTTATGTCATATCTTGTATCTATCTTATCTTGTATCTGTATCTTATCTTATATATGTGTCTTATCACTAAAACATGTACACTGCACATATAAATATGTTACAATGGAAATACTGTAACCTTATTGTATTATAGAATCTTTACATTTCTCAGATTTATTTATTTACTTTTCAGCATTGCCAAAGAGCCATGCCTGATTATGTTGAGACAAACTTTGATGAAAGAAGTGGGATAGTGCCATGCAAGGTGCCATGGGGCAGGTGGTGGCAGACAGTTGCTGAAGTCCACACTGAGGTGGACATACCTGTGGGAACGAAGTCAAAATCCATACAGGTAGTTGTCAAACCATCTCACATTAAGGTGGTGGTTTTGGACAAGGTGATTTTTGAGGTAAGTGGAAAGAAATAGTTTGTTCAGTGTCCTGTAAGTCAATACTGTTCTGTTAATGTGAAGGTTGTAGCAGTGCCTCCTGTACCTCTGCTTCTATAGCAAATTAAATATTTTTTGGCATCACACATCACACAAAATTTATAGGGAATAATTCCTGAGACCTGGAACTTCAAGAACAAGAGCTCATAGATTTAAACTAACTAATCAAAGCTGCCGAAGAAATTTAAGCAAATTCACTTTCACAAACGCTGGTGGACGGTGGGAACAAGTTAGGTGAGGTGGTGGTGGTGGCCTAAACCGTTGGTAGTTTCAAAGCATTATATGATAAAGAGTGCTGGGATGACGGGACACCATGAGCACAGCTCTCATCCTGTAACTACACTTAGGTACAGTAATTACACAAGCAATATTTGCAACTTGACACATACATTACAGCAACGTGTGGCTAAACTCACCTGGTGTTGCTATCTTATGATCAGTTACATTTTCCCCTCTTAAGAGCTGCTCTTGTAGTTATTGTTTCTTAAATTTTTAACTTACAGGTATACAGTATACAGGTACTGTATATGTTGTTTGTTTTCCTTATGCCCTTCTTATTTTTCATGTATCTTTCCGTCAATTCTCTCGTTAGTGTACTCTATGTGGAATTACAGTGGTACCTCGCATAACGATCGCCCCAAAAGGCGAACATTTTGGGTAACGACCGGCCTGATCGGCGACAAATCGTCCCGAATGGCGAACGCCCATTTGAGTAACGTCAACACTACATGGTGAGGTCGCGCTGCTGCTTGCACATTCTTGGACGCCTCCGACGATGCAAATAAATTATGTTGTTCTTGTTTAAAGATGCTAATGATGCTGGAATATAAAGCGGTGACTGCTGAGATGTTGCAAAGCATTGACATTTTTGTAGAAAAAAGACATGAAATTTCTGAAATACTGTACAACAAATGTCAAAAAGGTTCGTTCGGTGTTCGGCAGTTAGGCTGCACCATTATAACAATCTTTCTTTGTTTCAAAAGTGTTCCATTTGTTTTGTATTTGTCATTTACGTCTCAATAATGAAGCAGCCTACCTTACATACACTGCACAAACCTTTATGACATTTTTCTTTCTTCAAATTTGTTCAATATTTATTTTTCATTTGTCTTATAGCAAAAGGTTCGTTCGGTGGTCAGCAGGTAGGCTGCGCAATGTTTTGTTCATAAAAAACAAAAATAAAAAAATTAAGAATTTTGAAAACCAGAACAATTGTCAAAAAGGTTCGTTCGGTAGGCTGTCTACTGGTAGGCTGCTCCATGTTTCTTAAATAATAAAAAAACAAAACAAAAAATAAAAAAAACAGTTGAAACAATTTGCAAAATGGACAAATGCCATAAAGATTCGTTCAATGTTTGTCGGGTAGGCTGCTCCATGATTGGGACGTAAACAAAAAATTCAAAACATATGGAACACATTTGAAACAAAGAAAGATTGTTATAATGGAGCAGCCTACCCGTCAAACACTGAACGAACCTTTATGGCATTTGTCCATTTTCCAAATTGTTTCAACTTTTTTATTATTTTTTTATTTAAGAAACATGGAGCAGCCTACCTGTAGACAACCAAACGAACCTTTTTGACATTTGTTCTGGTTTACAAAATTCTTAATTTTTTTTATTTTTGTTTTTTTTTATGTATGAAACATAGAGCAGCCTACCTGCCGACTACCGAACAAACCTTTCGCTATAAAACAAATGAAAAATAAATATTGACCAAATTTGAAGAAAGAAAAATGTCATAAAGGTTTGTGTAGTGTATGTAAGGTAGGCTGCTCCATTATTTAAAACATCGAATATCATATTGATGTTTTTCGGTGGTAGAACAAATTAATTTGATTACCATTATTGTCAATGGGGACATTCGTTTTGTATAACTTCCATTTCATATGACGACGACGGCGCCTGAACGAATTAAATTCGTTATTCGAGGTACCACTGTATTTGGGAAATATCTAATGTGTTCATTCATATGATTCCAACATTGGAGGACATCAGTACCAAAAGATTATACACTAAGCCTACTCCATAAGAATTTTTTCAATGGGTTAATAAGGTTTCCAAAGATATGGGTAGATAAGTCATATGTCATTCCTCCTTAAGCAAGATGTGATCATTTCTAACTTCAGGGACAACTGTTTGGGGTGGTGAGAGCAGACGAGACAGTATGGACACTGGAAGACAAGAAATTACTACACATTGCTATGTCCAAGGCTGATGCCTGCAGCAAGGAGACACTATGGGAGGGACTGCTGACTGACAACTTCCTCGCTGACCCCTGGACCATCCATGAAATGAGAAAGAAATTAGATCTTGAACGATTCCAGATTGAGGTGAGTTGCCATCATTTATGCTGCCAGTGCTCTTCTCTTAGAGCTGTGTGTAAAAGTATATCAAAATTAATTGTGAATATTACTAAATCTTTGAACTGTGGAAATAAATAACATATATACTGTATGTATATATATATATATGAGTGTGTGTAATTACCTAAGTGTAATTACCTAAGTGTAGTTACAGGATGAGAGCTACGCTTGTGGTGTCCTGTCTTCCCAACACTCTTTGTCATATAACGCTTTGAAACTACTGACGGTCTTGGCCTCCACCACCTTCTCACCTAACTTGTTCCAACTGTCTACCACTCTGTTTGCGAAAGTGAATTTTCTTATATTTCTTCGGCATCTGTGTTTAGCTAGTTTAAATCTATGACCTCTTGTTCTTGAAGTTCCAGGTCTCGGGAAATCTTCCCTATCGATTTTATCAATTCCTGTTACTATTTTGTACGTAGTGATCATATCACCTCTTTTTCTTCCGTCTTCTAATTTTGGCATATTTAATGCCTCTAACCTCTCGTCGAAGCTCTTGCCCTTCAGTTCTGGCAGCCATTTGGTGGCATGTCTTTGCACCTTTTCCAGTTTGTTGATGTGCTTTTTAAGATATAGGTACCACAGAACTGCTGCATATTCTAGCTTTGGCCTAACAAAAGTTCTGAACAATATCTTTAGTATTTCGCCATCCATGTATTTAAATGCAATTTTGAAGTTAGAAAGCGTGGCATAGGCTCCTCGCACAATGTTCTTTATGTGATCCTCAGGTGATAGTTTTCTACCTAGAATCACCTCAAGATCTTTTTCTTTATCAGAATTCTTTAAAGATTTCTCACATAATTTATAGGTTGTGTGGGGGTCTATGTTCTCCTATTTGTGTATGTATATATGCATGTATATGTGTATGTGTATGTATGTATGTATGTATGTGTATTTATATATATTTTGTACATTGTATATGTATATACAGTATTGTATAATATGTAATTAAGAGGGTGATATAATTAAATACTACACATGCCTCTTGCTTTTTATTAAATGTGTCATTCTATGTACTGTATTAGAATACAGTACAGTATATCTTGTACCCATTATAGAACAATATAGTACAATATGTATGTGATGTATAATTAACCACTGTACCATGTTCTTATGTATTTTTTAAAACTATTATTATTAATATTAGCTTTGCCTTTACTAATCTGCTAATATCTCGGGAAAAAGAATACAGTACCACAAATTTGAGATCGATTTTAGCTATTTGCACAAGGTAACCCCCAGGTACATCCTGTTCTCTGCATAGTAGAACAAGCTACTATTTGCTATTTGAAACTCCCACCTCGACCTGTCTTGCCGAAAGGCATCGACCCCGACGGCCTCGCAGTCAGGGAAGTGCGCCACATACAGGGGAATGTGCTACGCATTCCCCTGTATGTGGGGAAGGCGTCCCGTCCACCTGGTAGGGGCGACCGAACGTCTGGCAAAGCCAACTGAAAGGGTCGGCGTCGACCGTCCATTCCGTGGAGAGCGGAACGTCGGCCGTCGTGAACGTGACAGGCCGTCGGTCAAGATGTTGGACACTCCCCGCACGTGAACGGCCAGGAGAGCCAAACCCCGAGAACTCGGCAGACAAGTCACCCGAAACGACCAGTTCCAAAGAGCCAAGGACCACATCAAACCTTGATGTGGTCAAGGTTTGACCTTGACCTTGGTCATAGATTTGGGACCCGGGGTTAAGTCATCCCCTAGAGCACCGGCCCCTAAAGAAAAGGCTGGCGCAGCCGATTGAGCCGAACAGGAGAAGGCCCACTGGTCAGACCCAGAGGCTTCGGCAGGGAGATCGGACTCGAAGGCCTCTGTTGCCACACCAGAAGGAGCATCCCCCAAGACCGCCCGAGACTCGGGACCATCTAAACCCTGATCCGACTCCGAAACCCTCAGACGCTTTGGCGCTGGAAGCAGGGGGTGGGGGACCAGAACGAACCACTGAAGAAGAAGGACGAGGGGGGTACCAGGGTCGAAGCGACCCCGACCCCCAAGTCTTGGTCCCTATAGGCAAAACAGGGCAGTCTCAGGGCATCTGGGTGAGCAACCAACCTAGCGTGTTGCAACAGCCGAAAGCGTACATGCAACGCCTGCGCCGCCTGTACCCATAGAAGATCATCAGTAGAATGGGTAAATCGAGTCATCAGCAAACAACAGAACTCGCAGGACTTAGGGTCGAAAGTATCATCACCGACCCAACAGGTAGCGGGACGGAGGCAAAAACCGTGAGATCACCCTGAGTCAAGGGGACCAAGCAACCCCTCGAACTCGCACAAAGCGAGGGGGGTACTCTGGGGACACATTCATCGGACCCATGCGCCCCCTAGGGGATTCCCAGGGTCCTGAGCATTTACCAACAGGGACTCACGCCCAGGTAATCCCAGGCAGGGTACTGCTAACCCCAGGGACGTGTACACTCACAGTGCCCTAGCAGGGGACTCCACCAGAAAAATAACCGTGCACAGGTCAGGCACAAAAGGGGAAGCAAGGCAGACCCCCCACAAGGCAAAAAGAAAAAGAAAAAGAAAACCCCGCAAGAGGACAATGTACCCCAAGGAACAGAGCCGGCCGCTGAGTGGTGAAAACAAGCTGTGCAGCACCCTGTGCCCACCAGTGCAAACTGCCTCTTACCCTAAGGTAAACAAGAAAGACAAAACCCCCAAGCACCCAAAGGGCGGCCAAAAAACCGAGCAGTAATACTGCCTAGCAGAGGCAGGTCCCGAGGAGCTTGTGGAAGGTGGCCCCAAGCCCCAAGGGCAGTACTTACTGGGCACCTAGGGACGATAACCCTAGGTGCATGCAGCCCGAGTACCGTAGAATAACTCCTGGCTCTCGCACCCCTCGAAGACAACCACCACACTCTAAGCACAGTGCTGAAAACCCTGGAGCCAAGCACACAACCTCCGCCTCTAGCATCAGCCTGAGAACTAAAGGGTGGACAGTCGGCGTGTGGGGTCTGGGGCTCCCCCTTCCCTCTCCCGGGAAGGGGGGAGCTGCGCAGACAGCAGTGCAGTAACATGTGACGTCATGATCGTTTGCTCGTTTTGTTTAGACGAGTTCTATCCATTTGTTCAGGGGAGTTCTATTCATTTGTTCGGCTTTTGGTAGCAATATTTTCACCAGAATAGAGGTTTGTTTTGGGATGCTTACCTTACTGGGTGCCTGACCTCGTCGATGGCAGACAGAATGCTTTCAACCACATGGGGGTTTCTATAGGCCATTGCCTCCCTTGCCTCTTCTGATGGGGCCAGGTTCTGGCTTGTGGTCCTCGGTAGGCCCATTGAACTCCATATACATGACTAATGCCAAAGTCTGACATTAGCATATCAGCCTAGTAAGCTCCGGGGAGCCAAAGGGACTCCCCCCAGAAAAGTATTTATAATCTTTCCAGTGTTCTGACTTCAATTTTCATGTTACGTCTTTCATTTTGGTGTCAAATTGTGTGCAATCTAATGATGCTCATTTTAAAACTACTCCCAGATTGATAGGATAAAATTAAAATTTTTAACAAATATTTTAAAATGATGGACGCCACTCGCGTCCACGACTCGGACATGAGAAAAATTATGGATCGCGGGAGCGTATGATGAGTGCAAAATTGTTAATATGATTACTTTGTGCTTTAATAGTATTACTGTATTATGTCTTTCAGAATCCTGGCTTTGACTTCAGTGGTGCTACACTCAAGAAATGTTACGATAAAGTTCCTCAGTCTGCCCTGGAGAAGTTGGAGGAGCAGAAAGCCTTGGAAGCACAGACTTCTTCACAACAGTCTGTCAAGTGAAGGCAGCTGAAGATTTCTAGAAAATACAAATACATGAACAGTATTGTGAAGATAATTCACTCGCATGTTAGTGAAACTGCATTCAAGTTTGCATTGCAACTAATGGACAGTGTGAATACTGTATTGAAATGCCAGCTTTCAGTTTCTTTTAAGGGAATATGTTTTATTCTTTTTTTTTTGTTTCCTATTATAAGTTTCTTATTTATATCAGATATCCTTAATATTAAGTGTTCATATTATAAACATTGTTTTATTTATTATTCAATTTATTTTTAGCATCTATTTTACTATAAAATGTCTAGCTAGATGTTTTTATCCTAAAAGTACTTTATTTTAAATATATCAACTCTCTGGTCACATTTTCTTTCCTTAACCAAATATAATTTATGGTATTTTATGCACATAGGACATTTTTCAGAGGACAGTTTAGCTCTTCCAGTCTTAGCTATCATAACCTTATGTCATATATAACTGAGGAATGCTGTTTTGCACCTTTATCCATATTTGAACCAAACAAAATCATCATTAAGTTACCTTTAAAGAGGAGACAACAACATTTCAGGCAAATCTGTTACTATGTTTACACAAAATGGGAGATGATAATTACTCGGGAACGCTGAAATGATGGGCCATCATTATTGCCAATAACATAGTAATGTTATTGGCTCGTAGTTAGAGTCCATGTGCCAAATGTTAAGTTACGTCATAAACTAAGTTCCCAACAAGTCAGTGGGAAGACCATCTCCTACCCAGACTTGAAAGCTCCGGATCTCTCTCCAAGTTTCTCTGTTCCTTTCTGCACAATACATAATTTTACACTTCTAGTTTTATAGGGTTGGACTTGTATCAAACATCTTGGCTTGCATCGCAAAAACACTAAGCAATTCCTACTAGCAGGTGGATAGCAGAGGTTCATTATACAGGTACAGTATACTGTATATTGTATCTTGGCCTCACTTGACATCTTTAGTCAATCAAAGGCATCTTTGTTGTTACAACATCATGTCAAACCATCAGCAAATAGTTTGGGTTGAAATAACCTTGGATACAGATATGTCTTGCTTTTCTTCAACAGCATCATTTACTTTTAATAATAATTATTCATTGTGTTGGGGGACACAATGGACACGGGACATGTTGCAGTAAGTGAAAGGAAATGTGCCCGATCATTTTTGTCCCGCTCGGGATTCGAACCTGGAATTCTCGATTGTGCATCAAGAACGAATCCACTTATACTACCGGGACCCTCTAACTACTACTACTACTATTTTTTATACTATTCCATTTGTGGTCCTGTATTTTTGACTATCAATCAGGGAGTAAACATTAATAAACACTATAATACTGATACATTATTTCTTGAGACATACCTGCATAATACATTATCTTCAAAGGTCAGCCCTCCATAAGGTCTTCTTTTCCTTAACTCTTTTACATTATCTTGAAGAGGAGGACCGCCCATGAGAAGACAAGTAAAATTGGGTGGATAGGTCATTTGGCATGTTGATCTGATACAATCAAGTTTGCTGAACAGCCCTAAGAGTAAATTATTGAGATATTTTACTTCAATAATTTAATTATACAAGGTTCCCTTGGCTTTAGAATCCTCACAGTTGTATGTTGCAAACTAATAATGAGTTTTTAAGGATTGCTTGTATGGCTATTTAAATTTACTGTGACATTGATTGCCAGGTGGAAGAGGTTGACACCTACCAGGTGGCAATAAATATGCATCATCTGCTGTCCTTGTTTGGAGCATTTTACACTTGTTGGTAGAACTATGTCCACACACCGGACAAACATGCTGCTGGAGACATATATGAAAATTCACTTTTGTAAACAGAGTGGTAGATGGTTGGAACAAGTTAGGTGAGAAGATGGTGGAGGCCAAAACTGTCACTAATTTCAAAGCGTTCTATGACTGCTATGGAGACGAGACACCATGAGCGTAGCTCTCATCCTGTAACTACACTTAGGCAATTACACATTCTTCACAAGAACATCTTTCAATATTCCTGAGTATGAAGTAATTACAGAGCTCAAAGTACCTCATACCATTTGATATGAAGTCACTAATAACAGGGCAATCACAGATATAGTGTTGGAGAGTATGTTCTCTCAAGTAGGACTGAAAACATGTTTTTTCCACCAAGAGGGTTATAAACCCATGGAACCGCCTACCCGCTGAAGCCGTAAATGCCAAATTCCAGCAAAAAAGTATCATTAAGACAATTGGCGGGCCCTTTAACAAGCCACCGGCTTTCTGTCCTCGTTGAGGCCACTAGATAGTTAGTGGCCCTTCGGTAAATTCAGTAAATATATACAATAATTGTCAGCGCATCTTCTGAGCAAGGACAGCTACACAGTATCTCTTAGAATTACGTAGGTAAACAACAAATGTAACATATTTGTTTACTACAATGTCGGTGCTGGCTGTAGAAGTTGAAAAAACAGTTTTACTTCGAAATATACTAATTTTATAAGAAAATTCGACGTAAATAGGAGGCAGTAGAGCTCCGATAAGCCAGCGCTAAATCTTCAATATGAAGAATGTTGCTCTCTGATTGGCCAAATGTAACACAGCAGTGACCTTTGTCGACATGCAGGTGAACCAGACCCAAAATCCAAATATCTTCCTAAGTGGACCTACCTGAATTGCACGTAAGCATCTACTTAGGGCATACTTAGGAACCTTCGTAGCAAACCTACTTATTAAGAAATACATGGAGCTTGGTGAATCTAGGTCCAGGAGGATAATTTGGCGCGCTGATTGATTGATTGATAAAAATTAAGCCACCCGAAAGGTGGCACAGGCATGAATAGCCCATAATGGTGCACTGGACACTGGCAAGCATCCAGCTTGCCAGTGGTGTGATGCCACTTTGGCACGAATTCTGGAGCTGTAGACTTGAAGCTGGCAAGATAAATGGACACTACTTTTGCCAAAAGCGGTGGGGTTTCTGTGGGAAGAAAACGTATGACTAAGAGTTGCGTCTAATCGCCTAAGCTGCGTGCGCAACGAGCTGGGGTTACTTAAAGCGCGCCTGCGGGAGGTAGGGTCCTTGTCCGCTCTTGACCGCAGCTGTTTCTCGACCAAACGCTCACCCTTCTCCCGGGATCCTCTGCATCACCTGTTTTACAAAGGATGAAGCATAGGCAGGCTCAGGGGGCCACTTCGGTTGTACTTGCTAAGCATTCGGGTTATCTTTGGGGGTGCTCCGCCGGAACCCCCAAAGTGATAAGCCTAGATACATGCAGATAGCTAAGAGATCTATAACAAGAATTGTAATTAGTGTAAATTCAAATAAAGCAAATTTCAATTACTAATTATAAATGTAAATATTAATTGTAATCGAGTTAATACAGTACATTATTATTCATTATAATTATTATTATTCATTATAATTATTTCATATTATTTATTATAATTATTTATTATAATTAATTATTATTATCCATTATAATTAATTATTATTATTATTCACTATAATTATTTATTATTATTATTAAAATAAACAAGTCCTCCACTTTTTGTGTGCATTTTCTTCCAACTGCAGAAACGACCATTACTATGGTTTGTCTGGTGTTGGGAGCGCTGGCTAGATGGCAGATGAGCGGTTTTGTGGAAGGTAGGGTAGAGAGGAGGGGAGAGGCGTGTCTAGACAATACGTGTGGCATATATTGTTGATGTTGAGTCTTGATGTTGAAGCATGCAGATACATTGGTAATAAGGAACAGGCCATATTATATATATATATATATATATATATATATATATATATATATATATATATATATATATATATATATATATATATATATATATATATATATATTGTGACGGTAACGCGTTGGTGTTCGGCTGTTTCAAAAGCTAGGGGTATGGCCTCGTCACATAAAGAAACAAAAAGAGAAAATCTGGAACTTTCGTCTGTGGTAAGGTAATGGGAAGACACACAAAACACAAGTAAATTTAACAATGAAATTTTAATTACGTTAGAAAAGCAAAACATGAATAAAATTGGACATAAAAAATTGTAACATAAAATCAATCAAACAAAATAATAAGAATAATCACTGGCAAAATGAAAAGTTACGTTAAGACAAGTGAATAATAGACAAGTGAATAATATACAAGGAGATATATGAGTGCAGGAATATTGGCTTCAAGCTGCCACCTCCCTTAGTACACGTAAGCCAAGGCTTAGTCTACCAATGAGACGTGTTAACTTGTGGAAAGCACGGGATATTCTGATGACTGTAGGTTGTGGTGGCCCAGACGTCAGCTAGTGTGGCGGCTGGAGGGAGCAGGTGCGACGGGCACCAGCCAATCAGCGAGGGGCAGGCGATGGACAAGTAGTTTGCTGGTTTGAGTGGCGGAGGTGGAGCAGGTGTTCCCGGTGCTGAATACGTTTGCTCTCTGGGCAAACCTTGGTGTTGTACTTGTTGGATATATATTCTATATTAGTTGTTATTGTTGTTAGGGACGTGCTTAGGAGGGAAGAGCAGGCTTCCTGCTCTTCTGAGATTATCGTCACAAATATTATATAGTTACATATATATATATATATATATATATATATATATATATATATATATATATATATATATATATATATATATATATATATATATATATATATATATATATATATATATATATATATATATATATATATATATATATATATATATATATAAAAATATATATATATATATATATATATATATATATATATTTATTTTATTTATTTATTTATTTATTTATGCATATACAAGAATGTACATAAGGAATGTGAGGATACAATTATGGTAATTACAGTCTTGTAAAGCCACTAGCACGCGCAGCGTTTCGGGCAGGTCCTTAATCTAAGAAAATTTTAAGGAGGTAAATACTTGCAAAATTTATAGACAAAAAAATGATAACAGATTACATGGAATGAAAAAAAAAAAGATGAGAGAAAATTATAGGTACAGTATATTAAAGCACATAGGTAGCTATGATTGATTGCAATGACAGCTTAAAATGGTAGTTGACAACAAATTGGTAGGCACAATACAGCAGAAACAATATAAGATTGATTGCAATGACAGCTTGAATGGTAGTTGACAAAAATTGGTAGTCACAATACAGCATATGGCTAGCACATAAAAGAAGACAGCAATGAACACAATGATAAGGTTGTTTGATATTACATAAAAATTAGGAGATTGGGTACCAACTAGGTACAGAGCAAATTTAAAGCTCAGTGTAGGAAACTAAATAGATGAAGTTAGGTACTTTTTGGTTTTGCTTTTAAATAAGGCAAAAGTTTTACAGTTTTTCAATTCACTAGGGAGTGAGTTCCATAGACTAG